TATTTACAGAGGTCATGTCCCCGGCTTTAAATATTGGGGTGACTTTGGCTTTCTTCCAGTCTTTTGGAAATGAACCAGAACTGATGGATTTGTTAAAAATATAGGTTAAAGGGTGAATGATTAATTCACCAGCAAGTTTTAGTAGTTTTACAGAAATGCCATCAATTCCAGTAGCTTTTCCATCACGTAATTCTGATATTTGTTTTTTTACAAATTCAGAATTCACAAAAGGAATATTGAACTTTTGTTCAACTTTAATACCAAATTGTACATTCGGTAAACTTGAGTCAAATTTACGTCCAATTTCAACACCAATGTTACAAAAATAATCGTTAAATGCATTTGCGATATCGATTGTTTCTGTAACATTTTCTCCATTTACATTTAGACATGGGGCGTTGCATGCTTTAGAGGACGGTAAAAATTCTTTTATTTTCTTCCACATATCTTTGGAGTTTTTAGAACATTGTAACATCGCTTCATCCAAGTAGTTACGTTTAGTTTGTTTTATTTTGGTCACGACCCTGTTACGGGCTGTGACCAAAATAAAACAGACTAAATGCTTGTTCCAGTCTACTCAGCTGTAAATGATTATGTGGTTGGGCAGTGCTAAAATAGTTGAATGCTAGCTGTTAGCGCCGAAATGGCAGCTCCGGCTGTATGCTCCTCAGGGAGTTGAGAAAGGTATTGGCTGGTTGCAAAGGCCCTATAACCACAGATAATAATTTGTGAACTGCTTTGAGATGACCAACTAGGTTGTGATAAAGCGGTATATAGGAACCTCGAATTATTATTATCATTATTACTTATTGGTATACTTACATCCTGTCGAAACCCGATCTTCTGTGCTCTATCAGCACTAAAGGTGCGTAAGTGACGCTCAAACCTTCTAGCCTGGCTCCTTACATCCTCATAGCACCAAATCATGCAACCAGTAAAACTACATACGCAAACCTGCAATATTAAGAAAAGTTAAAACCGTGTCACCGGGCAAATGTTTTTTTGTTTTTTTTTCTGTAATAAAGACGTCCTGAAAATAGAGTTGATAATTCAATAAAGCTATATTTCAACTTCATTATAGCAAAGCAAAAGAGGACTATGGTTTCTGTTTTGGTGTCAAAGAAAATCTGAAAATATACCATCGTGAAATATATCAATCAAAAAGAGAAATGCCTTACAAACTTTATCTTCATCATTAATCTTGGTGTGCAGGGGGTTAAGTACCCCAACCACAAATTCCTTTTTACATGCACATCTACATGTGACGTACTTTCAATGTGCCAAGTTACGAATAAATCTAACAAACAGTTTAGCAAGAGTTGCACTTGCGAGTTTCAAGAACAGACAGATGGATGAAATCTGCCAATTTTGTATGCAGGGGGTATAATAATTATTTTTTAACGTTTGGACTAGGTTGAAATCCATGCCCTTCAAACTAATAATCCCCACCCTTGGGTTTTATTCTCCACCAATGGGTTCGGATCATAATACGGATTCGCTATGGTGTTTTATACCGGAGAAGATGCATCCCGCCATGTGCTTGATTCTCAACCAGGAACTGCTGTCTGTATCTGCAGATACTCACATCCCAAAATGATGGAGGTAGAAAACTGTATGAAAGATTTTTACCACTTTTTCTCTCTTTGGCTTCTAGACATTGATATCTTTTGAGTTTGAATTTTTGAGCTTTTCTCTCTGCCCATGTAAGATATTGAGGCAATATCGCTTGTGGAGTTGAATATCCATACAAAAAGCTTGGATCAAAGCCCTATCGGTTTGAATTTCCATCCTAATTCTTAAATTCTCACCTTCAGTTTTGATTCAAATGTGCAACAAAGTGCAATTTTGGTGTTTGCAATCCCAACCTCAGGAATTGTTTTGAAAACTAATCCATCTAAATCGATTTTAAGAACTGATGTCTTGAATAAGGACAATTTTCTTTTGAAGAAACTATCACGATTGACATACATGTATATTTAGAATCATTATTGTATTTGATAAGGGGAAATGAATAAGAAGAATAACATGACCAATATCTATAAATATTTTGTACTGGTTTCTCACTGGTGTTAGCCAGCTATCTAACCTTATAGTTATATATTTCCATTTGCTCTGTATTATTGCCACTATATAACCATACCAAACAAAATAGAAAGATATCAGATCATAATTCTCACATAATTCTCACATGATTCCCATTGGTGTAGTGATATGAAGAATATGTTCGTGACGTCCTGACTAAATTAAGTGTAGTTACGTTGTATAAAAGGCGAATATCCTCAAGGTGAAATATACTAGCAGAAAAAAGAAACTGTGCATGTTATAGAACATGTATTACCAACTGTATATACATGAAAATTCACACACATCACCGAGTATGACACATACACACTATCCGTGTGTCATTGACAGTTTTTCCCGTGCAGTTTGCTCTCTATAGGCGTTGACCAGTTTGCACATTTTTCTCGTCCAGCCATCCAATTCGACAATGAAAGTTTATTTTTCGACTGTTGGGTCACTCTGTTGAGACCAGTGAACAGTAAAAACAGCATTATAACGTTTTAATTTGTGATTAATGCTATGCCAAGGCTCAATGAAAATGACCGCCTCCGGATTATTGGTATGCTTCAAGCTGGTATGGGCCAAGCCGTTGTCTCTACACTTTTTCATGTCCATCGAAACACAATCCGGGATTTGTGGAGACGACATCAACAGTTTGGCCACGTCGGCGATCGACCTCGTGCGGGACGTCCCTAAGTGACATCACGTCAACAGGACAACCATATTTGGCTTGTCCATTTGAGAAATCGCGTCCAAACGACAAGTTTGACTTCACGGACAATCCCTGGGTTGCAACCAATAAGCCCGAAAACAGTACGGAACCGAATGAGCTATCTGTCCGCGACGTCCTGCAATCCGCCCAGTTCTTCTGCAACGTCATCGTGTAGCACGTCTGGACTGGTGCAATAGGCATCTGCGATTTACTCGACGGGATTGGGCAGGCATTTTGTTTACGGACGAGTCACGAGTCCACCTGGATAGTAGCGACAGCCGTTCCAGGGTGTATCGTCGCGTTGGAGACCGTTTCCGTGACACGTGTGTGGTACAACGACGTTCTTTCGGTGGAGGCAGCGTTATGAATTGGGGCAGCAACGTCACATTACGCTACAGCAGGACAACGCCAGGCCACACACAAATCGTGTCGCTATGGACTTTCTGGCCCAGCAGAACGTTGACATGTTGCCCTGGCCTGCTGTATCCCCCGATCTGTTGCCCATTAAACACGTCTGGGATGAAATGAAGCGCAGATTACGGGCATTTCCTAATCAACCGGTGACGTTGCTGATTTGGCTGCAGCGTTGGTACAGATCTGGAATGCCATCCCACAAGCATCCTTGAACCGTCTGATAGGCTCCATGCGCCGACGTTGCCAGGCTTGCATTCAGGCAAACGGTGGACATACGAGGTATTAACTTTGTGAACTCAGTATTGACCCCTGCTGTGTTTACGTCACTCCTGAGCGGAACTTATTGATTCCATAACGTGGAAAATGAAATGCAACTGTTAATAAATAACAAATAAATTGTCCCTGAAAACCATGTTGTTCTACGTCATACGCATTTATTTTTATAACAAATTTTAGGCATGCACAGTTTCTTTTTTTCGGTATTATATATTGATTATATTGATGAAATTTAATTGATAATTTTGTGATTATTTCCACGAACAATATTTTTTGCCGGGAACGGTCGCGTGTACTCGTGACGTTACAAAAACAGGTCCCATTGACAGACCAGCGCGAAATTTGATTTTGAACAGGTTGGAAATATAAGAAAAACTTAAATTAAAAACGGAAATATAAGTATTAAACTGCGTGTTATTCAATTTGTCTGCAATACTGTGAGAATCATAGGACAATAACTTTCCAAAGAAGGCAGTTTAATGCTTAAATATAGCTATGTCTTGCTAGAAGTCTCATCCATCCATAAATGGCACTGGATTTGAAATCCCTCGACCCTCACACATTTATACCCATTAAGAATAATCTTAAGTTTTAATTCCGATCCCTCAAATGGGGCAAAAGTAACTGAGTGGTAAAGGTGCCCAACTGTCTAAGATCACTAGCCTTCCACCACTGGGTTGCGGGTTAGAGTCCTAAATGGGAAAATCACCAGGTACTGGCCACATGTCGGTGTTTTTTTATGTGTACTCAAGTTTTCATTCACCACCAAAACCTGTCTCTTCCTTAAATTACCATAGCTGTTTATAGGAAGTAAAGTACAAACAAACCAAATGGCCCCCTCAAACTTGATCCCCCCCAATATTTATCATGCATGCAGTAATGGGCTTTTATCGAGGTGGTTGTTTTGGAGGCACGGTAGTCTAGTGGTAGGACCCCAGGCTCGTGACCGAAGGGTAGCGGATTCAATTCACAGAATTGTACTGTGTTGTATCTTTGAACAAGATACTTCACTCCGCTTGTTCCAGTCCATGCAGCTGTAAATGAGTACGTGGTTGGGTAGTGCTAGAATTGTTGAATGCTAGCTATGAGCGCCGAAATGTCAGGACCAGTTGTTAGCTCCCCAGGGAGTTGAAGATATTTGCTGGTTGCAAAGGCTCTATAACCAGGGATAATAATTTGTGAACCGCTTTGAAACGACATACAAACTAGGTTGTGATAAAGCGGTATATAAGAACATTGAATTATTATTATTATTATGATACATATATATATACGTGTACTGGTTTGTCTGTATGTGGACCTGAGAAAGCGGTATTAACTGAGATGAAGTTAAGGTTAATAGCATTTTTCATGTCCATATAACATATATTCAGTATTCACTGAAACAAAAGTCCTTAACTGTTACATAAAATATGAAATTAGCGCTATTTATAATTAGCGAAGATGAAGAATAAGCCAATCATCCAGAAAAAAAAGGATTGCATTTGGCAGAGAGCATTCTGATGTTGTAGTTGAAGAGGATATTAACCTGAATGTTTCTGAAAATAGTTATGTTCACCGAGTCAATGTCACAAATCACCAAACTCGACATAATGATTCAATCAAGGAGAATGTAGGAAAAATAGTTCTATCTAAGATACATGTCTATAAATATATTTTGAATAGGTCAGTTAAAGCGACTTCGAAAACTAGATGAAATAAGATTTATATTGACTAGAGTTAATCCGAGTCAGCTGGTTTCCGGGTTTTCCTGGGGAGTGGAACATCCACAATGACATTACTCTGCCCTTCTCTATTTCCGCGTCCAAACATCTTGATGCGCTACGGACCAATGTTAGGTCAACCATCTTTCTGCCCAGGAGTCGTCTTATTAAATTATAGCATCTCCTGTGGAGGACATAAAGGAAAGACGACTCCTATCTCTCCCCCCCTATCTTCTCCCTTTCTTTCCTTTTTCTACATGCTTTGTCTCTTCTAGTTTTAATTTCTCTATCTTTTCTTGTCTGCTTAGAGGCCGCAAGGCCATAATAGCGGATGTAAAACTGTCAAAATAAAAACAAAAATCAACATAACCATCTTTGACACTTACACCAGCTGTGAAAGCAAATGACTTGACTAATGTTACTGCACCATCACCACCTCTTCCCAGTCCTTCCTTTGGCTTTGATTGTTTAAAACCTCCTCTTATCGCTCCATCACTTCCAAGTTTACTTTTGAACGTTCGTCTGGGAGGTTGACATCGGTGTGTCTTATGCTGCAGCAGCTGCTTGGCTGGTAAATTTCTATGCCTAATCCGTGCAGCATTCAAACTACACTTACTGGAAAAAGTTCTCCTGACACCTCCAAAATTGGATAGTGCAAAAAGTTTTACTCTACCAGGTAAAACTAGGTCAGTGTGCACATTCTTAAGACCGAAATGTCCAAAAAACTTTGATGAAACCTGACCTGCACGTCCACACTGGGTGGACATATTGTTAAAGTGACAGAGTCCACCATTGTTGACTGGGTTGACCCTGCAATCAAATAAGAAATTAGGCGATTAATTTCATCTAAAACATCAAGCATATTATGTTATCTGATCAAAAATCACATTTAAATGAAAGTCGAATAAGAAACACACAAATTAAAAATAATACACTCCATGTTAGTTACTATTGTAGCAGATTTTAATTGTACATAGGATTACGGTCGCCTTTTAGATTCGAGCTAGAGGGAATTTCCCTTTAGCTCAGTGGTAGAGCGTCTGACTAGAAACCTGGAGATTGAGGGTTCGATCTCCGGTGGAAGCACACCATTCTCTTTCCTGTTACAAATGATGTCAGTGGCCCTCCCTGTGGTGACAGGAAGTTAGAACCTGGGTTGAGATGTTTGAGGGTGAACGCATTTAAGAAGGGAGTTCGGGAGTAGTGTGGCAGATTTTAATTGTACATAGGATTATGGTCGCCTTCTCGCTTCGAGCTAGAGGGAATTTCCCTTTAGCTCAGTGGTAGAGCGTCAGACTAGCAACCTGGAGTCTGAGGGTTCGATCTCCGGTGGAATAAATAAAGCACACTATTCTCTTTCCTGTTACACTTTTTATCCTTTGTTTCAAATACTAATGTTCCTATATGAATTAGTTTTCTAGATAATCAGAAAGTAACGCTCTCTAGGGATTAGCCCCAGTTTCCTTTGGCCTTGACACCAGACTTTTAGACATTTTGACAGATAGATGTCTAGTGTCATCTAGTGGCGTCCCCAGACCACATCTGTCAATACACCTATAATATAATCAAGGTACATATGCCTGGACATCTAGCAGTGTCCCGGGTTCGGACCCCGGTCTTGACGTGCATTTTTCCTCTCCCGCTCTCCTGGTTATACAAGTCGAGGAATTAACAATAAAACACAGGCACTAGGCCCTAAGTCTAATGAGATTTTAAGGCGACATTATAATAGCAATAGGCCTAGGGGACATCGTATTTCTTATATTAATACCCGGGCTCCTAATCAGTAATCTCTCGTCGTCAGAAAGCTACTATTTTGTTAATTCCTGTAGGAACTCGATCTAAATCAGATTTAGATAGAGTTCCTACAGGAATTACTATTTTGTTAGCCTGTGTCCGTTTTCAATTTTGACATTTCTTTTGAAAACTCAGCAGTCAGCAACAATAAATTAGATGTTCATTAAACAAAAAATGAAGTTGACCTTTCAAACGAATAAAGACATTTTAAATATGATGCAATGAATTGGTTCAAAATAACTTACCGACATACTCGCAGACAGGAGAGCAACCGTACGGGAGCCGCCATGTTGTTTGTGGGATGCGGACAAAACCCGGAATGGGGAACCGGAATGCACTCAGGCGTGAAGAGATTTTTGAAGACGTTTGTATTTATAAGGCCATAACTCCAATAATACACAATGAATTTTTATTCGGAGACGAGCTTACGAAAGATAATGTTATAGCTGATACAATGGTTTAAATTATGTTTATTAATATTTAATATTAGAAGTAAAAGTGTTGGCCGGAATGACCACAAGGAAATCAAAACGGCTACATTTTCAACTGTTTTCGTTCAAATAAATACCTATATCTCGAATAATACTGAACCATTTTTGTTCGTGTTCGTAGACCACTCTAGCCAAGGGAATGGAACTGTGCACTCTTTAAGATGTATCAACTGTTTGAACACACTTTACAATTTATCGCAAAAATGGTGGCCGGAATTAATAAATCGATGTCAAGTGAAAAATGATGAAAAAAATATTTTTATCGTAAATTTCTGTCTTTCTTGGCCAATAACTTGTTTATTACTTAACCGATTTTCGTTCATATGCTAAGATTCAAAAAGATGATACAGTCGTCCTAAAAAACGAAGAAATCCTGACGAAATCTTAGACTTTGTAAAAGATAACAGACTGATGACCTTATTATAGACTTTTCCAAAGCCTTTGACAGAGTAAACCATCCTTTACTCTGTCATAAGCTTAGATATTATGGTATAAGCGAAAAGGTCAACATCTGGATTGAAAATTTACTATCAGATAGAGAACAATCAGTGCTTATTGAAGGTATTAAATCGGAACGTGTCAAAGTCAGGTCTCATGGGGTACCTTAGGGCTCAGTCATCGGCTCTTGTCTCTTTCTCTTCTTCATTAATGGCATACCCCTGAACATAAAATCAACTGTCATGCTTTTTGCAGATGACATAATTATATACCTAACTATAAGTTCCAAGTCAGATGCAGTTACACTACAGGAATATCTAGACAAATTGGTACAATGGGAAAGTCGACGGAATATGTCCTTTCATCCTGATACAAAAGCATTGTCCATAATCCATACGTTCTTCACGGAAGACAACTACAACATGTCTCTGAAGCAAAATATCTGGGAGTCACTCAACAATAAAATTTAAAGTGGGAAACCCATATTAATAATAAATGTTCAAAGGCAAATTCAACATCAGGGTTTATAAGAAGAAACATCAAAACAGGATCCAAAACTGTCAAACAACCGGCATATCTATCTCTAGTAAGACCTTCCTTAGAGTATGCCTGCTCGGACCCACACACCGAATCAGACATAAACAAAATTGAAATGGTTCAACGTAGAGCAGTCCGTTATGTCTCCAACAAGTTTGAGAACACATCCAGCGTTGGTGACATGCTAAACACTCTAGAATGGCGCTATTCAGCCGATAGAAGAAAAGATCAAAGGCTTAAATTACCACTCTCTACAGAATTAAAAATGACTTGATCACTAAAAGGAAAACACCAGTCATTGCACCAAATCGCATCTCCCGCTATTCCTATCCAAATTCTTACCAAATACCATCTTGCAAAACACAGAGTAGAACATTTTCTTTTTTTCCAATTACTATTTCTGACTGGAACATACCGCGACATATCACGTTTATTGATTCTCTTGATTCCTTCAAATTAGCACTTTCTCTCATTAATTATTAGACCTCTTGTTATACAGTTTTTAACCAGTGTAGCTCTCTCTCTTGCCACTTATCTTCAACTTGTTGAAGTTGGGCAGTATCCCATAGACATAGACAGATAATGTAAGCAAGATGCCCAAAGGGCCTGCATCGCTCACCTGGTATTAATCTCAAAATTGTAACCTTAACAAGAGGCCCATGGGCCTTAACGGTCACCTGACATCCGATTCTAATTAGGACTGTCATCCAGGGGCCAATTCATACTTTTCGTCGGTCCGAGTGACCTTGCTGCATCGTCCATTAATTTTTCTTTGTGAACACAATAACTTCAGTAAATATGAACCGATTTTGATGAAACTTTGTATGCAGCTTTGTAACAATGAGATCCTGGATGAGTTTGAATACCGGACCATAACTTTACATAGTTATTCCCCTTGGTAATTCTATTATTGTTGGACCCTGTGAACACGATAACTGAAATAAATGGGTGTGACACCAATTTTGACCCAAGGGGTCTGTTTTGAACAAACTTGGTAACTGTATGTCTTCTATTCTTGGTTGAAAGAAACAAGTAAAAGCGTAAATCAATGATTTATTAAGTAAGGCACAAAATTTAAATAGCACATTGTTAGTAGCAAAAATGCGTCATGAATGAAAAAAAAGGTGTACCACATGAATTTACATCTATTCTTGTGTAATGTCAATCAACATCACAGGGACAAATAATAATATAATGACAAAGGGCAATAACTCTGCAGGTTACCGTCAAATAATTACCGGACAAAGTTTCATTTAACTCCCAGTTTCGAACTCATCCGAGATTTTATTGATATAAGGCTACATACAGAGTTTCTTTAAACTTGGTTGATATTTACTAAGTTATCGTGAACACAAGGTCCAATACAAAATAGTGTAATACTATTATTACAAAGGGCAATAACTCTGTAAGTTACTGTCGAATAATTCCAATTTTCAAACTCGTCCCGGATCTTATTGATATATGGCTGCATACAAAGTTTCATTAAGCTCGATTAACATTTACTCAAGTTCTCGTGTTCACAAGGTCCAATAACAATATTATAACAAAGGGCAATAACTCTGTAAGTTACTGCGAATAATTCCCATTTTCGAACTCGTTCGAGATCTTATTGATATATGGCTGTATACAAAGTTTCATCAAACTTGGTTAACATTTACTCAAATTATCGTGTTCACAAGGTCCAATAATAATAATATTACAAAGGGCAATAACTCTGTAAGTTACTGTTGAATTATTCCCATTTTCGAACTCGTCCGAGATCTTTTTGCTATATGGCTGCATACAAAGTTTCATCAAACTCGGTTAGCATTTACTGAAGTTATCGTGTTCACAAGGAAAAGTTAACGCACGACGCACGACGCACGACGGACGACGACAGACAAAAGACTATCACAATAGGTTACCATGACCTATGGTCAGGTTACCTAAAAATGGACTTAAATAAAGCTACAGGCAAAGTATCAGTAATTATGACTAACTGTTATAAGTCATTCAAAAGATTCAAACACATCAGACCCCTGTGACTTTTAAAGTCGAGCAATGTCATATCGTTGAACATACATTGTACGTACTTTAGTCCTTCATCTCAGCATGCATCTTGCCGCATATCGCCACCCTAGACCTTTTGTTTATTGAGTTTATACACATTTGACCAAATAAGACATTGGAAGTTGGTCAAGTTAATTCAAATGAAATCGTTTGATAGCCCTTCATGCAAGCATGTTACTGGCCAAATATCAATATTTTTGAATATGCAAAAGAACTTGTTTGTAAGGTTTAAAAGATATTTGACCCTGTGACCTTGAAACTAGGTCAAGGTTATTTACTTTTACAAACCAAGTAGCCTTTCATCCAAGCATGTTACTGGATTTATATCATCATTCTGGGCCTGATGGTTATGTAAAAGATGCCGTTTAAAGGTTTCAACATATTTGACACTGTGACCTTCAATATAAGTCAAGGTCATTTATTTGAACAAACTTTAAATTCCTTCATCTCAGCATGTAAGTGGCAAAATATTATCACCTGGGTCTAATGGTTAGGTAAAAGATGCCGTTTAAAGGTTTAAACATAGTTGACCCCTGTGACCTTGAATGTAAGTCAAGGTCATTCATTTGAACAAACTTAGTAGCCCTTCATCCAAGTATGTTACGGGCAAAATATCATCTTCCTGGACATTTTGGTTATTCAGAAGAAGTTATTTAAAAATCTTAAACATATGTAACCCCTTAGGCCTTGAATATAGGTCAAGGTCATTCTTTTGAATGAACTTGGTAGCCTTTCATTCCAGCATATTACGGGCCAAATATCATTTTGGTTATTCAGAAGAAGTGGTTAAAAAGGTTGACATATTTCAAACCCTGTAACTTTGAATATAGGTCAAGGTCATTTATTTGAAGACACTCGGTAACCATCCATCCTAGCATGCCACTGGCAAGATATATAAATATTCTTGGAATTATGGTTATTAAAAAGAAGTCATTTAAAAAAACAACATATTTGACCCCTTTGACCTTGGTCAGTTATCTCAGTGTGTTACTGGTCAAATAACCACATACAGGGCCTTTTGTTTATTCAGAAATCCGTTAATTCTTTTTAATATATTTGACCCCTGCGACCTTGAATATCATTCAAGATCATTGATTTGAACAAAGGACTTGGGGCGTTATGGGTCATTTTTGACCTCATAAGAAGTGAAAATTTCAACTAGATTTGTTTTGCTAATTTGTGTTATAACCATCATATTGGTTACTTAGGGCTATCTTTCTTGTAGATTATTTTCCAGTGCGCATGCATAGATACTCTACCATTGCAATGAAAATTGCTTTGCTATGCAGAAATAGCCAAAATAAGGTGTTTTTGGTCAGTAAACAAACAGAAATGAAAGCCTCCGTATGTTCCTTTCTACAAATGAACACTGGTATAACAAGTCAAATATTTGTTTGTTGCATGCGGAAGCTTTCAAAAATTGGGAGAGTTTTTAGTTAATTTCCTTCAAAATGGCCAATTTCAACCAAAAAGGGCACAACAGACGATATTCACACATTTTATTATGAAAATGTGCGTTTAAGTCTCCTAAACTAGTTGTCGAATGAATTTGAATTTTCATTTTTTCGTACTTCATTTTTATTCCAGGTAACGATTATAACAACTTATTCTAAATCCATGATGAGGCCAGAAATGACCCTTAACGCCCCTAGTCCTTTGGTAACCCTTCATCCCAGCATGTTACTGGCAAAATATCAATATCCTGGGCCTTTTGGTCATCAGAAGATGCCATTTAAATGTTTTAAGACATATTTTACCCCTGTGACATTAAATATAAGTCGAGGTTATTGATTTGAAAACTTTGTAGCCCTTCATGCCAGCATGTTATTGGCCACATATAATCATCCTTGGCTTCTGGTTATTCAGAAGAAGTTAAACTGTTTTAAAAATATTTGACCTATGATCTTGAATAAAGGCAAAGGTCATTCATTTGAACAAACTTGGTAGTCCTTCATCCCAGCTTGCTACTGACCAAATATCATCACCCTAGGCCTCTTGGTTATTCAGTAGAAGTTGTTTCAATTAAAAATGTTGATGCAGGACAAATGGAGGATGGACGGATGATGGGTGTTACACCACTGATTAATCTCACTTGGCCCTTTGCCAGGTGAGCTAAAAAAACTTGACATAGCACACGTAAGTTTCACTTTATTGCTATACTTTAATGAACAATGCACGATAAAAGAAAACACAAGATATAGACTGTTGTGAAACCTTTATTTCTTTTCTCTTTGTTGACATTTCTGTTCACTTTCACACAATCATCATCACCATAATCATCAACAAACAGAAAACTACCACAACATCTCACTCATCAACTCATTGTAAATGATATCAGGTAAAAGTCCGCGCAATAATTACTAGCATCTCGGAAAATGTTGAATCGAAACATTGTCATACTGCATTATCAAATATTTTACGCCAAAGACAGTTCATGTAACCATGTCAATGGGATACATACATCTCTAATATTTTTATTCGTAAGTTATATTTATTAAAATAAAATTTCCCATCACTTTTCATCCGTGTCTAGTTCACAACCATCCTGTAGCAGTTTCTGTCTTTATCTCGTAACCCTACTCAAGATGAAAGTCTAACAAATTAACAATTAGGACCTGTAAAATTGAAGCGATTCAAACATTAAATAAAAATCACCAAAAAGGTACTCAAACCAGATGTAGATAACTTGGTGATAATGAATGTTTGGGTTTTCCCACAAATGTTCTAGGGGTTTATCGTCGGTGATCATTGTATCTTATAAAACTCCCAGGTAAAAAATACAGATGAAAAATGTGTTCTTTTATTTTCATGTCATACCAATCTGAAACTTTATAGTTTTGAACTTTGAAAATTCTTTTCAGTTCAAGAAGTACAGTGACCTTGCCTGCAACTTCTGAAACTTGTAAGTATATCAATTTGACTCAAAACAAGACAGACCAACTGCAGTACAAGAAAACTCATTAATTCAACTTAAGCAAACAGCTCCTTCACTTGTATGCAAGGATAATTTTGCAATATAATTCATAAATAATTTCCATGCTATTCTGCCACATTATTAAGATTTATTCATCTGTATAATTGATATTTCGAAGTTAAAAGATCAAGTTCTAATACACAAAGTTTAAATCAAACTGATGCACTAGCATCGTACAAATAAAATATTAACTCCTTCACCCCTGAAGACACATTTGAACTATTCCAATTCAAAGGTTGGAATAGACCATTGTGAAATTTCAGGGGTGAATGACTTAAAGACGCTACAAACAAATCAATAGCATTGACCCATATATAATCAAATACATACATGTATATATATAGAAAGTTCTTCCTTTAGTTAATATAACACAATTCAAACAAATTAACAGAATTGGCAGTATAGAGAAAGGTATACCACACTGTGTTCAGTTACAAACAAAAATGATATTCTATACAATATATTAATTATATATATTACCCCGGTAACTGAAACAAAAAAAGTATCACAATCCATTTCACACAGCATTGCTATACATGGCAATAATGTTGGACATGGTCAGTAAGGGCCTGACAAACATATCATCTCTCACTCCTTGTAAATGGCATCTGTAGCAGATCCCACATTTCTGAACTTAAAGTTTACAACACTGATTAATACACTTTGTTTATGATATTTTCATAAGAAGTCAAGCAGATTACTTAACATACTTTTCCACAGATTCAAAAATCATAACCATCCGACAAAACACACACAAAATACTTGTATATTCTGCTAACAACTTTCAAAAAATTCAATTTGATAATTCGACTTACTGTAATGCATTAACTCATTCACCCCTGAAATTTCATAATGAACTATTCCAACCTTTGAATTTGAGGAGTTCAAATGTGTCTTCAGGGGTGAAAGAGTTAAATAGCTAATACTAGCTAAGACATATGGGCTCTTCTGTAGTAGTAAATGTGCAGTAACATCCAGCTATATAGTTATTGGAAACTGCTTCATGTTCAAAATGTACTATTTCAGCTGTAACCAAAACAATGAAAGATTCATATTAAAATAATTAATAAAATTTCATCAAGTCACCTGCTACATTTCAATGACCTTCTCCATCATTTGTTTTTTATGTAAGGTAACTTAAAATAAGTATTAACCATATTTTTAAACACAAAATGAGGTTATTTCTATGAGGATATATCATTATCATGATGAAAACATTTGCTACATATCGTAATTTTTACTTCATAGTTTACAGTGAGTGACTTTGAGAAAATGATACCATGTGTGCATGTTGAGACAAAACATTGAACAGTGAACTTTTCACTTAACACTGTCATACCAGTATTTGTTATTAACAGATAAAAGTAGTGCAAGTATCGAAGAAAATAGCTATAAACTAAGTAGGTTTACCCAATGGCTTTGGGAGAAAAATGTTTTCTAGCTTCCTGAAAAGGCCTGCACCGTAAAACTCTCATTTTCTTTTGCATGAATAAGAAGGAAATAATATAAATATAGTAAAAAAAAGTGATGGGACTCTCTTCCACCTTTATGTCCATAACATAAGTTCATACATAATTATAAATGCCACAATACAACTTCTACATATGACGCACAAAATGATAATTAAAGAAATGCACTATTCACTCAAACTCATAAAGCCAAGTTCTGTCAGCTTGAGGGTGGGTATGACAGTGGACCGCTCTGTGTATTAGGGTGGGGAGTTCATTATTTATTGTTCATTGTGTTTTGCATTGAAATTTAAGATTCATCACACACATCAATCTCCAGATCTTTGATATAAAGTCAACATCGTAGACCCTGAATGTCAAGGTCATACACCTCTTAAATTACACTAAAATGAAGCATAGTGTTATCAACTGTTATTTTACATACCAGTACATCATCATGGCCAAAAATAGTAGTTTTTTCAGCCTTAGAAAAATTGATGTCCTACACAGCATTGTCACGCATTTCCTTCTTGTAAATCATTATAAAAAAAAAGTGGGCTTGATCCAAGCCCACATTTTTTTCGCAAATCACAATTGTAAAAAAAAAATCAACAAAAAAACCCACAGGCTTCAATCCTTCCTTTCAAATCACAATCGCAAAAAGCAGGCCTGCTTGATTCTTTCTTGCAACCTGTTTATGGGATGGCTTCAGGAGAGTTATCTGCCCTTGAAAAAGATCATCCTACTGACAGCATTTGAGTAATCTGCTCTTGAATTAGAGATCCTTTTAGCGGCAACATTCATCTGCCCTTAAATTATAAAGATTCCACAGCACATCAATGGAATCTGCATCCTTAATATCCTTCCTTGGAAACTTGGCAACAGATGTCTGGAAATATTAATTAAATTCTTCCATTACATACCAGAGATCGGAACAAATGCATCCCTTGTTCTGCCACCAGGTCTGTTGGAACCAGCATTTATCTGAATACCTTGTATAGGACTTTATCTAACTATCAAGTATTGGGTTGGAGTGTTAAATTCAACATTTATCTAAATACGGTGTTCTTTGCAAGACTGAAACAATATTTCAGCTTAAACATCCCGTCTGTCGGGTTGTTAGGATCAGTATTTTCCCCTATTTCCTGTCTCCTGGGGACAATGTTGGAGCTGATATATGTGTCCTGTGTCTGGTGTCCTGTAGTTCTGTTCAGATCAATATTTATCTTAAGATCCTCCCACTTGAAGAACTGTCAGGACTTAGGTACATTCTCTAGGATGTAGGTAGGACAGTGTTAATGCGCAGATATTTATCAAAATATCCTTCATCTTGTAAGATTGTTAGGACCAAAAATACATCTCATCTCTTGTAGGTGTCTTAGGTCCTATATCTACTGAAGATCTTGCCTCATGTAGGACTGTTAGGACCAATCCTGTATCCAGAAGAAGAGTTGTCAGAGCTGATGCTTCTCCAGATATCCCGCCTCCTTTAATATTATTAGGACTAACAAATACATCATGTATCCGGTAGGACTTTGTTAGGGCCATTAATTATCTTAATATCCCATCTCCTGCGAGACTGTGTCGGAACCAATATAAAGCGTAATCCTGCCTTAAGCAGGACTGTTAGGACAACATATATCCCAATAAATTGCCTTCTGTAGTCTATTTTCCTTATACCATACTTAATGAAGGACAGTGTTAGGACAGATGGAAGGACAACTGACCCTCCTTTGTGGCCAGATAGAGTTTCTCGCGCATGACCTCTACAGAGGAATAGTCTGGTAATTTTAAATAGTTCACACACGTCATCACAGAGGGCAAGAAATTGTCTGCATTTTCTGAAGCTTCAAATGTCTTTCTAACTACAGTGAGAGGTGGATTTAAACTCCTGAATCCTGCAAAGTAGAATGTAAAATCACAGATTAACATTGAGAAATTACAAAATAAAGTGACAGCCATCGATGTAAAATGAGATTATAACAAAATTAAACGTAAAATCACCTGACAACCAGAAAAACTTTTAGTGGAAGTAATATTCCGTCTTTGCTTATTGCAGAGTTATCTTCTCTTGTGAGCAGGTATTGATTGTTACGTCATTTGTTTGTGAGAGTAACGTCATCAATTTTTGAGAAAACAACGTAATTTTTTCACACAAACCAATGACGTAACAATTAATACCTGCTCGCAAGAGTAGATAACTCTGCAATACGCATAGACGGAATATCTTAACCACCATGGTCATAAGTCAATCTTTGTTACATTTGAATGCCATTTTGAACTGCTTATAACATTAAACGATTTCAGCAAAAGGAAGACAATAAAAGGCAAATATGCATGTTTCTTGCTTTTACCATCAAAAATTGATTGCAATTCATATTGATTGGAATTAATTTATATTTCCAAAACAATGACTATTTCTACTATAAAATGAAAAACATATCATAAAAGTTATCATTTATTATAATATTTAAGACTTTTTTCCCCAAAACTTGACTAACGATAAAATAAGAACCATTTCTTACCTCCAACAGGAAGACGAGGAGATCCTGTCACAAACTGGAGGAACTTCCTCTGTTCTACCCCATCATATGAGCTGAGCAGCTCAAACAGGAACTTGACAGCACGACTATCATGGGTGTATCCGTGGTCAGAACGGCAGCTTTCCATCAGCATCTTCACATCCCATGTGTCTGTGGCGTTCCCACAGAACAGCTGTTCCAGCTGTTGATTTAATAATGAAATATATCAAGGTGTGAATACATTATACTGTAATTGAAATGCATTTTCACTTAATTTCAAAAGTTTTAATATTTTGTATTTCTTCAAGTCAGGAAAGGACAGCTGACTACATTTAAATGTTTCATTTAAAAATGAAGTTAAATTAGTGGAGAAAAACAGTTGAATGATCAAGCTCAAATAAAAACATCTGAATCAAGGTGAGCAAGTTTAACATCAAAGGCAACCTATATTATATAGCGTCATAAATAGTTGTATAAATAATATCAAAGTTTTACTTAATACCCAAACAACGTACTTATCAAAACGTTGTGACACATTTTAATGCATACAATATTTGGGTATAAAGTGTAAAACTTTGACATAACATATTTCAACAAGCCATTCGGTTTGATATGTCTTGCCTATGCCCCGCTTTGACCATCAATGCACATATCAGAGAAACTAACTTAAACGCAAAAACTTAATGACTAATGTTGATGGAGATGCTGACAAAGTCAATAGACCATGAAAAGTAGTCTGTATCCAGCATTTGATGCATGGGTTGAGATGTACTACCTAAGATGCATCAATGGTACAAGTTTAGTTGGTCTAGCACTTATATTTCTAGAGAAACTAACTTAAATACAAAAACTTGATGCTGACGCCGCTGTTGCCGGAAAAGCAACACCTATTAAAGTATCGCTTCCACTTCGTGGCGGCGAGACAAAAATGATGAATCCTATTGAAGATGTATAGATAATGTTTTCATCCCTTTGTGATAGTTTCGTTGTAAACAAGATAAAAATGTTAATAATGGATTTGATATTGATGAGAGAATGTACTTACCTCCTCAGGATAGAAGCTCTGCAGTGTACTTAGTGGGAAGATGGACTCGAATCCCTCTCTGAAGGCTTCAAACTGCCTGGACACACTCTCTACCAGACTCCAATGTACCACCAACTATAAACAACAAAATCAGCATCAGTATAGATCAATATTTGCTTTTTCGTTGAATAGAATATCATTACCAAATGTCGCAATGAAAACATCCGACTACTCCTAAGTGTGTGCATAAAGAATGTTAAAACTTATTGTCTGCATTAGTGATGAGAAATGATCGGAAACTTTGGTTATAACTGATGATAGGCGAATAATGAAACAGTGATCAAGAGAAGAGCCTTTTTGACAGATAAAGAGCTCTACAATGGGACAGATAAGACCTTTGTATCAAGATAAAGAGCTAAGAATTGCTACGGTGAAGAGCTTGGAATTACGACAGATAAAGAGCTTAGTATTGCGACAGATAAAGAGCTTAGCATTGCCACAGTGAGAGAGCTTACCATTGCAACAGATAAAGAGCTTAGCATTACAACAGATAAAAAGCTTAGCATTGTCACAGTGAGAAAGCTTACCATTGCAACAGATAAAGAGCTTACCATTACAACAGATAAAGAGCTTAGCATTGCTACGGTGAAGAGCTTGGAATTACGACAGATAAAGAGCTTAGTATTGCGACAGATAAAGAGCTTAGCATTGCCACAGTGAGAGAGCTTACCATTGCAACAGACAAAGAGCTTACCATTACAACAGATAAAGAGCTTAGCATTGTCACAGTGAGAAAGCTTACCATTGCAACAGATAAAGAGCTTACCATTACAGCAGATAAAGAGCTTAGCATTGTCACAGTGAGAGAGCTTACCATTGCAACAGATAAAGAGCTTAGAACTGTTACAGAGATGAAGATAATCATATCAATTGACTGTTTAGAATTCTGACAGGTGTAACACTGATTGTGGCGAGTTGCAGACATCGTCACTGTTGCATACCTGTAAATATTCCTCCAGATTATCCAGGGTAACAGGAATGTCCTTGCCACCCTTCTTCAACTCGATGTTAGCGGCCCCTGGAAGTGTGAGATCAAGGGCGAGATCCTCTATACTGCAGCCTTCCATCGTCACATTGTCAAGGGCAAGCTGTCGACTCTCCTTCGTCTGTATGATAAGGGGACTCAGTCAAGACAAGTACAAGTGGAAGTATATACAAAAGCATGTGTTCATTTAAATAGGACAAAAATAAATCCATTCAGCAAATTTTTCAAAAGAGTAGCAAATTTTTAAAAGCATGGACATTTGAATATTGTATTCACGCTTCAGCATTAAAATTGCAAATCATTAGCATGCTGGAATAGTAAGGGCTATTTCATAAGTTACTGTATGGGGGAGGTGGGAGGTCTTTGAAAGAGTGCCTCCCACCCTCCCCTTCGGTAAATTCTGGAACAGCCCTAATATTTTCCATCAAACAAACTTCTGTAAATTGCTTTGTGAGACAAAAAATTTCACTGCTGCAAGAAACCATCAAGTGAAATTGTTTAATGTATATATTACATGAGATTTGTCAGCTAGGATACGTTGTTTTTGACGAACAACATCTTCAAGTTGTCGGAAAGACTTGGCAACCACAGGATCCACAAACTGGAGGTCACTTGAAGTGAGGCTGTGCTCCTGTCCCAGCATCCATTTGTAAAAAACCAGGCTCAGCGGAATGTCAAGCTGAAATATTTTAAGCAGAAATGTATAGTTTAACATTGTACCCCACTTGCCAGTCCAAGTCTAAAATGCATCCATTTTAATCTGAAAAGCCAATGCTGCTTTCAGTAATCGAGTTGGACCAGTTGGACCAGTGTTGTTCTCTATCAAATGGAGAAGGACCTAGTGATTTGATGTAGCATTATGACAAGCCTTGCCACAGATTGTCAAGGCCTGCGTTTTATTAACATTGGCAGGTCCACCAGGCTTTGTCTCGAAAAACATTACATTTAAAAATAGACAAACTGGTTTTTCAGCATAAACAAACAGGCACCAGTACACACTGTCCAAGTCTACAAATCAGTTTTAGTCCAAAAAAGTGTAGATGACAATCATTGAAAGAATATGATCATATCTGTAATGTGATCATCACTATGTCATGTGATCATCTCTATGTCATTTGATCATCTCTATGTCATGTGATCGTCTCTATGTCACATGCTCATCTCTATGTCATGTGATCGTCTCCATGTCACATGATCATCTCTATGTCATATGATCGTCTCCATGTCACATGATCATCTCTATGTCACATGATCAGTATCATAATAAAACAATATAATCGGTTGAAATATATGCGTATGGATTTGTAAATTATTGTATATTTTATAACTACTTGACCTAATGTAAGACGAGTCGTCGTTGACTCAACTTTTTCATCAAGTATAAATAAAGACTATTATTATTAACAAATTGGACATGTACATAAACTGACAAACCAACCAGCAAAGTCTACAGAAATGTTAACCTAACAAATGAGTGGTGATGGAGAAGCTGTCTGGTTCCTTACCATTCTAGAGTCCATCATGGCTTTGGCCATGAACTTGCCGAGAAGCTTGAACTTATTTTTTAACTTGGTGACCACTGCAGCCTTTGCATTTCGAGCGAGAGGAAGAGTGAAAAGTCCACAGTCAGCGTGGTAGTATTCCTCACCCGTTTCTTGTCCTGAAAATATTTTTAGGATTTGTTTTTTTACTTGCACAGTAATTTTATTTATGCATGGATAAAGGATGCTATGGCAGCATGGATTGTTTTGTCTATTTTACATTGGATAAATTTTACGCATCAGTACAGCTTGTTTTTTTACTACATTTTTTATTGTAAATTTGAAATTTACAGAACCAGTAGAACAAGCATATCTTAGGCTATACATTACACATTTGAACCAGAAAAACATGCTTTTCACTGCATACAACAGACATAGGATTTTGACATTTCGACATTTTGAAATATTTACATATTTGATATGTAAAATTTGAAATAGATAGAATCAGTAAAGCAAGCATATCTCAGGCTATACATTAGAACTAAAAACATGCTATTCACTACGTACTAGGGATAAACAATTTTGGTCCTACCTTCGCTGTCCACATCCTTGACCACCTCACCACGCCACATCTCGTATTCTCCCTTCTGTAGCTCTTTGGACACGAGAGCATAAAACTCCAGGGTCGGACCCAAACCAGTACCCACCTGTGGACAAATAAATATTTTCGTTGATCATTTACAGAGTAGACATTCATATATATTATAGAAGATAATTATTAAATTAAATATATTAAATTAAGATGAAAGTAAATTGAAATATTTAACATTTTCTAAAAGGAAGAAATATTTTCATTTTACTTTTACTTAGTAAACATTCATATATATTATAGAAGATTATTACATGTCTATCAAACTCAGTTTTGAAAACGTATTGCTTGAAAGGTTCACTTTATTGCAGAGTTTATATTAAATTTAGATGAAAGTAAAATGAAATATTTAACATTTTCTAAAAGGAAGAAATATTTTTTATTTATCTTTTACTTAGTAGACATGCAAATACATTATAGAAGATTATTACATGTCTATCAAACTCAGTTTTGAAAACGTATTGCTTGAAAGGTTCCCTATATTGCAGAGTTTATATCAAATTTAGATGAAAGTAAAGTGAAATATTGAACATTTTCTAAAAGGAAGAAATATTTTCATTTATCTTTTACTTAGTAGACATGCAAATACAATATAGAAGATAATTACATGTCTATCAAACTCAGTTTCGAAAACGTATTGCTTGAAAGGTTCCCTATATTGCAGCGTTAATAAATTCAGATGATAGTAAAATGAAATATTTAACATTTTCTACAAGGAAGAAATATTTTCATTTCTATTTTACTTAGTAGACATGCAAATACATTATAGAAGATAATTACATGTCTATCAAACTCAGTTTTAAAAACGTATTGCTTGAAAGGTTCCCTAGATAGTAAATTGAAATTTTCAACATTTTATAAAAGGAAAAAATATTATAAGTTTTCAAAATTATAAGATTTTGTGAATGCAAGAAATGTTTGCAAGATAGCTGACGATATTGTAAATAATAAATTCAATATTAAGCCTCAGCTGGGGAAAATTACACATATTTAGGCAAAATGTGTACAATCAGAACCGTATTGTTTGACAACAGTCGTACTGCCTACCTCGTTTTCATACTGTATCTCCAGCAGAGCTCTGGAGTTCCCAAGGTCCTCCATCACCTTGTCAGCTTGCTTCAGAAGATCTGTTCTAGTAACCAGCCGCTGTTTAATATAACAGTTTCAGATTAAAATCTCTACCCATTGATAAATATAGGATCTTACATGAGTTTCCATTTCATATGAGATTTATGAAACGAGTCTAACAATTTTTCAATTTAGCGAGCCTTTGGCGAGCTAAAATGAAAAATTTGTCACATAATCAATATTTGTGGCATTTATTCGTGTATAACGACGATTTTCATGTAACCATGACATGTAAAAAGCCGCCATTTTGACTCCAGTGCATAAGTCTGTGACGTCATGTACTTGTCCTAGGCGTGATGTCACAGTTGAAACAATTGAAACTTGGCTGATAGGTCATATCACTAATCTATATTGTGAGCTGATCATTTCATTCTAAGGTGTTAATGGGGAGTTAATACCCAGGTACCAACACGGCTCAAGGCACAGTCGAGCCAATGGTCAGTTTTAATTCTTCACGAGAGGTTTCCATATCATAACCCTTGAAACATATATATGTAAAGTTCGAAATTGGTTTTCGTGTGTTAAAAAAAATGAGACATAGCTTTTCCGAATAGGAAACTTTATTGGAAAAAAAATATAACATAATCTGAGCAGTTGAAGAGAAGAAACCTAAAAAGGATTAGAAATTTTCTCAGGCAAATGTGAAAATTTGCGATGCATCACTAATTTTTATTTATAATCAGTGATTATATTACAAGCCACTTACCCGTCTACGGTCAAGTCTAGGTGCCACACGTTCACTGCTGTCATTTGTACTGGTATCTCCAGAATTGTCTTGCAGACGCATCAGTGCTCGATCACGGTCAAACGTCGTGGCATAGAACAACAGCTGTCTTGTCTCAAACGGGAACAGGAACGGCCTGTACAGATGTATCACTCATTATCAGTACGGCAAGATACAAGTGTAGCGGTGAAAGGTATTCTTTATAAATATACTTTATATATAAACAAGGAATACAAAGAAGCAACTTGCAAGCACTGAAAAGATTAAGGATGAACATAATATTACATCAGATGGGTTGTCTGTATTACCATAATCTTACTAAAACCTTACACAATCCACCTTCGAGACAGTATGACCTTCTTCATGTAAATTGACAAAACATAAAATAACATCAATAGAGTTCCGTTGCAATATTACAGCAGGGGAGATTCAGGGATACTTAGGTGGCAGCTAATTCTACGAGCCAGTTTGCTGTCACAATAAAGAGAGATTCATGGACACTTCCGTTGTAGCAGCTTTTTCTGCAACACAACGAGGTAGATTTCCTGTCATCAGAATAGGAGATCTAGAGATGCAATGTACTTGCGTGACAGCAGCTTATTCTGCAAGCAAGTTTTCCGTCTTAATGAGGAGATGATCAGTGATACTTACGCTGCAGCAGCTATTTCTGCGAGCCAGCATGGTAGATTTCCCGTCATGATAACAAGAGGGTCCTGCAGCTGGCGGTTGGCTTTGGCTGTGAGCTTAGAGCTAAGAAAATCGGTGAAGGGCAGGATAGGCTTAGTGGAGAACATCACCTGTAAACAGAGATAACTTCATTAAGTTTTGAAACTGCATTCTCAAATGTCATTGGTCACTTTTAATCATTAAATAATATTAATGATAATTTGAGGTTCTTATATACCACTTTATCACAACCTAGTTCGTAGGTTGTGTCAAAGTGGTTCACAAATTATTATCCATGGTTATTGGGCCATATTGCAACCATCCAGTATCTTTTTCAATTCCCTGGATAGCATACAGCCAGTGATGCCATTTTGGCGCTCACAGCTAGCATTCAACAATTCTAGCACTACCCAACCACATACTCATTTACAGCTGAGTAGACTGGAGTAAAGTATCTTGCTCAAGGATACACCACAGTGCCGTGCCGTGACTAGAACCCGCCACCCTTTGGTCATAAGCCTGGCATCCTACCACTTGACTACTGTGTTCCCTTTATATTGCTAAGAAAGCAAGGCAAAGAATTGTGAGCGATCAATCTTCCCCGTCCCCTTACTACCTTTGGTATTAACCCTTTCACCACTGTAGACCATAAAAGACTCATCCAGATCAATGCATGGTAGAGTCTACTAAAGTTACATAGGGGTGAAAGACCTGATTTCAGTGCGCAGCACTCAATAGTTTGCTGGCACACAAAAATTTGTGATACTAGGTCACAGAGTGTATAGACATTGTGGCAAATGGTGAAGAAAGTGTCATCACTCTGTACAAAGTGGAGCACCAGACTCAACTTCACTACTCAAAACTCTGCCATCCTAAAAGGTACACAAATACAAAATTTGACAATCGAAGATGATTAAGCATATAAGGTGTGTCCCAGAGAAAATGACCTATGGACTGCAGACAAACCTATAATCTCTGTTGGAGGACAAATACTGTTTATGTGTTCAGAAGTTACAGCCATGAACTTAGACCCCAACAATCACCTAAAATAATGTATGATGGAGCAAAATGACTTAAAGGACTATGAAGATTGTAATTTTTACTAAAAATATTGTTCCCCTGAAATAAAATAATAAAACTTCCTAAATATTTTTACCTCATACATGGTGGACCAGTATCGGTTAAACGCATGGAGAATACGCAACAGGGCAATGACGTCTACCGATGCATCTGTGACCGTTACAAACGCGGGCAGCTTGTCTGTGAGGTAGGCATTCAACGCAGGAACCATCATTGGACAGTGGCCTTCTGCAAAGAAATAAAACATAACACTTGATACTATGACCATAGAATATATACATGTTGTTGGTATGATATATATTGTCATTGTCTCCTCGTCAGTATTTTGTTAGTGTATTACATGTTGTCAGTATGTTGTTAGTGTATTACATGTTGTCAGTATGTTGTTGGTATGTTACATATTGTCAGTGTTTCCTCGTCAGTATTTTGTTAGTGTACTACATGTTGTCAGTATGTTGTTCTTATGTTACACATTGTCAGTGTCTCCTCGTCAGTATTTTGTTAGTGTACTACATGTTGGGAGTATGTTGTTGGTATGTTACATATTGTCAGTGTCTCCTCGTCAGTATTTTGTTAGTTTACTACATGTTGTCAGTATGTTGTTCTTATGTTCCCCATTGTCAGTGTCTCCTCGTCAGTATCTTGTTAGAATACTACATGTTGTCAGTATGTTGTTCTTATGTTCCCCATTGTCAGTGTCTCCTCGTCAGTATCTTGTTAGAATACTACATGTTGTCAGTATGTTGTTGGTATTTTACATATTGTCATTGTCTCCTCGTCAGTATTTTGTTAGTGTACTACATGTTGTCAGTATGTTGTCAGTATGTTATATTTTGTCAGTGTCTCCTCGTCGGTATTTTGTTAGTGTACTACATGTTGTCAGTATGTTGTTGGTATGTTGTTGGTATGTTACACATTGTCAGTGTCTCCTCGTCAGTATTTTGTTAGTGTATTACATGTTGTCATTATGTTGTTGGTATGTTACATATTGTCAGTGTCTCCTCGTCAGTATTTTGTTAGAATACTACATGTTGTCAGTATGTTGTTGGTATGTTACATGTTGTCAGTATGTTGTGAATGTGTAGTTATCCTGTACCTGTCCACAGCTCATCCACCTTCTTTCTGTTAGAGGTCTTTGGACCCTTGATTTCAGGCCGGGTTTTCTTTGGACTGGTTGCCATCCCTTCCTCTTGCTCTGTTGCCTGGCGATACCTAAAAACAAACAACTCAATCAAATCTCAAAAGACCTGTTATACTTTGCTTTCCAGTTTCACTTGTATAGAACTTCCCCTTTGTTTTAATATTTAATATCATTAAGATGATTTTAAGTCCTTTTCATAAAGATCATTGCAAAATCATTTTCAACTTGGACTTACTCTGCACTCCATCATCCCAAGATATTCATGGATACCAAATCTGGTTACTCCATGCAAAATAGTATAGAAAATATGCCCTGGCCAAACTTTTTCAAAAGAGAAGGTCAAAGGTCAAAGCATAGGTCAAGTGAGGTCATAGTGACCTAATTCTTGCACTCTGCACTCTGTCATCCCAAGATGTCCTTGTACACCAAATCTGGTTAATCCAGGTGAACTAGTATAGAATATATACCCTGCACAAACATTTTCAAAATTGAAGGTCAAAGGTCAAGTCATAGGTCACAGCGACCTAATTCTTGCACTCACTCATCCCAAGATGTCCTTGTACTCCAAATCTGGTTACTCCAGGTAAATTAGTATATAAGATATGACCAGGAAAAACATTTTCAAAAGTGAAGGTCAAAGGTCAAGTCATAGGTCACGGTGACCTAATTCTTGCACTTGTCAGTATAGAAGATATGCCTGACACAAACTTTCATTCCATCATTCCAGAGGGTAAAAAAGGCGAAAATTTAACTGCAGCCAAAATTTCTCAGTATACAGTACTCAAATTGTATTTACCTTTGTACCAAGATATGTCTACAGTGTGACAAAGTTGAAGATATCATTTAGACAATCTTGATCATACCTGGTTTTGTTTCAACATTTTTAAACAATGTTGCTTGATATTTAGCGACAGTTATATGTGTTAAAACTCTAGACCGTACCAGATGGTGTGTGTCTGCACCCAGATGCTGGCATGGCCAACAGGGTTTTCTGTGTCAGTGTCTGTCTCACTGCTGTCCTTCTCCCCGGGGTTACTGTAGTTCTTGATGGCCTGGTACACTGTCATGTTATAAGGTAGGGCTCGCTCTCCAATCAGAAACTCCAGCTTGTGTCGAGCTGTACCCTGGCTGATGAACACGGCTGCCTGAAATGTTCACAGAACATAAACCTCGTTATCACCAACTCAAATAATTAGTTAGAAGTCTTTCTCCAAACTACTATATTGAAATATGATTCTAAACAAGAATTCCCTATTTATCTAATGGTTACCCTCAACTCTGTTTTACTGTATTTATAACTGATGTTGTCATTCAAATCAAGTACCAACTTTCCCATTTCCTGGTATACTAGACAAGATTCCATATGCTTCTTTCATTGTTGTCTAGTATCAAATGGACTAAGTATATTTCAACAATGGACGATTCTGGGCAAAAAAATCTATGTTCATCCATGGAAAAAAATACAATGTTATGTGTATTGTTCAGAACAATAAAAAATTGTGCATACTAGAATTTTCACATAAATGTTACCATGATCGTAAAAATGGCTTGATCTGGGGAGTTGCCTTAAAACAATGTGTGGTCAACTAAAGATTATTTAGCAAACTAGAGTCAGCATGAAAACTTCTTATAGAAACTTTATTAACAATTACAGCATGATAATTCACACATACCATTGTATCATCAACATCATCATCTGAGTTGTCATCATCACTGACATCATCTTCTCCATCCTGTAACACAGGAATGGACACATACAGAAAATACCATTTTAAACTCTTACCTTTTTTATTTATTTTTTCCCCCCAAGTTTATTCTTGAAGCATCAATTCAAACTTGTTAAAATTTCATAATTCTATTAATATGTAAATTAAAAAAATGGGTTTACTAAATGATTTCTGAAAGTTTATTTCAATGATTTCAATGTGTTGAAGTTGCAAGAAATTTGAGCCATTTTTATCAGTATTGAATATTTGAATTCAAATTTTCTGGCATACCGACCGGTTTTAACCTGCCATAGCCACGAATGACTAAATATCTCTCGATGGCCTGGACTAGGGCAAGTGGATCAATCTTCACCGGCCCACCCTTCCACTGTCTTAGAGACGTACAGGAGGGATGGCGCTGTAGATTACACTGGAACAGCAAAAATTGATACATGATTACAGACTAATAACAGTTAAAGGTTAGAGGATGGGTGTGTGAGAAAGGTGGGGGTATACTGTCACACATCAATGACTGCTTCAGGGTAAAAGTTAGTTACCATAAAGTTTGGGTGATTGTGAATACTTCATTTAAATAATAAGTCCTAACTTAATGCAAGTATTCAATTTATAATTAAAACTTGAAATAAAGAGCAAAAAGAATATCTGCTGGCATGTATTATTCTCAATAAACAGATGGACAGGTGGAGAATGTAAAATTAACTTGTCTTCTCAAAAACAAAGGTCCCAAACCTTGTTTGCATATAGTTATGAACTGAAACTAATTATCATTTAACAAAACAGTACCTTTAGTTGGTGTGTGTTGAAGAAGCGAAGGGCATTTGACCCTCGGCCACTAGATGTACTTCCCCCTGGCAGATCATGAACTTTGACCTGAAACTGTAAACACAGCAACATTTGTAACAGCAACAACTAAAGATCAATGCTATATCTGGTAGATGTTGTATTACACTATATAGCAGATAACAAATCCTATTATAAAATCTCAGTCTTTAAAATTTTACTTGTTTGTTTTCATTATTGCATTAGAGGTCAATATATCACAAACTACCTTGTAATACAAATATAAATGTTCTGAAATTTTGTCTTATTAGTGTTTAATAATCCTCTTATTTTTCCTGAATCTTGCATAAATGATACTTCTACAGCTAAGAAGTGTATCATTATGGTAACCATCTATTATACCGGCCGATTATTCACAACTTTCACACCTATGCTGCTAATTGGCCTGGTCAGTAATTGAATTGGCTGGCCTGTGACTTAAGACCTCTCAGTGACCAAGGTTAGCGTGAATCCATGTAGCTATTGTTTATTCACTAAGATTGACCAAACTTTGCTTCTTTGTCTCATGCTGTGAGGAATGTTTTTTTGAAGTAAAATTTTGTGAGCGTCACGCTCCAAACATTAGATATGGCATGCATGATTATAAAGGGATTTTTCAAGTAATTGAGGGAAATGCATAAAGGAAATCGAGTAAAAAAGGGACATATTAATATATGTTGGTAGTAAACTAAGTGGCAAATGTAACGGGGGGGGGGGGGGGGGGGTTACTGTATTAAATCTTACCTGTTCAAGTTGATGAAGACATCCTATCAACTTGCTGACTAGAGCACACAATGAGGGAATGGTTTCTAGGTTAAAGCTAGTCTCCTTCACATACAGCACATCAGGTGCCTATGCAGAACAAGGAAAGTCATTGAATTCATGGACTCATCTTGAGCTGCCAATCAGAACTGAGAAATTATACATTAATCCAACATAAAAATCTAAACAATGACAACTTTTGTTTCTAAAGACTTGAAAATATTGGTTCTATTCTATTTACAGTTTTTTATCTGTAATGTAATCAATTGACAGATGCCTCACACCAGTAAACCAAATGCCTCAATCTTTCATCTTAGTCTCAGGAAAAGGCACTTCCACTAAGTACGGCAAGGAAATAATTTCCTTTAAAGCAAAAATTTCATTTAAACATAATTTTTAAAACAAAAGTGTTCAGACTACTATAAATTGTATTGTGATCACTCGGCTACATTTTCACGAGTTGAGTTCACGTTCTTCAAAAGGAAAAATATGATGAGGACATACATATCAATTTTACAATGTCAAAAGACTTTTAGGACAAATATGTCCTTTATACAGTGTAAACATAAAGATGAACTTACTGGACAGTTGAGGAAGACATGCAGGAAGCGTCTGATCCTAACATCCCGAGGGACCTCTCCTGTGGTGGAGGTGAGATACTGAAGGAACTTTTGTACAAGTCCACTGTGGATGATTTCAAATGGAGATACGTCATTCTCCTTCATGATCTGAGCTATAGCCTTCAAGCAGTCGATACCTGAATCCTCCTGTCAACGAACAACAAAAGAAAACGTTTAATTCAGGCCTGATATGTTCAACGGATTTTTTACGGATTTAAGAATTTTGATAACTTCAGTATTGTTTCACTTACGCTGTGTTACTTGGCTTGGATATGTGAAAGACACATATTCATCAAGTAAACATGAAAACAAACCACAACTTGTGAAATCAGTGTCCCACACTTATCAGCCAGTAGGTCACTAGTTGTAATCTTTTTAACTCATTCACCCCTCAAGTCCCATTTGAACCTTACTAATTCAATGACTGAACAAGTCCAGTTTAGATATGTAGGGGTAAATGAGCTCATTAACTTAAATAGCTTAACTAAATAGCTGAATGTGGATAATGTTTTTGTCTACCTAACTTCATTATTGGCAACAACAAAGTTGGTCTAAATCCAAAAGAAGGATAAGATTTTTTTTTCCCATTAAATATGCTTTAAGATTAAAGAGTAAACAAATGAATTTAATATTCCAATAATTTAAAGTGGCTGGTCGGGGAAATAAATACAAAATAAATGGGTCTAAATGCATTCTCTGGCCTTCCAAAAGTTATATCACGGTAATATGATGGTCGAGTTCTGCTTGCAATGTCCAGTTTTGACCACTGAAATTTCAGGGAAGCCCCGCGTAAATTTAGCGCAGATCTATTTATATATGTCACGTGGTTGTTTCGAAAGTGAGGCAGTGAAGATGACAACAATAGCACGCNTCAGATTATTTTAAAACATGTCCATAAGATGGAATATTCTTTTTATAGACTGACAATTTTTAACAAATAAAATTATTACTATTTACCTCAGCGGACAGGTTTTCTGTTGCAGAACACAATCGGTTTAAGACATTAAGTGCTGGGTGGCTGCTTCCCTGGCTTTCGGAGTTGAAGTACTGATCAAGGAACCGAATTGCTGCAGACACAAACAGAAGTCATTTACAATAAGAGATGAAGACACACTAAAACGAGCAAAAAAATCACATCTCCAAGCTACATAAATGGTAATGTAAATGAAATCTACCAACAATATGTAATCAACAGGTGCATTAATTAGCATTGTCCACAACAATAAGTAAAGAAGAGTGGCTAAAATTTTCTAAATTAATCTAGTTCTCCCTACTGTGTTACAAAACATAAAATAATAATTTTGATTTCAGTTAAGTTTGCAGAGCTTTTTTCATAACAGATAATTCAAATATTATATACTCAATATATTTTATCTTTTTCAGGTAATTTATCTATTAAAATACATACACCGTACTTAATTTCTGCTGCTTTTTCTATGATTGATTCAACATTTTAGAACCAAACACGTGCACTTTTTCCAAATACGCAAATGGGAAATGTCTGGTTATAATTAAACATGAGGGGTACTACTCTTGATCTTGTCCTATAGAGAACCACTATACAATCTTTTCCTATAGAGCACTATTATACGATCTTGTCCTGGAGAGCACTACTATATGATCTTGCCCTACAGCGCACTACTATATGATCTTGTCCTATAGAGCACTACTATATGATCTTGTCCTACAGAGCACTACTATATGATCTTGTCCTACAGAGCACTACTATACGATCTTGTCCTATAGAGCACTACTATACAATCTTGTCCTATAGAGTACTACTATGTGATCTTGTCCTATAGAGCACTACTATATGATCTTGTCCTATAGAGCACTACTATAGAAGCCATTTAAGCCAGGACTGTTAGGATGGCCGTACCTTGTTCCTTGATCCAGGTCTTCACCTTTTCTTTGTTACCGGAACTAGAAATGCTCATCTGTTTCTGGACACTCAAATCCTGCAACCACAAAATGTCATGATAAAATACTAGCAAAGGTATCAACACATCTGGGTTTAATGACCCTTTCACCACTGTAGACCATAATGGACTCCTCCAGATCAATGCATAGTAGTCTACCTAAGTTACATAGGGGTGAAAGGGTTAATTAAACACAGTTACAAACAAGAGAAAACTCAAACACAGTCTTCTGGAATCATATTTATCAGGCTAAGTCAGTATAGTGATACAAATTGGAAAATGTCATATCTGTGCACACATTCTATAAAATACTGAATTATAACATTTGACTTTGCATACTACTTTCAAATTAAATAAACTAGTCTTCACACATCTTGATCTTGGTGTTCATCAAATTAACTTTAATTTACACAATACTGTCCAATGATTGATCAATTATACAAGTCTAAAGTTTCACTAGTTCATTATCTTTACCAGTCCCAAAATTATCAACCACACCAACCATGGATGATGAGTCATATTAAGAAAGGCCTGTGATTGAAAATAGAAATCCTCATAGTAAAATTGAACATAGGATTTTTCATAGGGATAATAACACATAAATGACAATTTTACATTTCTTGCAAGATTAGCCAATACTCTTGGCTGTCCTGCCTTTGCTAGGCCACCCTTGGGAAGTGCAGGTCGGTCCGAGCTGTTGGAACTCTTGCCCCAGCTGCGAGGATTCAGGCTCGGCAGGAAGGACATCTTGGAACTTGCCCCACTGGACTTTCCTTCTTTACCTTTGAATAAACATAGATATTTTATTTTGAAGAGCAAGTCACTTCTTTCATTCTTTTCTGTTATGTATAATAAACCATATTTAATGGGATTTCATTGGTAAACATCTAATAACTGTATACTGAGAAACTATAGCTCAGTCAAATATTCGCCAATCGCCGATCAAATCCACGTTAGCCCAGTGTTAATTTCGCCCTTCACATGTTATTACTATATAGTATAAAGGGTATGCTACATACAGATGTACTCATATTTGTTGCCATGATAATTTTGCCATCAAATCCGGAGGGAAAACAAAATTTCCCTGTATACAGTATAACTTTGGACTTTGGTATATTAACTCATTCACTCCTGAAATTTAATAATGAACTATTCCAACCTTGGAATTGGACGAGTTCAAATGTGTCTTCAGGGGTGAATGAGTTAACACAAATGCTCATCAACTCAAAACAGATGAACTGCAAGAATGTATTTGATCTGTGATGCAATTTTGAAGCAGGACTAGATACTATTTTATAGGCATAAAGTAGATTTTGTTCATCCACCTATCTTTATTCTCAGATTGACTAGACTGTGAAACCTCTGAATCTGTGAAGAGAAACCTGTCCCCTAGCAGGATAGTGGGACAATTAGTTAATGATGGCTGGATTAACGAGACTTGATTATGGACCACGACAAATCACTTTTTAACCTCTGTAAATGTTCACAAAGCAACATAAACTTGGTGTTTAAAATAGACTAAGACTAACCAAACTATCATTTACTAACTCCAAAATTCCAAAATCTCAATTTTTTCCAGAATGAAATTTATCTTACTACAAGATCACAGAATAAGCACAAGGCGTAAATGCCAAAATCTGCTCAAAGTTGCAGATCTAATGCAAAAATGGAAATACAAATACTTTTGAAAATGAAATTACTGGCAGCTTTCGTCCTACTAGAGCCCCGACTTGATGTAGGGGTGGTGGTCTTGGTAGCCAGATCTGTCGGAAGTTCCTCAGCAGAGTTGCGTCCCTTGCGTCCAAGGGACCGCTTAGGGGGTTTCTTTCTTTTCAGCACATCACTAAGTCGCCTGAGCAAACAACATCAAGCATATTTGTATCACATTGTCATCAAAATGTTTAATCTGTGTTTTATTAGCTTTTCAAAAACTTATCTTGTTAATTTTTCTTCTATTTACTTTTAAATAACTAATCATATTATTTCTAACCTTTTTCTTCTATTAAATGGACTTTTTACATAGGATAAATCAGCATTGTATTGCTTGAATCAACTTATTACAAAATACTTTAACCAGTGCAAGGGAAACTCTTTTTTTTTTTAAATATTTGGTCAGGAAAAGATTACATAATAAGTGTTTTAGAATTTTCCATCTATTTGACCTTTGACCTGGGGTCGACGGTCATTTTAACTTAATTACACTGCAATGCCTACTATCTGTGAAGAATGCAAATACATATAACAAACTAAAGTTTCATCTGATATTTTTAAAGGTTCAAATTTACAATCCTAGACAAGATAGTACTAAATCAATGTGTCTCTTGTCATTTGAAGGGAAGACATGCTTATGATAAATCATATTTAAAATTTTATTTTACGTTAATTTTTTACAGTCTAGATATTTCTAAGTAAATCTTCTTCAAAGTATTGGTGATGTGTTTACATGTTACTTACATTTGTGTTGGACTACTGTGCTGGTCTTCCCCGAGGGTGGGGATAGAGGCCCCTCCCAGTTCTCGGGACCCCATACTGGCATCCCGACCCCCTAGGGACTCAGAACTGTGAGAAATACTGCTACCCGATCCCATTGTGCTGGAGCTGCTCAAACTACTGAGTGAGCTGGAGACTGACCCTGCCACTGGGTGTTGGTCCTCTGGGGGGCAGGGAGGCTTCACTGGCGACACAGCCGTGGGGTCAGACTCGGCCAACTTCTTAATCTGATGCATCACACCTAAAACAGGATATGACAAAATAGACATTCTAACATACATTCCATTTACTTAGTATTTATTTCTTTAGTTGTTCATTTCTATCTGTTTTATTTAAGTTAATACAAAGTTTACTTCTTATTCAGACAAATAGCAGATTCATAACACTAGAAATCTTACCTTCTCTTCTAAAAAATACACTGAAGATGTCAGCCAATTTCTGCATTAGGATGTCGGCCATCTGAATGGCCCCTACCACCACCTTCAGATCCTGGGAGGCCATCATGGCCGCTATATGGCTACAAAGAAATACGAGAAAGCTGACATTAATACCAGACAGACATATTAAATCTGAATGAATAAATACATTATTTAAATCATTCAAAAATACTGCAACAACAGAGATGGCAACAACACTCCTCAAAAAAGATGACAGAAACAATGTATAAGTAGCCTTGTAAAACTGAAGAGAAAATTATTTTGCCAAGGATGGTGATGCTTCAAATTCACTGTTAAGAGTCCCATTCAAGCAGTTCAGGATCACAAGAGGAGGGTTTCTTTTATTGCCTAATATTAGCATTACGAAAAAATATGACTCCAAAACCTTAATATTGTGAGTGTCGGCTAAGGTATATTTTCAATATTGGTCAATTTTCCAGCTCAAAGTGAAATTTTAAGCCTTTCACTTATCCGTCCCCTCACAAAATCAACTTTGAGATGATGGTATCCCAAAGAGATTTAAAAACAAAAATCTTATTGATAGAACATAAAACCTTTGAAATGTCTTGTATAAACTAATTTTGCTAGTCTAGGTAATTTATTAATATCATTACTTATGCAAACTTCTTTAAGTGTAGTGTAAAGACATTGTATGTTATTTGGGTTATGGAAGTAATCCAACACCCCAAATCTCTGTTTACTGGGATTTGCCATCAGGAGGAAGCATTTTTAATCCCTGTTTACTGGGATTTGCCATCAGGAGGAAGCATTTTTAATCCCTGTTTCCTGGGATTCATTGGTGAAAGGGTTAAGAGACTAAGAATTCTTTCAAGGTAAATTTTCTCCATTAAAAAAAGAAATTAAGAAATTAAGAAAAGGTTGGTCAATGCTTAAATGGAATCTCACTAAGGTATCCAGAATTTAAAATTTAATTACCTAGAGACAGGTTGAGTTTTGAGGATTTCTTTCAGTAAGTCAGCATCAGCATAGAAGATCATCCTCAGCAATGTCTGCAGACACTTGTGTCTCACTGTAGGACCAGCCTGTTAACACAATATTTACAACATTATGATTCTTATTCACTGCGTTCAACCAAACATAAAGCATTTATCATATAAAACTCAACACCTATGTATGGAGAGTGGTCTTCAACAGTCAACCAATATCGAATACAATATTTACAACATAAGTACAACACTTCTTGCTGCCGGACCACTGTCCCCTCCCCCTATTTCATGGTGGGGGCATTAAGTGACTAAACTTTACGTTAAATAATAACAAAAAGAATGTATTGCCAGATCACTTTCCAAGAAAACAAGGTAAATCCCAGAAAGAGCATCTGTTAAGGGCCTGTCACACCTAGTGGATTTGGGTCGCCGTAGCTATACCAAAGCACAAATTGGACGATTTTTGGTATCACATTGCTAAGATCAATAGCACATCCTCAGAACAACGTTGAATAGCAATGGTAGGCGAAGGTAGAAATTGTAACATGCTCAAAACTTTCAGCCAGAGCACTGCCGGAGCGAGCAACAGGACTTCAATGGCAGTTTTCCGATATGGCTTCGTTAATGTCGGTAGAGCCGCGCCCGGTAATGGATCGGCAGCTCTTCAGTGGCCACAATATGTACCGTACTGGTACCGATGTGATACCGTAGTACTACTGAATACCAACAAAGTAGTACTGATGCCTCAGTATAACATCAGCGGCACTAAGGTGACAGAAAAGTGGTATTCGGTAGCACGTCGGCTCTTACATCGGTAGGACAATGGCAGAACAACGGTATTACAACAGGAAAGCGATACTACATCAGGTTTTTTTTGCTCTGGTTTAGTCCCGGCGAGGTACATCGGTAGTGTGTGACAGGCCTTTTAGGTTTTGACTATATACTATGACTTACTGAGGAACTGTATACCTCATACAGAACAGCAAACAGTGTCTGGATAAAGGCTGAGGCCAGGGACATGTCTTCTTTCATTATCTCTGCTCTGGAGTCGCACCGCTCAATGTTAGGGTCCGACGACAGGGAGGACACAGAGGATACAGAGGACGATGAGGAAGAGGTCAGAGAGGTGGCTGTAAATACAAAATCAAACTATCTCAATAACAGCAATTAGTATACTACTTAGTACCTTGTCATGTGCCTGACAGTACACCTATTTTTAGTAACAGTGACCTAGATCTTAAAAAGTGTTTTATCTCCAAATGCAATTCTAAATATCAGTGTATCACCATGTCAAATTTCAAAAAGATTAGTCTTTTGGATTCCACAATAAGGACTGTACCACCCCATGATCTATTTTTAGAAACAGTAACCTTAACCTTGACCTTTAAGGATTATAAAACAGTTACTGCACATTTACATATATATCACAATGAGTTTACCACCATGTCAAATTTCAGAAAGATCAGTCTAATGGATTCCGAGATAATCTTCAGAAACTGAAGTGTGAACGGACGGACACAGTGATTGCTATACTATTTGCCCTATAGTAAGTACTCGGTGTCAATAGAGTTTCCAACCATTACTACTAAAAATGTGTAAAGATCTTGATGAAAAGAGGTGTAACTTACCAGACGCCTGTGGTGCACCAGGTACAAAAGGATTGACCTTCCTCTGAACTGGCCGCGCTGTGCCGGTATCCTCATTTATCTGTTGCATAGAATTGAAGTCCAACGTGTAGGCTCGTCCCATAGTGGACAGGCTTACCTCATCCTCACTGGCCAGGTGGGCAGCCTACCAATATAATCATTAACAGTTGTTTTACAGTTGCATCAGGCGACATATCAAAACCATCTAAAGGTAAAATCTAGATGTTACTTTCCCAGGACAATTCTGAAGATGGAAGCCAAAAGCTGCCTTCCCAGAGCTAGTTTTGAAGATGTCCATTTGAGATTGTCAATGCAAACAGTATTTGAAATTACTGTGAGATATTACCTGATAGCGTATTAAAGTTAGATGTTGCCTAACCGGAGATTTTTGAAGATGAAAATGAAATCTGGTGTCAATCATTTGCCCAAATATATATACCAGCCTCCAATTACTCACCTCTACAATCTTGCTATCGATGGGTGTGTAAGGGTGCCAGATACCGCGGTCATCCCGCCACTGCCAAGTGATCGCCTCCAGCTGGCCTGTGGAACCCTTACGCAGCATTGTGTCAATTGAGAATATCCCGTCTGTTGGTAGCTTGGGCATAAGCTCACTGTACAAACAAAGATTTTTTTTAGTACAGATTACTTTTAAGAGGATTATTTTTGCAGTAGGGCTATTTTCACAATTTCTGTGGGGGCGATTCCCAACAGTGAACATTTTCATTTCATTTTATTGCACTGATCATATGTACAAAGGAATTGGGCAACAGGCAAAGCCTATATAAGCCCTCTCCTTACAAAATATATATCAGTATATAATCATATTAACGGTACTTTTACATGTTTCTTAAATGTTAAAATAAGAAATTATATGTATTTTGAATTTGATTTTGATAGGACAACTCATATTTCAATTATCCCAATTGATGTAAGAGAGATTATATTTGACAATACTAGTTAATAATCAAATATCTAATAAAAACCTCTGGTGTTAAATGAAATACTGAACGGTCGCCACAATATTTCTATTCATATTAACGTCTCATATACATCCTACTCCAATATACTATGCCTTTATATATATTGTTCCTCTCATATCCTTGTATGAAATATCCAAATTTCCTAACTAAAATTCACATTCAGGAGGTGAAAATGTAAATAGTAACTGGTCTTGCACAGATAAAAACATCAAAGCACTATCATACATTTTTTGGAAGTTAACATGAACATAAATATAGATCTGGAAATACCTTCAAAATTGTATACAGAAATATAACCAATGTCATTGAATACCAGCTTACCCAATGAGACAGACTATTTCATACAACTCCTGTGGGGTTCTGGAAACAAGCTGTAAATGACAAACCATCCAATTGTTACTCATCATTCATTTTCAAAACTGAAGTCACCAACATTGTGAAATGCGTATATCTGTCAAGATACATTTTAATTTTGCTAATTTTTCGTGTTAGCTTGTGACGAGACTCACTGGTGAAATGAATCATCAATGAAATGGTAACTATGTATAATTACTATTGTTAATGAAATAGCATCACAAAGTGTTCACGAACAAAAGCCTACAGGCACAGTTTGCAAAAAACAGAAAACAACAAAATAAAAGCGATTTACAGTGATGTCAAAGTGAACATTGTTGAAAAGCTTAATATCTGTGAACTTGTATGATGAAGTCTGAACAATTTTCAAAAAATTAAGGACAGTAATGAATTATCCTGATTAATGCACTACAAAGGAAGCAAGTCCCGTAAAACTGGCATTAGGATTGTGTTAAATCAGATTATAAATGCGTCAGAATATTTAAAGGTCTTTGACGTAACCGAAACAATATTTTTGGAAACCACTGAAAAAATTTGTTCGGGACGACCTCTTTGTGAAGTTAAAGCTTTCTGTAATTGCAGAGTTTCTTATAAAATACTGTTAGCCACACACCATCAACACAAAACTCACCTCTATACTTGGACTGGCTTGTTCAGATGTTCCCACTAGGAGATAACATAGGGTGTCTGCGATTTCTGAAGTAGAATCATGGTGATAACTAAATTGTGTTTGTTGTTCAACTCAAGCACTCCATATACCACCGTCTATTTTTAGTAAAGTAACCTTGACCTTGGAAGCTTTTAAAATTCGTTAGTGCACAACTAAATATTACAATGTATCGTCATGTCAAACTTTCAAAAGATTAGTCTTTTGGATTCTGAGATAAGGACCATATAAGTCTATTTTTAGTAACAGTGACCATAACCTTGACCTTTGAAACTTTATAAACCCCCATCACCAATGCACATCTACATATTGCAGTGCATCACAATGTCAAATTTCAAAATGATTAGTCGGATCCAGAGATAATCTCCAGAAAACAAAATGCGGAAAGATGGACCAACTATCGGCATTGAGGTGTTTTTTAACTAAATTTCACAACAGCATGTGGGAAAATATAGCATTTTTTTTTTATTGAAATTAGAAATATATTCCTCATTTTTTTGGTCATTTTAGGAAAGAAATTACAGCATTTTTTAGCGAGGGGAAATTTGTAAAACTGAGCAAAAAATCACTGATAGGGCACCTACACCTCCCGAAGCAGAGCCATAAGTAGAACTATCATATTTTCAATCTCTGTAAAAATTGCTTTAATGATCATATTCTGTGCTAATTTTCCTCACCATGAATATAAAAGAACTCCAAGTTAAAGCTGTTCCAAATGCACTTACTTTGTTTGAGAAGGAGGACAGCCAGGTCAGGACAGCTGGCACACATCACGGACAGCATACGTACTACCATAACAAACGTCCCGGTACTGACCACTGGCGGGCTGACCACCAACTGTCAAAGACAACACCACCTAGCATTAGAAACATCTACACAAAATGTCATAAGCTACAAACCCCTACTGTCAAAAACAACAACTTGCTGCCAGTTTTGATTGTACAACCTCACATTTTAAAAGAGTTCAGTTGAACCTCACACTTGCAAAGTAACGTTTTATTTTTAATCCCTTCTTACAGTCAATGATAATAATAATTCTTATATGCCGCTTTATCACAACCTAGATCGTAGGTCGTCTCCAAGCGGTTCAGAAATTATTATCTTTGGGGAGCATAGTACAGCTGGTGCTGCAATTTCGGCGTACACAGCTAGCATTCAACAGTTCTAGCAATTCGTGCCCATTCACATACTCATTTACAGCTGAGTAGACTGTAACAAGTGGAGTAAAGTATCTTGCTCAAAGATACAACACCTTTTGGTCATGAGCCTGGCATCCTACCACTAGACTACCGTGCCTCTGTGTCAGACCTGCATCACTTCACATTTCCCTACCCTTACTATCTGTTGTGAATATTTATTCTTTGCTGTTGTTGATTAAAAGTTTATTTTGATCCCACACTAATTGTGAAATCATGCCCCAGGTGTACTAGCTACTGATATCCATTCCAAATAGTAGTTTTAAGTTAGACATCACCTTATTAGGTGCTTGAAAGTAAACCTTGCCCCACTGGACCCATCCCAACCAGATGTCGTTTAATTAGGCCCAAAAAAATATGTGTACTTCTGGTTTCCCTACTGACCCTAGATTTTATGCCTACCCTAAAGTTAGTAATAAGCACTGTTAAAGTCAGAACTCCTGCTCTGTATAAGCATATATATGGTTTAATTCTGTTAAATGTCCTATTAACAGGTAAGGTCATTTAAGGACTTGTTTCCATGTGTGTAGTGTATGCGTGCTTGCGTGTGTATCTCACTGAAATACCATGCCAAAGGCACCCAGCACAACATTCCGTCTGGTCCAATTATACTGACAACGGGTGAACCAGTTGTTGCCATGTAGCCTTTAAATGCTAAACGCAAAGCAGGGAATAACAACTATCATATAAAGATAAAGATCCCAAATATTGCAATAGGTGCAGCGGATTTATTTTGGTCGCTTTTGTGTCCCCAAGTAGAGGACACCAAAGCAAATCCCAAATTCTGCAGTGGGTAACAGCAGGTGTATTCTTTTCCCAATCCCCCCCCCCCCTGCAAGGGTGGCAGAAACAGGAAACACATATTTTGTTTTGGCCTTAGAACTCTACTGCAAGCCTAGCAGCTCGTTAGACTTTGCCCTTACCAGTTGTTGTATGTTAGTGAGAAGTCCATGTACAGCTATCTCCTTCAGGATCCTCTGGTCACCTTGAAAGTTGTCCACCAAGCGGGAGAAACACAAGCAACAGCTTTCAACCGACTTCTTATCCTGCCAATGTCAAATCATAAATCCTGATTAAACAGCCATAAATACTAATGTCAAATTATAAATCCTGATTAAACAGCCATAAATACTAATGTCAAATTATAAATCCTGATTAAACAGCCATAAATACTAATGTCAAATCATAAATCCTGATTGAACAGCCATAAATACTAATGTCAAAACACAAATCCTGATTAAACAGCCATAAATTCTAATTTCAAATCATGAATCTTGATTAAACAGCTATAAATACTAATGTCAAATTATAAATCCTGATTAAACAGCCATAGATACTAATCTCAAATTATAAATCCTTATTAAACAGCCATAGATACTAATGTCAAATTATAAATCATGATTAAACAGCCATAAATACTAATGTCAAATCATATATCCTGATTAAACAGCCATAAATACTAGTGTCAAATTATAAATCCTGATTAAACAGCCATAGATACTAATCTCAAATTATAAATCCTTATTAAACAGCCATAGATACTAATGTCAAATTATAAATCATGATTAAACAGCCATAAATACTAATGTCAAATCATAAATCCTGATTAAACAGCCATAAATACTAATGTCAAATCACAAATCCTGATTTAACAGCCATAAATACTAATGTCAAAACACAAATCCTGATTTAACAGCCATAAATACTAATGTCAAATCATAAATCCTAATTAAACATCCATTAATACTAATGTCAAATTATAAATCCTGATTTAACAGCTATAAATAATAATGTCAAATTATAAATCCTGATTAAACAGCCTTAAACACTAATGTCAAATTATAAATCCTGATTAAACAGCCATTAATACTAATGTCCAATCATAAATCCTGATTAAACAGCAATAAAAATACGAAAAGATTTCTATATCACTAATATATTTTTAACATTATCTTTGTTGATGTTGAACAGATATTTTAAGCAGTTAAAGATGGAATGTTTTACAATAAAGCAATTTCCAGATTTATTTATGCTTTCCTGTGAGGCGCTATGAGAATATTAAACAGAGACATGAGTTTTGAAAATATGTTCCATGAGTCAATACAAAAAGGTGAGTTTATGATAGTGTGGAATAGTTATTGATTTTAAACAATGGTGATATTAAAAAGGTTTCTATTTTAGGTAAACTCTTGTGAAAATAGGATAAAGGCTCCCAAAAATCTTGGGTTCTTACCTGATGTGTTAGACGTGCACTGAGCAGAGGGAAGGATTCCCGGATAAGGTGAAACTCTTCAGGACTTAAGTTCTGTACACAGTTAGCTGTGATACCCAAAGCACTCCTCTGTGCTGACATACTGAAGAAATCGAGGAATGTCAGACATGCCGATATTCCTCCCTGTGGTACAAAATACAATGTTTTATAAAAACCTAATATATATTACATATATATCAGTCCGAAGGGCGAAAAAGCCAATTATTAAACTGTGGCGAAAATATCCCAGCATACAGTATGTCATCCCACGTCACAAGTACTTAACAGATATGGTATTTTCTAGTGGTAAGAAATTTGCTACGTAATTGGTACACTTTTAGAAATCATTAACATTACGCAGTCTAACATTTTTCTTCACACTATTGGTACACTTTAGAAATCTTATATATTACAGAATAATAGAATCTCTCTCCCCCTTGTGGGTGAGATAGGGGAATATCAACCTGAGAGGGGTGATTCTTAAGTTGCCAAACACAAGGCTTTACCAAGTGTTTAGCAACTTAAGGATTCCCCTATCTCACCCACAAGGGGGTGAATGATTCTTTTTCTCTTACCCTGTTCTCCCATTGTATATCATATACACAATGTAATGTTAATGTCTCACGCTAAATTCAGGGGAATCCCCCGTCTCAACCCTCTGTCCAGGCTAAGAGAACTAATTTTCTTCACATTTTCTCATTACTTTAATACTTACAGCCTGCAGGATAGCCTTGCTGTGTCGCCGTGACAACATTTCGAGAGCCGTCAGAGACTGTTCTGCTACATCCATACACTGGATAGCTCGTAACTGTCGTATAGAACCAAAAAAAAAGAAGATTTTTATCATATTTTAAAGAGGGATGGTATGGTTTTATTTTGTTTAACGCCCTATTAACAGCCAAGGTCAATTAAGGATGTGCCCTCATGTATGTACGTGTGCTGGAAACAGGGTATGTATTTGCCTCCTTGTGATAGCGTGGATCTGATACCAACTTTATAGTGCTGTCTTACTGAAATACACTGCCAAGGCACCCACAACAGCATTCCACCCAGTCACATTATCAAAGCAAAGGGAATGGAACAAATTTCAAATTTATGGGAATGGAGCTGACTTTCAACCTCAAACATACAGACAGGGAAAACCTTTATTGAATGAATGTATGCTGCCGTGGTTTATGATGCATTGTGTGATTATAAGAAAATAAAGAAACACAATAATATGAAGTTTCTCTTATCTTGATGACAATGGTGCCTTTTGGAGGAAATTTGAATAACTGAAGAAACACAAGAATATTAAGTTTCTCTCATCTTAACGATACCTTTTCGAGGAAGACTGGCACTGCATCAACAACGACTGCGGAAGATCGGGGTAGAGCTTCCATCATATAGGTTAGAGCGCGACAGGCATGGTTCATCATGTCGAAGTTATGCTCCATTTGTAGGAGTGTGATCAGGGCTGGTACAGCCTGTTTCACTGGGAATCCTGCTAGAGTGTCCTCATTTCCCATCACCAGTAACTAAAGAAGATATAGATTTGTTCTTAGCATTCTGCATATTTTCAATGATGAAATTTCATCAAAAATACTTTGAACTAAATGTGAAATACTGTATATCTGAGATGGAATGATGTGAAGTTGAACAATTGTGAGTATTTGATTTATTTTTGTTGTTTTTCACAGATAAGGATAGCAATACGCTAATTTGTATTCATGAGCATAAACATCTCTCCCATTATCATGGCCAGTATGCATAAATGTCCAGACAGTATTTTGCAGGAAATTTTGCACTCATTGGCCCTTTGACATTGAGGGGAAGATCACAGTGACCTAATTATAGTACGCTGCCTAACTGACAGTTTAAAATTAAGGCCCAGACAAGAATAAAATGAAATGAAGAACCAGAATAATCCAGACTAATATAATCTTTGAACATGGGACCTAATTACACAACCTGACACAATGACTACAGTATATTATCTGTACATGAGGAGGTCATTACCTGGCACATCTCAATGGCAGAGGTGAGCTGCTGGTCCTCGTTTCCTGTAGACTGCAGGCCTTGTATTAACTGCTGAGCTTTGCTGACTGTAATAACAAAAGGGTAACACACATTATAACTCAGAGTGGCTTCTCACAGGGTTTTCAATATACAATGCTTAGCTAAGTTCTCCCTGCTACGGTACTTGACAGCAAGATTGTGTTACCAGTCCTGAGTTCTACTTGTGAAGTTTGACGCCAACATCACATTGTCATATCACACATGAATGATATTATGCTGAAGCTTTTTGGCTCGTACCATGCCCAATGATTCTTCTGAGACTCTTCCCACTCTCCCATATTGCGTTAAAGCCAATCTCCTAATTTGCGGTCAAACATTTTCAAACTTTTCATCAAATCTCATGAGATGTCAGGAAACATTTACTTCTATAGAAATTGAATCACTAGTTCTAGATCTTAGTTGCATATTACGAAAGAACAGATGCTTGTTTATTTCAGAAATTTTATCAGCATACATACACCAAGATTTATTTAACTCCAAAACCCTTGCAGACTATACAGCACTTCAGAGTCTACCGGGTATATTTTAAAAGAAATTTTTTTGTAACATAAGTCGATTGAGATATTTTTGGAACCACTCTGAAGTTTCCTTAAAAAGACTTGTAGAGGACTTGAGCTTTCATTTTGGACTGAAAATGCTGAAATATGTATTATCCTGTGGTGTAAATTTACTCTGTATTACACCATGAAATAATGGAAGATGTGCTTGCACATATATTGGTTTGCAAATTTCATGTTTATCATTATGTTAAATATTGATTTTCTCCATATAAATACATGCAATGATTTGTAACATACGGAAAATAACAAAACAAAACATCAGAGGTTAGCTAGTTGTTAACGATAGAACTACAGCCGACAAACATATTTATAAACTTTTAAAAACCAAACATAATTCTTGAGAGAATTGGTGTCTGCCTGATCAGCAGGCCATTAGAGTTAAAACTATTTTTAACTTCATTAAATATTCAGGACTCCAGCACAGTTATAAAAATAAAATATAATGAAATATTGTTAGTTTTCACTATAAACCAAGGGTAGAAAAAAGTCTTTTCATAAATAGTATTCGGGAAACTTTTCATTTGATAAGTATTTTTTATAATTATCATGTTACTGAGTGTGATCAGAAGATTTCATATTAAATACTGGTCCTAGGGGACTCAACAGTCAATCAAAATCACGAAAACACCCGTTCAGCCAAGTGAAGGCTGCAACATGATTCCTACAAATTAATTTATACATTAACATTCATAGCCTATAGGGTGTATACATTGAATGTAAATAAATTCACAGCCTGAAGGGTGTATACGTATACAGTGAATGGAAAATAAATTCACAGCCTGAGGGATGTATACATTGAATGGAAAATAAATTCAATCTGAAGGGTGTATAGTGAATGTAAATTAATTCAGTCTGAAGGATGTATACAACTAAAACTAGACACTGTGAGCGAGCTCACAAAGATATCCCCCCCCCCTCCATTTAATCTATGTTTTCAAACTTATAATACCCCAATCATAAACCCCTTTCTTTATCTACATCATATGATGTTCCTTCCCTGTACCAAGTTACAAAAAACTCAACAAATGATTAGGAATGAGTTGCACATACAAGCTTTCTGGAGCAGAAATTAAAGTTTCAAGGGCCATAACTCCAGAAAAACAGTCGAATGACAATTTTTTTTTTCCATGCACATTCCATATATTAAGGTTCTTTCACTGTGCCAAGTTACAAAAAAATCCAACAAATTGTTTAAGAGAACTTGTGTTTTACGAGGTTCATGGACAGCAGATAGACAGGGTGATTCCTTTATTAACCCCCAAACTTCATTTGAGAGGGGTATAATAATGTCAACCACATAAGCTAGGGATAGAAAGCATAAAATGAAGCAAAAGTAGATATAAAATTGCAGGAAAAAGGTCAACAATGAATTTGTTTTTAGAAAACATGTGATGAAGAAATAATTTTTAATAGATAAATCACAAAAGCACAGTGTGAATGTGACATTCCTTAAACAATCTGCTACATGATAGACATTGTGGAAGAAAGCACTAAAAAGTAGGAGTGGAAAAATAAATCCTTTGCTTCCTGAACCAACTGTCTGAAATTGATATTGGATGGCTTTAAATATTTGGGTGTTTCATAATCATATTTGCATAGCTCAAAAATCCAACTATCTTCATACAAACTAGGCTCTAGCAAATAAACTGGAAACAGTTCCTAAATACACAATATCTTTACAAAAATATTGAAATGTATTTGACTCATTTATTACATCAGACTTTGGCTGCATATGAATGCTTGTGATTTTTGTGGAAAAAGTGGAACAATCAAAATTAATACAACAGACCGAGTCAGTTTAAACCAGCCAAAGTTTGCCGTGTTTGACAGCATTTGAAACCCAGGAAACAGGGCGCATAGACTCTCAGAATCGGGCATACCTTGTATCAGATCTAAAAATGATTGTATTGATATTGTTTTTCTTTTTTAGGGGAGTCATCGGTGAAAGTATAAATTGCGGGCATTTACATATGTGCTTGTTGACCTCTAAAGTTTGTATCAACAAAGTGACTTTGTGGAACTAAAAACTGAGAAAAACAATAACTGTGAATGCATCATGTTACCTTTATCAGGCATGGTTTATGAAATAATCCTATGTTTTATGAACAAGCTTTATTTTCAATTTGTTAATCTAACTAAATTCGACCCAGCTGTAGCTTAGCAATGAGTCTAACTCAATTGAATCATATATATCATCTATTTTCTAAAGAAATCAGTAGAAAAATTAGCATGTTTAGGAAATTGACCAGATCTTTTGGAGGAAAAGACAAAAATTATTTCTCAAACCTCAGAACGTAACTTAATTTAACTTTTTTCTTTTTTTAATTCATTTTTTTTTTTGAGGTAATGAACTTTGAAATACTGGGCCTGGGCTCAATGATCCTTTAGTAAGAAGAGGCCACTCACTGTTGCCTCCTCCCATTGTCCTGTGCAAGAGCTGGTGCATTCTGGGACCAAGTGCCCCAAACAGCTGGGAGGGAAGGCCGCGGGCCTCAAGAAGCGCTGGAACCAAACAAACAAAATCAACTTAAACACAAAGCTGTAAATAAGGTTACTAAAGCTCACACAAAAGTACCCCCACAACATCGAAGCCTAGTGCTAAAGTTGTTCTGTTAGTATCTACTGTGGAACCTTGTCAGACAAAAGCAAACTCAGTATATCGGTAATAGGTTACTACAAAGAACAAATATTCAACATTCTCTCAGCATCTTTACCCAGTAACCACTGCTATTTAATGATACTCATGACTGAATTCTGCATGACAATTTTCAATGATTTCAAAACTGTTTTTGCATATTAATATAGACAACCTGACTCTGGAATAACAAGGTTCCACTGTATCAATTTGTGCAAAAGAAGGAAAAAAAATTAGTATTTCAAACTAGCCAATCAAAACCCTGGCTGTAGAGAAGTACAATATTCAAAGGATCTGACAAATTAGCACTAGACCTCTAATGTGTGAAGATAACGTAAAACTTGTAATAATAACAGTGCCAGAATGACCATACCTTCAGACGGTACCTTAGTACGTTTGTACTTTAAACTCATTTTCTTTATGGTCCTGGCTGCTTAGAAATTGGAATAAAACAAATCATTGCATGAAAATATTTCACAGAAATTAATATAGCTTTTAACATGAGACCCATCTGGCCTGTATCACTCACCTGTTTCTTTTATTATCTGACCTAGACAAAAAGTTGAAATGTTTCTGCTAACTTCAGACCCTGATCTCAGATTTCTTATTAAACCAAATAAGTTTATCACAGTGACATGGCAAGTGCACTGACAGGAATATTTGTATGATATTACATTAAAACTGATTTGTTCAGACCAGAAACAGGGTGGCCATACTGGAATTCATCTTAAATATATTATTTATAAATAAATGTGCAAAATAAAATCAGCACCTGTTCAGGACTATGAGATAATTATTCAAATGAACTGCCTTAGGCCATGGATGTTCTATGCCAAATTTAGTCAAAATTTCTAGTTGTTTTGGACTAGTAGTTTTTTGAAGCAATAAGTTGAAAGACAGACACTGTACCACTGCATATAAGATCACTTGACCACTCTGGCCAGGCAAGCTAAAAACTACATTACGTTAGTATCACAGAAGTGGATCGTATGTTAAATAATATGCTAATATTTCTAATTTTCAAAGTAATGAGAGAAAAAGATATATATATTATTTCGATAAATAAAAGATTATGCACACTTGTCAAAACAGATAAGTTAATTCCAATAGTAAAATGGGCATTTTAAAAAGAAAATTCAAGGACACACCCTCCTCAGACAATAAATGTATTGGTTACCACCAAAAGTAACTTCTGTATTCCTATTTCGGATTTATTTACAAAGATTTGATATCTGCTAAACTGTAAATTAATTTAATGTTGTGAATCTGCAAACCTTATTTTTTAACAAGAGATCCCAGAGGGTCAGTTCAATCTTTTCCCTTCTTTCCTCTAATCTGTTTGATCGAGTCATGTTAACAGTAAATGCACCTTGAGGTAACTTTTGATCTAAACTTAATACTGATGTGTATGAAAGCCAACCTTCAAAGTGAGTTTGTCATTTCACATATTTACTAGTACAGTACTAAATGTGAAAGAAATAGAATCGATCATTGCAATATGAGAAAGATCTGTTTAGTTCTTCTTTTAATCCATTTTTTCAAAATATTCAAAATAAAACATGCACAATGAGCGATTAAGAGCACCTACATTTAAAATTTGAGAAAGATCCCTCCCATACTTCCAGAGAAATAGTGATAACAAACTTTCACTATCAAAATCCAAGATGGCTGCCTGTCGGCCATGTTGTTTATCCGATCAGTCTCAAAAGTTTCCCTGCACAGCTTAGGACCAAGGGGAACCTACATATAAAATTTGAGAAAGATCCCTCTGGTACTTCTTGAGAAATACCGATAACAAGAATTGTTTAGGGACGGACGACGGACGGCTCACGACGGACGGAGGCAGGGTGATTTGAGTAGCCCACCATCAGATGATGGTGGGCTAAAAAGGTCCAGAATAATTAAGCAATAGTAGCAAATATTCTTCTTAGTAGTTTATACAATTCATTGAAAGGGAAGCTACTCTTCTGTCATATAACAACTGATTCCTAGGTCCCATCAATTCCATCGGAATCACCTACAGAAAAGTACTCTGTTTTGCTATTTTGGAGTAGAATTTTGAATAAAAAATGCAGGAAGTTCCCATTTTTGGCCATTTCCCTCTGGCCCAATATGATCACCTTGTCATAATAGTAGTTCCATTGAAATACAGTTACATTATGAGTTGCTGTTTAGCAATAGGATATTGGAGAAAAATTGCTCTCAATTCCCATTTTAGGCACCTCACACCTAGCCCCGCAACTCATTTACACAACATAATAGCATCTTACCCTAGTGATGTTTAAAACAAGTATATTAGCAATCTGTACAGTTCTTCTGGAGGAGTAGGCATTTGAAAATAAAACTGGCTAATTTTTGCACTGTCTTTTAAAGAAAAGGCTGACAGATGACGGACACTGCACCATTGCAAAAGCTCACCAGTCCTTCAGGCCAGGCGAACGAAAAAACAAAGTATTTAAAGTATTCCTAAATATCATTGAATGCCTCAGCTGAAAACACAGACAACACACAACACCACAAATATCAGTTTGTCCTTAGAAGGCAATTTTCAGATAACCCTTTATCAAATTAAATGCTCAATTTAGGTAGTCCCACTCACAATGAACAAATCACTAGTAAAGGCAGCAAAATAAAACAGATGGTATTGATTGTATCTTTTGTTAAGTGAATCAAGTGATAATGAAACTCATATCTTTTTTATAACAGTATTTGCAGGTATTTGAATCCTTACTGATAATTTTTGGTTTGGACTTTACTTATTTGAAATTCTTTTATATGTTTAATAGGTAAATTTCTAAGTGCTTATATGGAAAAATATCCTTAAGTTTTCAGCTGCGTATGAATAATATGCTTCATTGGCATAATTGTAGTACATTTTTTTTTATTTTCCTTTTTATCTTCTTTTGACTTACTCTTGTCTGTCTTTTTAATCATTTCATTACCTATGGCTCCACAACTGCAGTTTTGGAGGAAAAAGAATTGGCCCGCTATATCCCACTGCTTGATTAGAAGATATGACTAATGACCAGTAATATCAGTGGTTTTCTCCTGTGTCCTGCTTAGGGGACATTGACAAGACCAAACCAAATGAAATGGGCCCATTCCAATTGTTTCCCCTCTCTAAACTTCCCCTCTCTAAACCTATCATTTACAATTTCTCTTCCGTATGGTTCTTGTTAGGTTGATGGATCATGAAGAAAACCAACCAACTCTATAACCCTTCCTCCAATGAATGTTTTGTATAGATGACCGTTACAACAATCTTACAAATCGGTCGTTGCATGCATTTTTTTCAGTTGACACCCTCCTCTATCAAATTGAATCAACAAACTGGAGGGGACAAACAATCATCTTTCACAACATCAGTTTGAATACTTACTTTAAATGGGGTCCAATGTTCAAAACGGCTAAAAATAAATGAAGTATATATTTGGAAAGATGAGGGCACCCGAGGAGCCTATAGAAATGTGAACAGCCTACCTTGAAGTCTGCCCATATCAGCTTCCTCACTCTCACTCTCAGAAGTAACTGCTGTGGCGCCGCCAGAACTGGAAGCTACAACATCAATCATTGTTAATACTTTTATTCACACCATTTTTTAACCATTCTGGGAGCAAGGTCCTGTAACGGTAACTCAGAAATCGGCATCGGTTCACTCCAAACTGGAAATTCACCAGAGATATTCTCAAGAGCTTTCAGCACATTACCATTTAAAATGATCAGCTGCCAATTTGAAATATGTAAGCTTATTAATATATTTTTAAGGTAGGATTTATCTGGAAATTTTGGAACATTGTCCCTGGCTCCAAATGGGGGAGACGGAAATAACCAACAAAACTTTGAAAATTAAGAAACTTTGTATCCGTAATGATTATTAAAACAAATACAAATATATCTAATCTTCCTGCATCACCCTGTCTCTTTCATGGTACATTTGAGGCCAAATTTTGGNTTCCTAATATTACTGCACAATTTCCCAAATAGGGAAAATATAAGATTGTAACCAACAGTAAAGCACAATAGATGACCTTGCTCCCATCTTGTATTTGTCATATTTGTCATATTTTACATGAAATTTTCCTTTAACATTCAACTAGGAGAATGTAGGGATTCCATGGAGCTGTATAAGTACAGAAATAACACAGAGATTGTTTTCCTGTTGATGTACATAGATATATAAAATTAAAGTTGTTGGATAAGAAATATATGAAAGTAATTATGTAATAACAAGAGGAGGTGAGCATGGCATACAATACCCTTTTCCCATGCTGAATCAATGGTGAAATTCTATTCAACAGATCATGCCTATACTCTATCTTTTCCATGGTATGTCAAAGATCAACATTCCTGCGTGAAGTTTCAGGAAAATATTTCAAAGGTCAACATTCCTGCGTGAAGTTTCATGAAAATCAATCACAATGTGTGTGGAGATTAAATTCTATTTTTAGTAACAGTGACCTTAACCTTTAACAAATAATGCCCTTATTCAATCTTGTCCAAGGCAAACAAACCTGTGAACCTTCATCAAACTACCTCCAGAAATTTGATCGTTTGAGTGATGACAATGAGTGTGACTGAAATTTGAAGATTAGGCTGCAATGTTAACTTACCCGCTGCAGGTGGCTGTGCCCCCTCCTCAGTGTTACGTGGTCTGGCACCACTTCCACTGTGGTCTGTTGGGTCGGACATCGTGCTGGAATGTGGTTTGGACGTCCCTCTAGTGTGGCTAGTACCACTGTCAGTGCCAACCGGTGGTCCTGGGCGTGATGTTGAGCCTCCTTGGCGTTTGGACAATGATGAGGAACGTCGACCACTGAATGACGGAAAAAATTCAATTAACCTTTTAGAGAAACCATAAAAAAAAATACGGACAAAAGACCAACTATAATAGCCCACTTTCAAATGTTAATGACAGAAGTAAGACAGAAAGCCTTATGAATCTTAAGATCAGGTGATATAAAAATGTCACAGTGACGTATTTGTAAACTCTTAATTTATTCATTCACAAACCTGCTACTGGCACAAGATCCCGTTTTCCTAGTGCGTCTGGTCCGCCGTAAGCCGTCAAGCCCCGGCGACTGGTTGTCGACAGTAGGTGGGGATTGCAGGGCACTGTCTTTACGTTCTCGACTTGTACTGCCTTTCCCTCTGCGTGTGTTCAGTTCTTCTATTTTTGCTTTTTTTGGTATGGAAGGTTGCAAGCTCACACTATGGGAGCTTGATTGAACCTAAAAAAAGGGAACAAGAATTGAATGTTATTTTTTCTTCCCCTCAATTACAAAAGGAACTACAGTCATTCGAAAATTTCTTAATAGGATTTCATTCTAAATATATTTGATCATTCTAAATATATTTGATCATTCCAAATATCATTCTAAATATATTTGATATGTATAGAATGGAATTAATGATATGATATGATGAACAGGTTTTTTACCACTTTCCAGAGTTTTTCTTTTAAATTTCTGTAGAAGCATGTGCTTGCATGAATTAGGAAAATATATAATTTTAGTGGTACATGTATTTTTATAAAAGAAAAAAACACTTTTTTCCATGTTATCATGGTCATCATGCCGACTGTCCGTGCCTACCTGGGAAATGCTCCTGTCTGCCTGTTTGTCACTTTCGGACGAGAAGGACTTTCCTAGGATATCTATATTCACCACACTATTGTCTGTATGTAGTGACGAAATTGAACTCCTTGTGGATGATTTGACACACTCTTTTTTACTACTACTCCACTTGTTGAAAGTTGTGTAGTAGGGAATTCCCTGGATTATAGACGCGTTTGAATTTGACCGGAGATTCTTAGATATTGTATATGTCTCTAAATCAGGATCTGGAAGATCAGGTTCCTTGACAATGTTTGATATGCTGGTATTGCTAGTTACTGTGGTTTCAGTCCTCTGAAGTTTCTTTATAGCTTCAGAAGAATGAGATAAATTAACAAGCTTTACCCCTTTACCAACAATTCCAGCAATAGTTTTAGACAACGATTTTTTCCCTTTTTCCTCTACCTGGGAAGTAGCAATGCCTTTCACTTCCGGAACTGATGCTGTCTTTCTCTTTTCCTTTTTAGCAGTTTTTTTCTTTTTCTTTGATGAACTTGGCTTATGTGATGAAGCACTAGTGTTCCAATCAAACAAATCTTTGCTTGGGACTGTGACCTTGTGGCTGGGAGTAGAGACCTTGTTGCTCAGAGTAGTGATCTTGTTGCTAGGCACAGTGACCTTGTTGCTAGGCACAGTGACCTTGTTGTTAGGTGCTATAACTTTGCTATTAGTACACTGCTGACCTGTGTCCTTTGAACACGAGGCACTTCTTTTTCTGTTGTTTTTCTTTTCAGTTGCAGACTGCGGCAATCTGGAGAAAGATATTATAAAAAAAAATCAGAACACTTTTTAAAAACCGATAGTTACGTGCTTCAAAATTTTAATATCTAAACATCCATTTCAATAATTTGAATTCATATGTAGTTGCACAGATTTCAGGTAATTCTAACATTTATATCACTTTTAGCTTTTAATGGCAGTGCAACTTTTTGCTTGAATGCAGGGGTTTCTTTGGTAGCCAGTAAAAATATCCTCCTACAGATTTTTCACTGGCTACTTTCATGAAACAAGAGGCGCAATGGGCCTGCATCGCTCACCTGGTATTAATCTCACACTTGTAATCTTAAAAGTGGACTAAAATACAGCTACAGGCAGAATATCAGTGTTTGATTCATAAGAACCTATTAAAAGATTTAAACATATGACGCCTGTGACCTTGAATGTCGAACAAGGACATTAGGTTGAACAGAGTTTATAGTCTTCCAACCCAGCATGCTTCTGGCAAAATATCATTACCCTGGACCTTCTGGTTATACAGAACAAATCATTTAAAGAGTTAAACATATATTGACCACTGTGACCTTGAATATGGTTGAAGGTCATTCACATGGTAGTCCTTCATCCCAGCATGTTAATGGCCAAATATAATCACTCTTGGCCTTTTGCTTATTAAGAAGAAGTCATTCAATGGTTTTAAACATATTTGACCCCTGTGACATTGAATTTATATGTCAAGGTCATTCATTTGAACAAACTTGGTAGTCCTTCATCCCAGCATGTTACTGGCATTATATTAGGCCTCTTGGTTATTCAGAAGAAATTGTTTAAAGGTTAAAAACATATTATACCCCTGTGACCTTGAAAAAAGATGAAGGTCATTCATTTGAACAAACTTTGTAGCCCTTCATCCCAGCATGCTACTAGCCAAATATCATCACCCTATGCCTATTGGTTATTCAGAAAGGTTGTATAAAGATTCTAACATATTTGACCCATGTGACCTTGAAAATTGATGAAGGTAATTTATTTGAACAAACTTGGTAGCCCTTTATCACAGCATGTTACTGGCCAAATATCATCACTCTAGGCCTCTTGGTTATTCAGAAGAAGTTGATTAATGATTTTTACATATTTGACCCCTGTGACCTTGAAAATTGATGAAGGTCATTTATTTGAACAAACTTTGTAGCCCTTCATCCAAGCATGCTTCTGGCCAAATATCATCACCCTAGGCCTTTTGGTTACTGAGAAGAAGTTGTTTAAAGTAAAAAGTTGACGCCGGACGGATGCCGGACGCCGGACGGATGCCGGACGTCGCACCATGCCATAAGCTCACTTGTCCAAAAATGAGAAGAATGGTCATGTGGTATTATGAAATGTACTGAAATTAAATTCCTACTCTGTGTTGGATACACACAACTTGAAATCCTATTGAAACCCCTATAGAATGTATATAGTTAACAGTAACTGAAGCATCAAGAGGCCCAGAGGGCCTTATCGTTCACCTGGTTAACTTAGCAATCATGGCATAATATTCTCCAAATGAGATCCAAGGGAATATGCCAGACCCCAAGGCCAATCCTTGTAGCATATCTGTATTAGATTTTTCATGCCCAACAATTTAATGTATGGTTATGGGATGGGGATTTTAACTGTTTCCAAGCTGTGACACACCAACTAGGTCCCTAGGGTTGTGGCCAGGCCCCAGGATCAATTATAATATCATGACTGCATTCGTCTCTTTTTGCCCAGCATTTGTATTTATAGTTTTGGAGTGGGGATCTCAACCATTTCGAAGTTATGACCCAAGAGTTAAGTATGCAAGGGTGGGGCAGACCCTGGAGTCGATTCTAATAGCATGACTGCATTCATCTCTTTATGCCCAACAATTGTATATATATGGTTTTGGGGTGGGGATCTTAACCATTTGGAAGTTATGACCCAGAGGTTAAGTCTCCAAGGATGGGACAGACCCCAAGGCCATCCTGGAAACATATGTGCATTCTTCTCTTTATACTCAGCAATTGTATATATGGTTATACAGTGGGGATCTCAACCATNGTTTTGGCCCCGCCCCTCATCCCCCTGGGAGGTCAGCCCAACCATTTGTACAACTTTGAATCTCCACTACCTAGGAATGCTTCCAGTCAAATATGGTTGATATCCATCACTTAGTTCCAGAGAAGAAATTCGCTTAAAGCAATATAGCCAAATTGCCCCGTTTTGGCCCAGCCCCTCATCCCCCCTGGGGGTCAGCCCAACCATTTGTACAATTTTGAATCTCCACTACCTAGGGATGCTTCCAGTCAAATTTAGTTGAATTCCAATCAGTGGTTAAGAAGAAGAAGTCGTTTAAAAAAATTGTTGACATACGGACGACGGATGCCACGGTATAGCATAAGCTTACCTTGTGAGCTAATAATTATGCTACTTAATTATATTCAATACAAATATATCAATTTTATATTGTGGGTAACTCTTTCTTTGACTTGTTTATTTTTCTTGGTAGTCACTTTTCTAATTGAATTGTACTTTTATATAAACCAAAAAGAGGTCCATAGGGTATGTATCATTTGTTATCTGAACTATACAAGTACCTGAAATGTTTCTGCTATTTTGAGACCAAAGTGGCTATTTTTTATTTCTTATATAATTTCAAATGCAATCAGAAGAAATGGTCAATATGGATTTTTTAAATCAACCTAAGAAATAACAACACATGATCAGGACCATAAGTGCATCATTCAGATCAAGTTTGGCTACCGATGGTATGATGGAAGCTGAGAAAGTGAACATTCCTCAGCCAATCTGATATCAGGTGGCCATCATTGATTGTTAATTGGTTGAGACATAAGAAAATTGATATGGACCACCATTTATATAATTTGATGTCCTCTTGGCCAACTCATGTTTCAAATAACCTTTTTAACAGATTAACAAGTGGCACACTTTATGTATGTATAATACAGCAGTATGCCTCTTTGGATAGTGATTCGTCACACCAAATTTGGTTAAAATCAGATCAGCATTTCAGGTCTAGCAGTCCTTTGAATGAAAACTTGATAGGTGGATGGACAGACGCTGTACCACAGCAAAAGCTCACTTTGCCTTTTGGGTCAGATAAGCTTATAATAAATTCAGGATTCAAAATCATGGAAATAAATGCAGAATGTAAAAAATTGCAGAAAAAATTGGATGTTTCGTGAGTATTCACCAATATTCCTGACCTTTTTTTCTTCTTTGTCTGTGATTTTAGACTAGATCTGTCCGATGTAAGACAGCAGTCGTGCAAGGTTATACAGCACGGTTATAATTGTGACATCACAAGGAAAACAATTGAATGGGTGCAGTATTCATTATCATATGTTGTCACAGCATCTAGTTCTACATGTATCCAGGAGGTTGACAAAGGAAGCATTCTTTTACATTGAATATTTCCTTTTACAACAAAGTAAGGCAATCATCATTTAGGTACATGAAAGTTGTGGATATAAAAATTATACTCTCTCCACAGAATCTTCCTTTCGGTTCATCTAGTCTAACACTTCACACACACATATGTATAAATACTAGCGTTTATTGTTATATACTTACTGTGCTTGGTCTTTGACCTTTGAACTATCAGGAGGTTTGTTGTCTGTCCCTGACGTGTGTCGTTGATTGCGTCTATGCGACCCCCCAGGCTGAAACTCAGGTTGGTCTGCCATAGGCGAGCTCCTGTCTCTGGCTCATGCCAGATAGAATATACCCTGTAACAGCAATGCATCAATTTTGAAAAGTATTTCTTTAGACTGGATCCCTTGCCATACAATAGGGACAAAACCAGTATGGAAGTGTACAAATTTCATATTGAAAGTAATAGCCAGCAAGCAGACCAGACTGATTTCACAGTTCAATGTATATAAATTCATAATTTCATATTTCTAGTACTAGACAATAACTACTAGACAAAAGGAAGATTTTGAACACTTTTATGAGACCAATTTACATTGTAGTAGTAAACACTGAAAAAGTTCACTAGCCCAACATAAATATTTTAGCTTCTAGGCTAGTGGAATTGTGTATCCCTGGGTCACAGGGCAGATTTTGAAAACAATTCTACCAGCTGACCTATATTTTCAAATAAATATTGAAAATTTTCAAAAGACCCCAAATAAAATCTACTAGCCTTGGGCACTGGTCAAATGGAATTTTACAACCCTCCAGTAGTAAGTTATAAGTATTTCCTAAAATAAGTAAACCAGCATTTAGATAATTTACAACACAGTGACACACAACATAATCGTCAAAAAACTAGACAGAAATTTAGACTCTGCATTCTAGACAGGCACTTTACCGTCTACCAACCAGAGATATCTGGAAGTGTTAGTCACAGATCCACCACACTACCGTCTTCTTTTTCTATAGAACACAAACAGAATGTCTAATCTTTGGTGCACTTCTGACAATATTCTGGCGATATGAAAAGTGTACCTGAATGTCACCGTATGCAGCGATATTCTGTGCACACCTGGCAACAAGTTCTGGCGAACAGATAAGTGTGCTGCGATATCACTGCAAAACTTTCTATTACTGTAAGGGTAAGTCTTCACCCACATTGTTAGTTGGTACACTATAGATACAACTCAGGTTTGCCTTCCCCTTGCCAAGTGCACAAACTCCTAATAACCTGGGGGTTGGTAACGGGCAACCACAAGCATCAGGACAGGACAAATGCAATGGACCACACTAGGATTTGAACAGTAAATCTTCTAATTCTGGTATTGCTGTGCTATATGGCTAGGATTATTTTGAAGGCAACTATAGGCCTTTCAAAATACTAAATCAACCATCACTTTTTAAAGTGATAGACAATTTTTCCATAGATTATTATGAACAATTTATAATGGACAGTCACATACAATGTTAAATTTGCTTGAATTTATCCTAAAATGGCCCACCTTTATTTTTCATACGAAATGGTTCTTGATGTATCTATTGATCACAGTTTAAGTCGGTCCCGATCCATCGGCCAGGAAGTAAACAAAATTACTAGCTTATCTACACTTTCCCCTTTAGCCGTAACCAGGAACTGTTGGGACACTGTTTCAATCATCAGAAGAGGCTTAACCCCACCACGATTACGCTGTCCTGTTACAAATCAATCCGGTTCTGTGAATTTCCTTGTACAATTAAGTGGAAAGAGCCATTGGTGGGGAGTTCAAGAACCTGGTTGTCAATTATATTTATAAATAGCACAATGTAATACTATTTCTACTCAACATAATTCAGACTGTGCTCAATTTCCCAATGTAACCTTATATTCTCAAGGTGTTCTCCCAAAATTTTTTTTCTTCTTAATTTTGGGTATGTTTTATAAATTTAAGAATTCTGTTGGTATTGCAAACGAAGATAAACTTATTCTATATATTTCTTTTTATGACAGATTTTGTACTTGGCAATAGAGGCAGCCTATTTTCAGGTGTAGGCCAAGTTGCAATAATTACAACATTTGCCTAGGACAATTATTTTAGTTCATTAATGTGTTTGTAATGTCTTTTTCAAGGAAAAGAAACCAGACAAAGTAGAATTTCTGCCTGGCAAAAGCACTGTAAGTGCTGTCAGTATTTTGTACACCCCTTATTTTGCATTGCTACTAGAGGAATAACTAGATTCAATTAATCAATTCAATGTTTCAAATAAAATGGTTCAGCTGAATTACCCTCACAATTTGTACTGTAACTTTTATCGGATCCAGCACAGAACTGAGATATAGAACTCACATCGTGTGTTAAATAACAGCATATTCAGCACAAATGTCCGACTCTTATTCATAGCTAACCTATGTTCTAAGCTTGACTGCTTATTTTGGGATATGATGTATTCTGGTGGAGTTGTACATGTACACTTCAGCTTTCAACCACACATTTTCATTAGTTTAATTAAGACATATCAAGCATAAGGTTAATATTGAGAAATTAATAGGATCACTGAGGAAATACTTTAAACAACAAACTGGCACAAATGAAACTTAACTTGTGTTTACATTGGCAGTCATAATGCCCAGTGGACTTGACCATGATTGAAATAATGTCACATTTTAAGAAAAAAGGTTTAACATTTCAATTTTCAGAAATGTAATTGAATGCTGCCTGTATGACAAAAGATATCAAGGAATGTAAAAATGAGTTTGGTCTAATATATATTAGATTATTTGTTAAAACTTCCATGTGAAGCTTCATCCTAACCTGCACTTCTGAATTGGCAGGTGCATAACTCTACTGGACATGTCAATTCACCGGACACAACTCATCTTTTTTACAAGTCTAGCCTAATATAACCAGGTGCACAGATTTATTTTGACAATGGTGAATGTTGATTATAAAAACATAGACTAACATTTTTGAAAAATCATTGAATTATTCGCAAACAAATATTTATCAATCTACCATAACAATGAAATAAACAATAACTGCTACACCATTATAGTAACAGACCCAGTAAAAGGGGTTTAATATTTTTTATATATAAATATGGTGAAATGTGAAACAAAGTAATTATATATATATTGAAGCATGGGTGATCATATTTTCGCTATGTTTATCTCTACAGTTTGTATTCGTTTACAAACTTACTTGTAAGCATGACAATAAAACAGCTGATACTGGTGGAAAATATCAATACAAAAACAACACAGTGTATGTGTCTTGGCATGTCTGTTTATATAAATATATATATAGGACAAGTATACGGATAAATACGCAACGCAGTACTTACTGTATACAATCAACAAATACATACGAAAACGAAACACTGTGAGAAGAAATGGTATCACATTTCAAATTGAAAAGCTTGTAACTATGACTTGACCAGACTTCGTGGCATCAGAAGTTTCCTCGTCTCGGAATTCTCGTGCGATATCAATGACCCATAAAGAAAAATAACGACCATTTTAGGTCAAAATAATATCTAAAGAAGTGCTTTAGACAAGATTAAGTTAATTTTGACAAAGATGTCATTGTATCATCAAAATAATCGAAACAAAAGCACAGGATATGGGCCTGGAAATTTCGCATCTGCTCCGATCTGACCATCGGACGGATTTCCGACTTACAATTTTGTCGATTGTCAAGTTCACATAAACATTATATAGTGATAAAGACTTTTGCAGAAAATTTCAAGAATTGATTACCTCTTACATCCAGATATTACAGTCTACTAAACCCTACAACATTGCAAAATAAAATAAATTGCTGTCTTCTGCAGCCACTTTTCCCTTCTACTGTGTCTGTACAGATGATCAATGTATAGTTGCGCACGCATTTATGACTTCCTGTACAATACACAGCCAGTGTACACATCATTTGTTGGGTTCGAATCCCGACGCAGGCGCTACTCCATTTTATTATTTTTATTTTCTAGTCGAAATATTGAGTTCATATTTAAAAAGTTTGGTATGCCATTTTTTCATCCACTTATTTTTAATATGTTGGAGTCGCGTGGTTTAATTCGAACTGGAACGGCATGCACGAAGAGACTGTGAGCAATGAAAACGACTTAATTAAAAATATATTTTCACTACATGGTATTGTCACGGAATTAGAATTGTTATCTAAGTCCGTGGTATTGTTTAATCTATTGTATTAAGTAAAAATATACAAGTATTCAAAAGTGTTCGTACAGTGTTATTGTCTCCTAGTTTGCCACATTTCGTTTTCTTAAAGGTATATTATCATAATTCCGCACTGTTCTCCCAGTCGTTGTAAGTCTTCGACTTGTGAGAATTGTCCTATATATTGTTGTCATGGATACTTTATGGTATGCTTTATTTAAACAGAAATGTACTTAAGTAAAATATCTGTAGATATATCTGTATATTTCTCACGAAAACGACTCACTAATGAGCATTGCTTATCGCGGTTAGGGGGGGGGGGGCGCTTTAAAAGACCTAATCACATTTCCAAAACTGTGTAAAGGCACTCTTGAATTGATCGTTCTTTTCACAGTTAACCAGTGAGTCTGGTAGTATTTAAATTCCAATCCCGGATAGTGCGCGGTACAAATGAAAATTTATAGATATCCGTACGTGTTACAGTTTACTAATTGTACTGATTTTGTGTTCGAACGACGTTGATCGAATTCTCCTATTTTGTTGCCATATGGTGTCGGCAGGGGCGGTACCAGGTTATGCATGATCTTGTGGAAGAAGGCGAGACGCTGATCTCTACGACAGTTTACAAGTGGTTCAGTGCCATTTTAGTTCTTCGACGAATAATCGTTAAACACAAACCGAGCGGCACGACGTTGCACTGCTTTAATTTTATGACGGTACATCGATCCTTTTGGAGGTGCGGGTCCCAAACCGTACTTGTCATAAATATATATGAATATGATACATATTGACCTCTTGTTGCATACTTTGTATGTCTGAGAGAAATAAAAAAAAAATCTGAAAAAAATCTGAAATCATAGTCCAATACAGATCGAATCAGTTACACATATATGCTTTTTTTCCTAGAATACTACTGGCTAGGTTACACGTTTTGTTGATATGTGTTGACGATTAGAGATCTTCGCTGATCTGTACACCAAGGTAGGGATTATCATGTACCTGTTTAAGTATATGATGGTTTCTTACTGCGATGGATGGAAAGCAGGTATAATTTTGTTGCATTAAATTTCATTCCCCAATTATCTGCCCAAATTTGTAAAATTACTCTAAGGCGCTTTACAACATATGGATAATAGTAATGGTTATAATTGTGAAAACAAACAACAAAGGCTTGCAATCACTTTCATACATTTAACAAGCAATGTGCACATAATTGAACAAATAAAAGGGTGGTATTTACATGACGTCTTTGCAAAGATTCTAAAATGCAGACGTGAAGAGGTGAGTTTTTATGTCCCTCTTGAACTTGGCCAGGGTATCTGACATCCTAATAGCAGATGGTAAGCTATTCCACAACGTAGCCGAAACCCTCCCAAAGCATCTGTTTCCGTAGGTCAGTTTTGGTTTGAATTTCAGTCCAAATGATTTCAAAGTTCGAATCACTATTCTCAACAGTCAATATCATTAGTAAACATTTCATTCCAGATCAATGTATAAGTACACGAAATTAGGAAATAAAGACATCAAATGTTTACAAATTTAGGAGAAAAAAAACGTAAATTAAAAAGCTTAAGAACTAATAAAGTAACGAATTTTGACGTCCCATAGACTACTGGTGACTGACAACAGAATATAAGCAATCATATATACATGTGTATCTTTCAAAAATAAAAATCAATTTTACGGTTATATGGTAACTGATATAACGCATGAAAATGTCACACATTGGTTAAGAAGAATTAACAGCAGATATTTATATTGTTCGCCTTAAAATCATTAACCCGTAAAATTTCTATAAACTAACGCACATATCATACTTTTTTTACGTGTCATTTATTAGAGCTGCCCTGGGAAGGACCTAAAGTCGTGACTAAAGACGCAGGTGACGCATACTTTCAAATAAACTGACACAATATCATTTATTACCATTATTTTTAACTATAACGAACGCTAATCAAAATATAAACTGAAGTTATTTTACAACAATTTCAAAACAAGTTTTTCCAACTTAAATACCAATCACTCTTGGTGTCCCGTTTGTAAGCGCGCAGCCCGGGCTTTAATATGGGAGGAAACCGAATACGCGATGACGGGAAAATGTACATGTATGAATACATTAAAAACGGATTCCTTGTTTCTACTTTAGCATGTATAACAGCATTTTCCGCATATAGTACCTGACTAGTAGAGCCCCTTTTCAGCCCCACACCCTGACATCCAGGGTTAAAACCAGAGATAAAATTTATAAGTCGCAAACACTCTGGAAAACCTTATGATGACCGTACTCGTCTAAAAATAAAATATGTCCTTTCTTTCGATTTCAATATCTAACTCTCTTTTGACTTTAATATTCTAATTATGTATGCGTTGCAAGATTGAAAAAAAACACCATTCAATTTCTTTTTAAAGTTAGACCGTATGTGATCTGCGCTGTCTCAGGCTAGAATGACCTTCTTCTCAATTCAAACTGATTAAATAGTGTTGTTTCGGGAAAAGTCCGGTAGTTTGGTATCGCCTTTCCGCCGGTTTTCTCTGGGTACTCCGGTTTCCTCCTACTTTAAGACCTTCGCGCGCTAAATCTGGGTTAACAAGAGTGATTATATAAGTTTAAATAACTTGTTTTAAAATTGTTGTGAAACCATGAAATTTATCAAAGCCTATATATACATATGCAAATGGTATAGTCGGACCACAGTTCCGTTGAGTATTTGGAGGTGTGCGTGTGGGTGATGCGGGGTTGATCTCAGTGAGAGGAAATTGGAAATATAGACGATATGATGTGGAACCTTGGCAATTTTTAAACCGATACCCGTTTTCGGTGCCTCGGGCGTAGAGGATAGCGCATTCGCCTTCCAAAAAGAAAGACGGTCAGATCAAAGTTTGATTCCCTGATCGGTCGTGAAAATTAGTGACCTGATAATTTTGCAGGTTACCTATACGTTTAGACCTAAACTGATGTGTTCAGGCTAATATCAGACATTTTAGGGGTCTATATCACATTTTGGCAAAAAGGCCACTCTGAATGACCATCATATGGAGCGACAAGTCCTGTTAGAGGACACAACCACCGACCGACTAACGCTGTCTTCAGGATCCGAATCAATGACTTTTCTGAGAACATTCCGCGCACTAACCAATATTTCGACACATTGCTAGGTAGAGTCTGAAGATAGGGGTCCACAGTGGTGTTAAATTATGGCGCGTATGTGGTCGGTCTCCAACCTCTTCATCCACATCCAGCAAATGGTTCTTTCTCTGCTGCTTTACCATTTTCATTACGTTCTCCATGCAGAGAACACTCGCCACACACACTGTGCAGAAAAGCCTCTGTAGCCAATCACTTTTGGATAGTCCCATGTTTGCCGCCCTTTATCTCTGCCCACAGTGCCTCATGTAGTCTTCTTAGCTGATGCGCTACACCACATCTTACTTCCCAACTCTCAACTCAATGACTATGATAATATCTTTGTTTCAGTTGACCATAGTACCATGTCTGGTCCGAGATCGGTTACTACAATTGCTGGGAATGTCAGCTTCTTGGCGATGTCCACTGCAATCATTCAGAGCCCGTTTTCATGCTCATGCATAGATTCTGGGCTCAAACTAACTTTCTCGTAACTTGCTTAAATCATGACATTGAAAAAATGAGTAAATTGTAAACATTGAACTGGAATCTTCAAGGTCATGACTAGCCGTGCCTTTCACACCTTGAATACTTGTCTTCGTCTACCGATGTTATGGGAAGTTGAAGCTTTGATTTTTCTCTGTAGAGGCCTATTGGTGTAAAGCTTGGGGTTACTCTTAACCACTTCCTGAGATGTTTGCAGAATTAATGACCAAGCCAAACGTGGTATACGAGTCCATGTTGGTATAACAATGCTTTAAATTTCTTGAACGGTCAGTCATTCATTTGAACAAAATCGGTAGCTCATACTAACGACCAAACACAGGCCTTTGTCCTTCATAGGTTTACGACCAAACACAGGCCTCTAGGCCTTTGTATTTCATAGGTTTTAAGAAATTTGACCCTTGTCACTTTCAAATTGGGCCAAGGTTATTTATTTGGACAAACTTGATAGTACTTGTTGATGCCAGAGCTCCTGGCTACATACATTAAACTTAGATTTTGGGCTCTCTTTCAGAGGTGGTTTGCAAATTTGACCCCAATGATTTTAATATAAGTAAAGGTCATTTCATTTCGCAGAACTTGTTGCACTTCATTCCAGCAAGCTAGTTGCCATACATGATACAAGGCTTTTTGGTTTTTCTTTAGAAAACTTTTGGCGAAGTATCATGAATCCCAATCTCTATACTTCAGAGGTTATGCTCACTTATGCTCTCTGCACCCCTGAAATACTTTCATAGCAAAATCAAAGCTATCAAAATAGTTCTTTGGTTGGTCTTACCGTAGATAATTAAAAAAACCGACCAATCACTAGAATGATAATGTACCTGTCCTTTGAAGATTGCAGAGGAGCAACACCCGCATAGCCAGTAAATTTTACAGTTAGGCGACCACAAGATTCTTTTGATGTACATCAAAGGAACAAACTAGTCTTCTTGTCTCATCTACAAGGTGGTGCACACTGAGCCTTACTATTTTGCGATGACATATTCCAGGGGTGCAGAGAGCGAAAGACAGCATAACCCCTGGGGTATTGAGGATGCAGGAATCTAGACCGTATGGTTCTGTAGAAGAAGTCATTTACAAAGAAATGTTAATGTCTGACAATGGATGCTGCGTCACTGTTTACGTTCACACAAAACCCCAGCAAGGAAATAAAACAAACCACACAAAAATGAAATACTTAATGAAGCATACTTTAATTTATGTCCATTCTTATAAAAACACACTCATACATCTGTTTCATAGTCACACTCACAACCACAGCAATTATTTCTTAAAATGAATTGATGATGAAAGAAATATTTCTGGTTTTGATTTTTTTTTTCCTGTCCCATAATTCGGAATAATTTTTCTTTTTATGTAAAACCATGTGAACAGACACAACCATTTCCTTTACATCTGTCTTAGATTTTAATTTTGTTCTATATCTTAATAAATATTTAATTCCATGGTTAACTTGTCATCTCTTGAAAAACCACTCAACGGGAAATTATGAAAGTATTAATAGAACAATTCAGTAAATTTTCTTCCATGATGCAAATTTCTGTTTCAATAGCATCACAATTGACTCATACAAAATCACAGAAAATGTATAAAATATAGAAAACAAAACAAAATTCTCTTGTGACCTCCAGTTGGCAGCAAGAAGCTTTTCTCAGACATTGTCCAAGACTCAGGTTCCATCTATATTTGGTGTTTCACCAGGGATAGATCTAGGCCTGGCATATGTTATTGGCATTCATGCTAGAACCGTCACAATATACCATACATATAACAATAAACATGCTATTATGTACCAGTGGTGGGAATCGGTTGATATTTGATGGTTGGTTTAATGAAAATCTTTAAGGACTAGGGGTGTTAAGGGTCATTTCTGGTCTCATCAGGGATTTAGAATTTAAAGTTGTTATACATGTAATCGTAACTATGGAATAAATTAAGTACACAAATATAAAATTTCAAATTCATACGACAACCGGTTTAGGAGATATGGCATTACAAAGAGAGACATAAACCCGCATTTTCATAATGAAATGCGTGAATATCCTCTATTATGCGCTATTTGGTTGAAAATTGGCTATTTTGAAGGAAATTAACTAAACACTCTTCAATTTTTGAAAGCCTCCGCATGCAACAAACAAATTAATATTTGACAGTCTTAAACATTGTCTTACCAGTGTTCAATTGAAGAAAGGAATTTTTGTTTGTTACATGCGGAGGCTTTCATTTCTGCATGCTAACAGTCCAAAAACGTCATGTTTTTGCAATTTCTGCATAGCAGCGTGATTTTGTTGCTATGGTAAGGCATCTACGCATGCGCATCAGAAAAAAAATCTACAAATATAGCCAAGGCCAAAAATGACCCATAACGCCCCTTTGTCCTTGGTGTGATCCATATGATAAACGATTCCGATTCCTTGTATTCTGATGACAATTTCTTTATAATCTGAGCACATTTTCCAATAATATTTTCTTGGGATTCATCTTGCATATTACAACTACTAGATGTGTAATGTATTACATGAGAAATATTCTGCATGCTTCACTAGCTATTATGTAAAAAAAAAAAAAAAAGCTGTACCTCAATTATCATTTCATTAAATACAGTCAAACTTGCAGAAAAGTCCACCTCTCGTAAGAGACCACCTGCATTAAGAGACCACTTTTTGGACTTTCCAAGTTTTGACATTTGTTTTATTTCTTCACAATTTACTTAAAAAATTGTCAATCAATTTATCAGTAACTATTAAAATTTCTAAGTGCTTATATAGCAATATCCACCAATACAATGGAAATACAGCTCCAGATTTTCAAGACAATGTCAGGTATTTTTTTTTATTAAGATCAAGGGGATCTAGCTGAGTGATATGATCATCTATGACCAAGGGGCTCTTGCCACGTGACATCATCACCTAAATGATTGGTAGTAAGTTGAGCACATCTTATTACACGATTTTCAAAATAAAAACGTTTTAAAGTATAAATAGGCGAAAAATTTCAACCAGTGAAAATTTGGTAAGTTATAAGGGAAAATAACAAAGTCGACAAAGTTTGTCTCGATTTCTCATAAAAAATCCTAGTTATGACACATTCACAAAAAGCACGCCCACACATGCTATACACCACAAGCTACATATCTTACTGTACAAAACTAAATCACGCTACCTAGCTATAGTATACACAACCTATTTAAGCACTTTTTTACAAGAATGTCAAAATAAAATTATGGCTGAACATGTCCCTCATACCTGTGTGTGTGTGTATATATAATTTCAAACAAATGAAGGGATGTCTGTGTTTTGTGTCATATCTGCCTTATATAATACAATACCGCTTCATCAGTACTCTGAAATGATGACGACGATTACCCGCATCCTGTTCATTTTCCCCAACAGGTGGATTGTAATTGTAATTTTGTTAGTTTAAAAATGGAAACAGATTTAGTGGCCCGATTCATTTTCTGCTGAGCCTCGGCAAAGATCTTCAAATCTTGCATTAACATTTACAAGCCTGTCATAATATTTCAGAGAAAAATGAAAAGGGCCTCTACCCAAGTATATAGCATCATCATAGCAGAGTACGGCTAGTGAAAATCACCCGTTCAGCTTGCAGAGAGGGAGGGTGGGTGAGAGTACATACAGAGCAGTTAGGATGGAGTGATTCTGATTGTGAACAGAAGATGTAAAAAGAGACAGACAAAGATAGAGAGAACATGAAAGGGAGAGGAAGACAGAGGGTAAGTTTTGATGGAGGAACAATCTGATAAAAATGACAGCAGTGCGGGGAGCAGTTAACGTGTAAAAAGAGGAGACATCTAAGTGCAACTAAATAAATACATTTATAATTCTATACAAATAAAATATTTGGAATGATAACCCATCATCAGCACCCAGAGTACATATTTCTCATTATCAAGATATGTACTTGACATGTATACAAAATAATACCAATAAAACTGACTTGTTAAAATGACAGAGGTGCTTAAACAAAATGCCATTGCCGAAAACTTAAGTAGGTTTAACACAAATTTGACATGTGATCAATATCCAATGAAAAATTGTTACTGTTGATACAAAAAAAAGAACACTCATGCATGCATTTACATTGCGTTTCCAGGTCCTTAAATAACTGATATGTATGAGCTTAAATATGTTGGTGGAAAGCATTGCTATAACCTAGTCATGTTATCGGAATGCTTGGTGTGACAGATTCCCTATGACAAGTAACGTAGCATCGAATGTAGCAACTGTTGCTGCTATACTCCAATAAGATGTTAAATCCTCATATTACAGGTGTAATTTTTAGCACTCAGCAATGTCAACAGAAGAACTCTGCACCATCAATGTACATGACAATTCAACAGAGGTCCCCTGCACTCTCTCCAACAAGAGAGGTTGGTGCTATTTCAATTTTTATCGCCAACCCAATAAGCCATTTTTTTTGTCGTTTGTTGATATGTTTAAGTTCGAATTTACCCGAATTAATTACCAATATACAAAACACTTTCAGACTGAACTGAATAGAATTAATTCAATTTATGAAATGTTCAAATGAAATAGTAATTTCTGAAAATTTCCACAAAGCAGTTTTCAGTCATCAAGCACAAGATACAAATATATATAAATTAATTTTGTATGCACATTTTCAACATTATAAATTCTGAAAACTGTTCGACATTTTTTATGTTATGACCTACAAATATATATATGTAGCACCTTTCAGCAATATAAATGTATGACATTTCCATTAATACTGAGCATGTACACAAATCATCTCCCTTTCGGAAGTGACTGCAAAGTTGCTAAGCCAGTACCACTAGTATTGCAGGTGGTACTTAACATCTATTTTTTTCCTCACATTTGGGGGTGTTTTTTGGAAGAGAATATTTTGGACTTTACAAGAATGCAATTTAATTATCAATACCAAGGTATATTGAATACAACTTTGTGTTTATCAATGCAGGAAATATGCTGAAATAATAATAATAATAATGTTACATCTATAAATGGACTTTTTAAAATCTCAACATGAACCAGGTCCCAAGTTATGATTTTTCATTTCTTATGGTAGGTTCCCCCCTCCCCCACTTAATCCTCAACACTGTCTCATGATCAATTCTAAATCATTTTGTACTGCAGTAGATACGTCCTGGTTCACTCGGATTGGTGGCAGACGTAGTAGGGATGGCCAGAAACTTTGGTCCAGTGATATTTTTGGTCACTTTGGCAGTTCCATGCTATAGTTTATGGGATATAAGTTTATGTTGAATCCTATGGTCTTTCAGGGCAATTCTTTGAGGGAGTATGCTCCTAAACTGATAGTGTCACTCTCATCATACAACGTGGTCGAGCTGGCGTAACTACTGAGTGTTGGTGAGATTGAATCCTGTAACAGAAACATGTAAGACAGTGAGAGTATAACCAGTTTCTAAGTTTGCGGAACCACCAGGAAAAACTTTGAAACGTGGAGACTTCGATTCACAAATGTTCCCAATATCTTTGGGATCCTATATATAATGCATAAGACAACATGTGCATGTTGAGTGACGGAAACACAAGGCAAGAAAATTAATTTGAAATCTGTTAATATTGGATGTAAGATATATATGCTGTAGTTTGCATGCGTAGGTGATAAAATGACCATGGGCCATTTCAATGCTCGCGTACTGGTAATTGTTTTATTTCGCTTTATGAGTTGCAATTTTCAAATTTTTGATTGGATTGGACTTTGATTATAATTTGAAACAGTGAGAAATTTGACTAACAAAACATTGATTTATAAATGGAATGTCATTACCGGTAGTGTTATATAAAGAAAAGCAAAAGTAGAATTTTTCAAGAAATTATGTACATTTAAGGTGCTTTAGCAAATATCCCTGAGTGAGTTATCTGGTTTATTTTTTATCTTTATCTATGACAATCATGGGTAACACTAGCTTCACTCCTAAATCCACTTTGCTAGCTGACTTACGGTGAGGTCCATACAACTAGCCAATCTCTTGCCCTGGAGATTTCCCCGTGGCGTTCCAAGGTATCTCTCTCGGGAGTCGGCGAAAGGACTGAAGGCATGTGACACACTGGACACAGCTCTCTTCAGCCGACCTGGTGTCTTGTTGAACGAAAATGCTCGACTGACACGCTTACCCAGTCTGAAAAAACATATATATATAAACCAATGTCAAAATATGTCACATTATTTACTACAATTCAACAACTTTATTTTCAAATGGAAAACAGTAAATCTTTTAGCATAGGAAGTCATCTGGCAGAAATTTAACATTAAACTTTCTGGCTCTACAACTGACAATAAAACAAACTCCTATACACAGTACTATACAATGAACTCATAAAACAAAGTAAGCAGGAGCTCTAACAGATACACTTAACCCCACAACCCCCACCTCTGAAGAGGTTCAATGTGAACTTTGACCCCTTAACCTTACGACAAAAATCTAATCAGGTGCAGAGCTTGAAGTTTGTACATACTATACTGTAAATCTGAACTAAATTATGTTAAAGTGGTTTAGGAGATATCTTGTACAGGAGATTTTTGCTATGGATGGATGCACTTTGACAAACCAAGTACTATATACCAAGTGTTACAAGGATAGGAGCAAGTGTTATAAATATGGACATAAACATACAGTTTGGACAAAGCCATAGACTTAACATCATATTCAGAAGCTTTGCTGATAAATGATAGACTAACTACCATGTTGTGATACTGAACTGATTCATATTTGACCAAATATATATTTCTGCTTAGCTGATAAAAACTAAATATGCTAACATGCTTAAATGATAAACAATTTACTAAATGTCATACCATGCTTCTTTAATAGCAAATAATTGAGTAAATGTAAAAAAAAATGTTGCTTACAAGGTAGTGCCACTTGGCTGTTGATAATAAACCTGTGCTGATTAATTGATACTCCACTGTTTAACTGATAAAGATTACTTAATGTCCTACTGCACTACTGAATGAATTAAAACTGTCGCCAGAATGGCGGACTTAAACTGCCCGCCTACACCAACAACTGTAGGAAAAGTTCTGTTGAGGTTCTCTGCACAAATATCATTTTAATTGGTGCTGTACTTTTGGATGAGTAGTGTGAACATTTTCTTTTAACCAAGACTCATAACTCTATAAATAAGAGATTACATGAAGTCATGTACTTTAGTAACATTTCTCTAACATTAACATTATCTCTATTGAACCCTACACCTCAGTGCAGCACTTTGGGAGAAGTAGTGCAAAAAATGTTGTGTCTACAGACACACAACACTATTATAGAATGACCCAACTCTCAATCCGTAACAGGGGATACAACAATTATCTGAATTTCAAAATGTGCTAATATTTATTGTTTCTAGGGTTATAAATATATTTAAAATACTAAATGTCATACTGTGCTATTTAGCTCTTAAATAAGTGATTACATGTCAAATATGTGCTGCTTAATTAATACCTTAGTGACTTAACATAGAACTCTGCTGTTTAACTGACTAACAATAACACACTGTGCTATGGTGCTACGTAGATGATAAATAATAAACTAAATATCATTCGGAATAAGATTCATCAGTTTGGTATTACCGGTAATGATAAAGGCTAGGTTTGTTTTGAACACAAACAGGGATTGAAAACTTATTTTGTGAGCTTTTGAAAACGTCTGTTTCTTTTGTCAAGCAAATAGTTAAGTGACCGGTGTCTCTAAATGACTCTGAACGGCTGAAAACGACTCAATAAACCACAGTGGGCCGAATCAGTAAAGTCAGCTGTCAAACATTATAGACATTTCGCCAAATTGCACTCTAAGACTGGAGGCATTTAGAGGGACAAGTAACATGTGTACCCATTCTGCCCCTTAGTGGATGTTAAAACTAAATATACTTTCATGCTAAGCTGGTAAACAACCAACTTAATATAATACTGTGCTGCTTAGCTACTAATTGATTAAATATAATAAATAGTTGCTAAGGTTATAAATATTTGACTAAATGACAGACATACTGTGCATACTAAGTCGACAAACAATGGACCGAGTCATAATCTACTGCTGTTTTTTAATAGCTGTACTGTGCTTCTTAGCTAATTAATAACAAGCAAATTCTTGGAATTACATCCCCCGCTTGCAGGACATATTGGTTAACATTATTGAGGTTAAGTTTAAACATGCGAGTATCATGCTGTTGAGACATAATGTATAGCTTGAAACTTGGAGAGAGAAAAAAAGCCCTATACCTCATTTATTATCCGTAAATATGCACAAATCACAACGGTTTGCAAACTTAGCATGAGTTGGATGTGCATACCAAATTTAGTTGAAACATCTAAATAGTATCTACAGCAATTATCACACGAAAACCAAAGAGTGCTCGAGATGGGTGGAAAGACAGAGGAACACAAACATTGTCATCAATTTTGAAGGAATTTGGCTAATATTTGCTAGCGTTGTTAAGCTGAAAATGCAGATGACGTTTTTTCGTTAATTAAGTGGCCATAACTCTGCCAAATAGAGTCTGATTAAAGTGGTTGTCAAACTTGGCCGAGCCCTTAATAAGTTGAACCCTGTTACTCAGTTTGAAGACAATCGGATAATATTTGAGGGAGTTAATGAACAGAAACGCCAGAAAATGATGGTTTTCATTATTCAAGGGGCCATAACTCGACCAAATGGGGTCAGCTGGAAGTGGTCATCAGCCTTGGTCCAGCACTTAAGGCATTTAACCCTGTGACCAAGTTTGAAGAAAATCGGTTAACATTTGTTGTAGTAATTGCACGGAAACAAAGCGCGACAGACAGACAAACCCAAATTAATATCCCCCGTTTCGGTGAAAGCAGGGGACAATAACTAAATGTCAAGCCATGTGCTGCTAAACGGGCAATTGGTTGCTTAACTGATGGACTTTGTATAGTATGCAGCTTAGCAGATAAATATTGGACTAAATTTCCTATTTTGCTAATTAGCTGAAAAGCATTGGACTATTGTCATACCTCGCTGCTTTACTGAAAAACAATGAGACAAAAATGTCATATTCTGCTGCTTTAGAATCTCATAATAAATGGATGAAATGTCAAACTGTTACTTAGCTGATAACGAGATGACTAAATGAACTTTATCGATGTCATACCTTGCTGCCTTGCTGATGCTATGTTTACCCAGCTCACTTGTGTTGATGTGGAGATCCCGGCCGACGACTGTCACCATCAAGGATTCCTACAAGAGTTAAAACACAACAGACTTAGATAATTCGAGATTCTTTTATACATGTACCACTTTATCACAACCTAGTTTGTAGGTCGGTTCAAAAATTCAGATCTGTGGTTATAGGGCCTTTGCAACCAGACAACATCTTTCGCAACTGCCTGAGGAGCATACAGTCAGTGCTGCCATTTCAGCGCTCATAGCTAGCATTTAACAATTCTAGCACTTCCCAACTACATACTCATTTACAGCTGAGTAGACTAGAACAAGCGGAGTAAAGTTTCTTGCTCAAAGATTACAACACAGTGCCGTGCTGTGACTTGAACTGCAACCCTTTGGTCATGATCCTGGCGTCCTACCACTAGACTACCGTGCCTCCTAAGATCACATTCAGAAGTAATGCATTGTTTAGAAAACATCAAAGTATGTTATTCCGTCTTTGCGTATTGCAGAGTTATCTTCTCTTGGAAGCAGGTATTGATTGTTACGTCACTTGTTTGTGAGAGTAACGTAATCAAATTTTGAGAAAACGACCTAATTTTCTCACACAGACCAATGACGTAACAATCAATACCTGCTCCCAAGAGAAGATAACTCTGCAATATGCAAAGGTATGTTATAGACAATATGTTTATGTACATTATTAACATGTAACTAGACACACATGTCTGGGTTTTCAGTGCTATAAACTGTCAATCATTAGATGCTTACATAGACAATAAGTCCTGGTGTGGACAATTTTATTTAAAGGATCGTGTAATATTTCATTTATTTTAAAAATAAGAAAATGTCTGTTATACATGAGCGTACTTGCTTGCATTTAAATTATTGTACGACAAATTTCTATGAATAGTACAGGTGACCTTGGCCTTGTTCTTGAACCCTGAAAAACAATTTCGTTCTAGGTATTCTTCTGCAGTTTAAGATTTTCTATGTGTAATAACAGTAACCTTCTATGAACTTAAACATCAATCCAAAGCAATGACTTGGGGACAAATAAGTCTTGTAAACAGTTTTAAGTTATATCAAAACAACAGAACTAAACAAAATATGCAGAAATAGGCTACATAGATGCCTTGACCTTTAATATTTGATATTTGTCAAATATTTCAAGCATGTGCTTTGAAACCGGAGTTTCAGGATGAAGAAAAGTGCATGCTACACAGACCCAAGGGTAATCAACTGATTTTCTTATTATAGTAAGGGTCACTTAGTGTCCTTGACCTATGTGGGAGATACTTACATGGTCAGCCATACACAATATGTGGGAGATACTTACATGGTCAGCCATACACACTATGTAGGAGATACTTACATGGTCAGCCCTACACACCATGTGGGAGATACTTACATGGTCAGCCCTACACACTATGTGGGAGATACTTACATGGTCAGCCCTACACACTATGTGGGAGATACTTACATGGTCAGCCCTACACACTATGTGGGAGATACTTACATGGTCAGCCCTACACACTATGTGGGAGATACTTACATGGTCAGCCCTACACACTATGTGGGAGATACTTACATGGTCAGCCCTACACACTATGTGGGAGATACTTACATGGTCAGCCCTACACACTATGTGGGAGATACTTACATGGTCAGCCCTACACACTATGTGGGAGATACTTACATGGTCAGCCCTACACACTATGTGGGAGATACTTACATGGTCAGCCCTACACACTATGTGGGAGATACTTACATGGTCAGCCCTACACACTATGTGGGAGATACTTACATGGTCAGCCCTACACACTATGTGGGAGATACTTACATGGTCAGCCCTACACACTATGTGGGAGATACTTACATGGTCAGCCCTACACACTATGTGGGAGATACTTACATGGTCAGCCCTACACACTATGTGGGAGATACTTACATGGTCAGCCCTACACACTATGTGGGAGATACTTACATGGTCAGCCCTACACACTATGTGGGAGATACTTACATGGTCAGCCCTACACACTATGTGGGAGATACTTACATGGTCAGCCCTACACACTATGTGGGAGATACTTACATGGTCAGCCCTACACACTATGTGGGAGATACTTACATGGTCAGCCCTACACACTATGTGGGAGATACTTACATGGTCAGCCCTACACACTATGTGGGAGATACTTACATGGTCAGCCCTACACACTATGTGGGAGATACTTACATGGTCAGCCCTACACACTATGTGGGAGATACTTACATGGTCAGCCCTACACACTATGTGGGAGATACTTACATGGTCAGCCCTACACACTATGTGGGAGATACTTACATGGTCAGCCCTACACACTATGTGGGAGATACTTACATGGTCAGCCCTACACACTATGTGGGAGATACTTACATGGTCAGCCCTACACACTATGTGGGAGATACTTACATGGTCAGCCCTACACACTATGTGGGAGATACTTACATGGTCAGCCCTACACACTATGTGGGAGATACTTACATGGTCAGCCCTACACACTATGTGGGAGATACTTACATGGTCAGCCCTACACACTATGTGGGAGATACTTACATGGTCAGCCCTACACACTATGTGGGAGATACTTACATGGTCAGCCCTACACACTATGTGGGAGATACTTACATGGTCAGCCCTACACACTATGTGGGAGATACTTACATGGTCAGCCCTACACACTATGTGGGAGATACTTACATGGTCAGCCCTACACACTATGTGGGAGATACTTACATGGTCAGCCCTACACACTATGTGGGAGATACTTACATGGTCAGCCCTACACACTATGTGGGAGATACTTACATGGTCAGCCCTACACACTATGTGGGAGATACTTACATGGTCAGCCCTACACACTATGTGGGAGATACTTACATGGTCAGCCCTACACACTATGTGGGAGATACTTACATGGTCAGCCCTACACACTATGTGGGAGATACTTACATGGTCAGCCCTACACACTATGTGGGAGATACTTACATGGTCAGCCCTACACACTATGTGGGAGATACTTACATGGTCAGCCCTACACACTATGTGGGAGATACTTACATGGTCAGCCCTACACACTATGTGGGAGATACTTACATGGTCAGCCCTACACACTATGTGGGAGATACTTACATGGTCAGCCCTACACACTATGTGGGAGATACTTACATGGTCAGCCCTACACACTATGTGGGAGATACTTACATGGTCAGCCCTACACACTATGTGGGAGATACTTACATGGTCAGCCCTACACACTATGTGGGAGATACTTACATGGTCAGCCCTACACACTATGTGGGAGATACTTACATGGTCAGCCCTACACACTATGTGGGAGATACTTACATGGTCAGCCCTACACACTATGTGGGAGATACTTACATGGTCAGCCCTACACACTATGTGGGAGATACTTACATGGTCAGCCCTACACACTATGTGGGAGATACTTACATGGTCAGCCCTACACACTATGTGGGAGATACTTACATGGTCAGCCCTACACACTATGTGGGAGATACTTACATGGTCAGCCCTACACACTATGTGGGAGATACTTACATGGTCAGCCCTACACACTATGTGGGAGATACTTACATGGTCAGCCCTACACACTATGTGGGAGATACTTACATGGTCAGCCCTACACACTATGTGGGAGATACTTACATGGTCAGCCCTACACACTATGTGGGAGATACTTACATGGTCAGCCCTACACACTATGTGGGAGATACTTACATGGTCAGCCCTACACACTATGTGGGAGATACTTACATGGTCAGCCCTACACACTATGTGGGAGATACTTACATGGTCAGCCCTACACACTATGTGGGAGATACTTACATGGTCAGCCCTACACACTATGTGGGAGATACTTACATGGTCAGCCCTACACACTATGTGGGAGATACTTACATGGTCAGCCCTACACACTATGTGGGAGATACTTACATGGTCAGCCCTACACACTATGTGGGAGATACTTACATGGTCAGCCCTACACACTATGTGGGAGATACTTACATGGTCAGCCCTACACACTATGTGGGAGATACTTACATGGTCAGCCCTACACACTATGTGGGAGATACTTACATGGTCAGCCCTACACACTATGTGGGAGATACTTACATGGTCAGCCCTACACACTATGTGGGAGATACTTACATGGTCAGCCCTACACACTATGTGGGAGATACTTACATGGTCAGCCCTACACACTATGTGGGAGATACTTACATGGTCAGCCCTACACACTATGTGGGAGATACTTACATGGTCAGCCCTACACACTATGTGGGAGATACTTACATGGTCAGCCCTACACACTATGTGGGAGATACTTACATGGTCAGCCCTACACACTATGTGGGAGATACTTACATGGTCAGCCCTACACACTATGTGGGAGATACTTACATGGTCAGCCCTACACACTATGTGGGAGATACTTACATGGTCAGCCCTACACACTATGTGGGAGATACTTACATGGTCAGCCCTACACACTATGTGGGAGATACTTACATGGTCAGCCCTACACACTATGTGGGAGATACTTACATGGTCAGCCCTACACACTATGTGGGAGATACTTACATGGTCAGCCCTACACACTATGTGGGAGATACTTACATGGTCAGCCCTACACACTATGTGGGAGATACTTACATGGTCAGCCCTACACACTATGTGGGAGATACTTACATGGTCAGCCCTACACACTATGTGGGAGATACTTACATGGTCAGCCCTACACACTATGTGGGAGATACTTACATGGTCAGCCCTACACACTATGTGGGAGATACTTACATGGTCAGCCCTACACACTATGTGGGAGATACTTACATGGTCAGCCCTACACACTATGTGGGAGATACTTACATGGTCAGCCCTACACACTATGTGGGAGATACTTACATGGTCAGCCCTACACACTATGTGGGAGATACTTACATGGTCAGCCCTACACACTATGTGGGAGATACTTACATGGTCAGCCCTACACACTATGTGGGAGATACTTACATGGTCAGCCCTACACACTATGTGGGAGATACTTACATGGTCAGCCCTACACACTATGTGGGAGATACTTACATGGTCAGCCCTACACACTATGTAGGAGATACTTACATGGTCAGCCCTACACACTATGTGGGAGATACTTACATGGTCAGCCATACACACTATGTGGGAGATACTCTTGGTGAGTTGGGTCGTGAATTCTTTTTTGCTTTCTTCCCCATCCACCATAAAACTGAATAACTTTTCTGTCATCTCTGAATTACTCTTAACTATTATCCCAAAAGAATTGCGACAATCTGAAAGGAAAGAAACAGTAAGGTAAATAGTATTTAAACATTAACCTGTGCACTCATACTATTAAAACTCTTTGCTTACTAGATACAGTTAAACCTTGTCAGAGTAACAGATTACTTAAAGCTTGTCAAGTGATATTTGAGTCTGAACTCTCACAGTCAAGGTTAATTGTTTTCTTTTTGTCTTCATGATTCCATTTAATTTTATTACAAAATTCCATATTAGATATCAGTGTTTCATTTATTTACTTGTAAGTCATAAATAATATTTTTCAATTTCACACAATGTATTTTTGATAACTCATAGATTCGACATAGAAGATCTCCCTGCTTTTCAAAACTCAGGTGAAAATGACTCCCTCTGGGGAAAGGCAGATATTGAAATATTTTCAACTACAGAACTAAAACTTCATTCAAAAACATCAGACGATGAGCAATTGATTTCAGTGGATACTAATTTATGATGGTGCATTAACTACTTCACCCCTGAAGACATTTGAACTCTTCCAATTCAAAGAATAGTTAAGTCCATTATAAAATTGCAGGGGTTAATGAGTTAAAGATGATTTGTATTTATCAATGTTTAACTTTTCCTCGAGATGCTGTGTAGCATGCGAGGACCCGTTCTCACCGTCTCGCTCCAGACAGTCGACCACCCGTTTAATTGCTGCAAGTGGTATCAATGTCAGATGTTTTAATGCCTTCTGTGGGGTTTTTAGGAGGGCTGGCGACTTGGAACTGTTCAGGTATCGTGATCGTCTCTTACATAACTGCAACAACAACAGAAGGTTAAACGGCAGCATATATCAAAGTAGCTTGAGGATGGACTTTAAAAGCCGAGAACACATTGTGAAAGACAATCACAAATGATGCATGTAAGATTAAAAGGATATCTTTCCTACAACATTTTGATATAGAATATCAATACAAATCATACATGCATTTCAAAGGTAAAAAAAAGCTACTCTCAAAAAATCTGACAGTGGTTGATATTTTAACAAGCACTGTCTTACAATTAACATACATTTTGCTAGAAGAAATGTGTACATTTTGAACCCTGAGCTCCTTTGAAAGATCAGAGAGATCTGAGGTTTTAAGAATCTTGTTAAGTACAGATAATTGTAAGATTTACGCTATTTTAAGATAAGTTAAAACTGTTCTTACCTCTAAACTGTCGGTAAAGAGGAAGAGTGAGAGAGGCATCCCTCTACCACAAAGCTCGTCGGACAGCTCTATGACATCCATCCTCGCGACAAACTTTCGGTGTGAGGACAGTAGTGTGGGCTGTTGGCGTCAACAATGTAAAAACATGATATAACTTGGTGCACTACTTCTGTCAAATAATTTCTTTCCTAAATCCTGGGATACCATTAAAGATTTACTTTAATTTGATCAATTTATCAAACCTTGGTGTTCCGACCTACTGCCTAATCGAACATAACTATATAATCCACTTTTATTGAAAACTACCCAATATTTTCTGTGTACTTTGACACCCTGTCTAATCTGACCAAGATGGTATCTCACAATGTCTGATTAAACAGAGTTCACTGTAATCTTAACTTGTATAGTACAATAGTGAATTCTGTGCTAAGATCATTCATAGAGTAAAGCAAAGCACATTACAAATCTTAAGACTTTTGTATCCAGAAAATCAAAGTTCTATTAGACGTACTCAGTTGAGATGAATACATACTCTACAAACCCTAGCTGAACCCTAGCCCTTTCACCCCTGTAGACCATAATGGACTTACCCAGATAAATCAGGGATCAATCTAGGTTTTACAGAAACCACCCTTTTTCAGATTTGGGGGAAATCAAAATTTTGATACAGGGCTCTAGCGTCATGAAGGTTAAAGATAAATGTTTTGTCCGACATATGTTAGATTTTTTGTTTAAATTATGTGAAGAAAATGTATATATATGCAGTATTATGCATTTTTACTGTTGAACTTTAAAGAAAACATTTTTAGGGGATATATTTTGAAGAAAAGCAGCTATTTTCTTGTCTTTGAAGCACATAGGGTGAATTTCGAAGATCAGGGATTTTCTTCTGTAGGGAAAACTACCAATAAATCATAGTGAATCAAGTCTAGATGTATCCCTGTAAATGTATGGTAGAGTCTACTAAAGTTACCTAGGGGTGAAAGGGTTAGTTATACTGGTTAACTGATTACTTAGGATTCTGTTTAGACAGGCGACTGTGGGAGTTTGTTTCAAGCTATTCGTATAGTGTGGACATTTTTGCATTCGCAATGCCACTGTATAGCGTGTCATATCAGCATATATTTAAGCCAATACTTGTGTTTATTTATTAGTTTAAGTCCATGCCTGGTAATAAGCCCGTCTATATATTTTGCAGTTCAGCAGAGATGCCAACAAAAACAAATTTGCTGACCTTTGATTTAAAACTAAGCCTTGCACCTTGAATCAAAAATAATGTGTTGGTACCTTGGGCTTGTTGCAGTGTTCTACAGTGTGGCGGAGCGTATAAATACGGTAACGAACTTGAAAATTAGCAAAATTTTCACTTTTATAGTAAATCAAAGAAAGTTTTCCAGCAAATGTTCTGATGAACAAGTCATAAGTACTTACAGGACAATTGTCTATATCATTCATGATCTCAAACATGACCACCTGGTTTTCTGTTTTCCTCTTGTCCTCATTGATGTGCCTGTCGATAAATAGAAATACGTTGTCATATTTTTACGTCCAATATAGAAATTTACACTTGGAAGTGATTTTTCCTGCCTCTTTTTCCACAGGGCACTGCGCTTTGTGATTTCAAGAAAATATCACAAAAAAACGGCATGATTTTGCTAAGTGATTTTTGCATAAATTTTGAACAAAATACATCAGAAATTACCCAGTTACAGAATGGTTAAGTTGAAGCATAAAACGTCTCACACTCACGTCATGACTTCCTTGAGGATGTTGATGGCCTTTTCCAGCTTACTGTGGTCAATGTTTTCCTTCGGGGTGTGTTTCATAATATCTGTCAATAAATCAAACATTTTTCACATCAAACTTGTCATACAACTCAATTCATTTTAACCCTTTCACCCCTGTGTAACTTCAGTAGGCTCCACCATGCATTGATATGGATGAGTCCATTGTAGACAACAGTGGTGAAAGGGTTAACCTAACTTATCGTGATAAAATAAAGAATTCTAAGAAGGACACATTGTAGTTTTGGAAACACAACTGGCCAGTTTTCTACTTGTACATGCACATTGATTTGGTACAACATGCATTCTATAGATTTGTTAATTAAGTGTACATGAACAGATCCAGATTCATTACAAACCACATGGTATTTGGGTCTGAGGATTCAGTTTGCTATTAAGCCAATATTAATGATAGACTCTGGGGACATTTACTTTGCCATAGGACAAAAAAATGATTTATTCATTAGCAAAAGTTTTCAATAACCTTTAACCCTTTCACCACTGTAGACCATAATGGACTCATCCAGATCAATGCATGGTAGAGCCTACTAAAGTTACATAGGGGTGAAAGGGTTAAATAGAATACTCGCAGCAGTGTTTTTGTTACCTTAATTTTACAACAGCCTGTTCATATATGAATTGGGAAAGTATAGCATTATTTGTATTGAAATCAGGAATATATCCTTCAATTTTTGATCATTTTGGGAAAATAAGACACTTTTTCTCTAGGGGAAACAGCCTGTATTTTTGGCAGTAAAACTGAGCAAAAAAAAATCACTGAACAGTTATAGTACCAGTATACACAGGGATGATGATGTTGGCACTCAAGATTTAACACGAAATGTGCTCAGTGATGATGGTCTTAGCTTCCAGATCTGTTGATTTACGGTCATCAGCATGAGGAATATTATACTCATATTTATGTCCAAGGAGATTACACAGGTGTGCCTTGTCTGCTAAAAAACTAAAACTATGATTACTCTCAGCACATCTACTTATACATAGATATAGATCAGTCTGTCTGCAGAATCAAACTAAAAATTTGAAATGGTATGTCCCTTAGTAAGACATAATAGACCTAAAGTTATATATTAAAACCATTTAATAGCATGATATTGATCCATAAGTAACAGACACCCACCATTAAGTAAAAGTGAAATACTGGGTAGGCGCTGGACAGGCCGGATAAGCAGCTCCGTCAAAGTCTGTCGTCCACACTCTGGTTTTGACTGACACACCTGTGTAACAAAATCAATTATCATAGACAACTTATTATTACTATCATATATTAATTCCGTGTGGAAGTGTGCTAATTTACTCATCACAAAAAACAAACTTTTAAAGTGACTGACACACCTGTACATATTGCAAATATATGGCTATTGAGGTACAAAAAATCTTCACTACCGCCATCTTATTGTTGCTGAACATACATTCACAAGATATTTCTATTTGTGATTTACTCTTGTGAATTGATATAGAAATGTTTATCGCCTGAAATTTCAGTAATTTACATCAGTGATCCCAAAAAGATCATTCCTAATATGGTGATTTACGCTAGGTTCACAATATTGAAGATCAATTTGTCCTATATAATTAATGTCCAGTACGAAACAAGTTCACCGTATTGTAAAACAAACCAAAGCCAACAGGTATCGAAATATGCAGGATCCTGATACCACATTTTCTCTATTTATATGTCCCATGATGAGCTTGTAATAAAAATCGCCATTTTATGCCGATACATTTTTATTTAACTTACAGAAGTATCTTGGTTTAATACAACATCTGGTCAATACAAATAATTGTTCACATATTAACATTTGTTGTTGTTTAATAGTTGGTTGATTATTGAGAACGCTTACCTTCAAAAAGGCATGGAATCTAGGGTTAGTTTTATCACATTTAGCTATGGTTTCTTTGGTCTGCTCAAAGTAGTTGACAAATGGTGGGTACGCTTTCATCAGAGCATCAGCCTGAAATGCCGAACAACATTGAAATATCATATTGCAAAAGATGTCAGGGTCAGGAAGAAGTGTTTCAAATCTAATTAGTATCGCAAATGTAGAGAAAATACTTTCAAGTGAGAATGTTATCATCAGACCTCCCCCCCTCACAATTAAGAAAGAGTTGATTACAAAAACAATTATCATTATTTGTCCGGGTTGTTGTCAGAATAGTTACAATCTCAAAGCTGGACCTCTTGAGGTTAATAACTCAACCGATTCTGATAATCAATTATGCTTTTCTTTTTATCAATCATTAGTTAAACCTTTGATACATTGAATGTGTAGGATCAGTATTACCAGTAGTTTATATTTACAGTATTCCTTGCTAATATTTAAACTTGACATGCTGCGAGGTAGAACTGGCGGCTCTGAAGTTTGACTCGCACAGTTCATTTAAATACATGTATACCTAACAGTCCTGACAGAGGTAGAATGGTTCAAATAATACTCTTCATTGTGACAACAAATACTGTAAAAGCATAATATTTTGTTGGGGATTTCATTTTGTTTATTTCATGGCTTTATAAAAACCACGAAATATAATCCCAACGATATTTATAACACACGAAATATAAACTTAACGAAAATATTAAATAAACTATTAACTTTATTACCATTTCAGAAGAGACATGTTTCTCGTCCGCTAAAGAACTACTGACAAGGTACATGTATGTCTGTTTATGCGAGTCTACAAAGTAAACATTGTGTATATCTCTCTTTGTATATAAGCTATTTGACCGCTACCCATCGACTGAGTAAATCTTGCCCGATCTTTACCTGCACTGTGTTGTCAAGCCTGTCAATTAAAACCTCTTACTTACCAGAAAATAATTACGGGGTTTTAAAATGTTGATTCCATGAAATATAATCCCAGCAAAATTTTCCCCCATACAAAAACAACGAAATTTAACCCCAACAAAAATATATGCTTTTACAGTATTCAAATGTTTATATCAGCTGATAAATAAGTGATTATAACTAGGGCTGACTCTAACCGATGATTGATTATATTACTTCAACCGGGGTCTCATAACTAGTTACAGCCATTGTTACTACAAATGATACTTTATTCATAATTTAAACTTTATTTATTTTACAACAATTATGAAACAAGTTATTTCAACTTATATTAAACTCTCTTGTTGGCCAGGACGTAAGCGTGCGTAGGGTCTTATTCATAATTCAAGGTTCTTATATATATACCGCTTTATCACACCCTAGTTCCTAGTTCATAGGTTGTCTCAAAGTGGTTCACAAATTATTATTCGTGGTTATAGGGCCTTTGCAACCAGCCAATATCTTAGGAGCATATAGCCGGTGACGCCATTTCGGCGCTCACAGCTAGCATTCAACAATTCTAGCACTGCCCAGCCACACACTCATTTACAGCTGAGTAGACTAGAACAAGTCGAAAAAAAGTATCTTGCTTAAAGATACAACACAGTGCTATGATGTGACTCGAACCCGCAACCCTTCGGTCACAAGTGCCTCCTAGGCCTATTATTCATAACTTGAATGTGAGCACAAATTCTGTAAATGCGTTAACAATTTAGCTTTGACTTATATAATCACAGAAATCACCAATCCTGCATACATGTTCAAGTATGACATCGCCAATTCCCTTCTCTTCACTCCAGTTTTCCACGATGCTCTGTAGCTCCTCCGAGATTTGGCAGTGGACATCGTAAATCGGTGGAATGTTGCCAAAAATGACCTTAGTATGCTGTGGAGCTAGCAGAGCTCCATTATACTGGTTTGGCTTTTCCACCTCAGCTTTAAAAACCTGGTAAAATCAAAAACAGTATATTAGGGAAATTATAGTTTGATGAATAACACAATAGGTCTACAACTGGTTAAATTTTCCCTAATCCATGTAAGAATAAAATTTGGTGGTGGGTTGGTGTTTGGAGGTACAATTATATTAAAATCTTACTACATGCATCATTGATGAAATAAACTGCTCTCAGAATCATGTAGTAGCAGTAACAAGCCATCAATGCACATGTCAAGTTTTGTTGGTCTAGCATTTATAGTTTCAGAGAAACTAAGTTAAACGCAAAAAAATAATGTTGATGGAGATGCTGACAAAGTCAATGGACCATGAAAGGTAGGCCACATCCAGCATTTGATGCTTGGGTTGAGATGAACTACTTAAGATGCATCTATGGTCCAAGTTTGGTAGGTCTAGCACTTATACTTCCAGTGAAACTAACTTAAATGCAAAAACTTGTGGCGAGACAAAAATTATGCATGCCTCACATTGGCAATTCAACTTAGTCATAATTTATGTGCATACCAAATTTAGTTGCAATCACGTTTTTCAGGGCAGCTATTGAACTTAAAACCTTTTAACCAATCAGAATCAGGTAGCCTCCTTAGTTATACCAAAATATGCACACATCACCTTGACATTTAAAATTTGTTGAAGTATTGTCATTATGTATGTGTATACCAAATATGGATGAAATTGAACCATTTCTAGGGCAGTAATTGACTGAAACCATTAAATAACCAATCAGAACTATGAAGCCTAAGTAATTGCAAAAATATGCCTGATCAAACTTAACCCGAGTCTCGCCATTATGTATCGCCATACCAAATTATGTTGACATCAGATTAATTTGAACGGAAATTAAATGCATGACACATGTATGTCCCCAGTGTTCTCCAGAAAGTGGGGGATAGATACTCTTCATAAGAAAAAGTATGAAGGTCAAGATTATATTATGGTATTTCAATCCCTGAGGTTAAAAAATCACAAAAATTATGTATGGGTTAAATGTGAAACAGATCATATACTTGGCTAAGCTTGGGATTTTACGTTTATAAGACATCTGTTTCTACAGACTAAGAAGCAACTCAATGGCCATACTCGAAATTCCTTGGGTTACATTCTCTGCACCCCTCAATATGTCATGACGAGATCGAAGGCTCTATGTGTCAACTTGGTGGATGATACCTGTTGACTAGTTTGATATTTTAAATACATCAAAAGATTCTTAGCGGTAAGATTGACCAGATTGAAGTCCAGTGGAGCTCCTCTGTAATCTTCCAAGGCCAGGCATCAGCCTAACAAAGGCCAGGCATCAGCCTAACAAAGGCCAGGCATCAGCCTAACAAAGGCCAGGCATCAACCTAACAAAGGCCCGGCATCAGCCTAATAAAGGCCAGGCATTAGCCTAATAAAGACAAGGCATCAGCCAAATAAAGGCCAGGCATCAGCCTAACAAAGGCCAGGCATCAGCCTAATAAAGGCCAGGTATCAACCTAATAAAGGCCAGGCATCAACCTAACAAAGGCCAGGCATCCGCCTAATAAAGGCCAGGTATCAACCTAATAAAGGCCAGGCATCAACCTAATAAAGGCCAGGCATCAGCCTAACAAAGGCCAGGCATCAGCCTAATAAAGGCAAGGCATCAGCCTAATAAAGGCCAGGCATCAACCTAACAAAGGCCAGGCATCCGCCTAATAAAGGCCAGGTATCAACCTAATAAAGGCCAGGCATCAACCTAACAAAGGCTAGGCATCAGCCTAATAAAGGCCAGGTATCAGCCTAATAAAGGCCAGGCATCAACCTAATAAAGGCCAGGCATCAACCTAACAAAGGCTAGGCATCAGCCTAATAAAGGCCAGGTATCAACCTAATAAAGGCCAGGCATCAACCTAACAAAGGCTAGGCATCAGCCTAATAAAGGCCAGGTATCAACCTAATAAAGGCCAGGCATCAACCTAACAAAGGCCAGGCATCCGCCTAATAAAGGCCAGGTATCAACCTAATAAAGGCCAGGCATCAACCTAATAAAGGCCAGGCATCAACCTAACAAAGGCCAGGCATCAGCCTAACAAAGGCCAGGCATCAGCCTAACAAAGGCCAGGCATCAGCCTAATAAAGGCCGGGCATCAGCCTAATAAAGACAAGGCATAAGCCTAAAAAAGGCCAGGCATCAGCCTAATAAAGGCCGGGCATCAGCCTAACAAGGCCAGGCATCAACCTAACAAGGCCAGGCATCAGCCTAATAAAGGCCAGGCATCAGCCTTATAAAGACAAGGCATCAGCCTAATAAAGGCCAGGCATTAGCCTAATAAAGACAAGGCATCAGCCTAATAAAGGCCAGGCATCAGCCTAACAAGGCCAGGCATCAACCTAACAAGGCCAGGCATCAGCCTAATAAAGGCCAGGCATCAGCCTTATAAAGGTCAGGCATCAGCCTAACAAAGGCCAGGCATCAGCCTAATAAAGGCCAGGCATCAGCCTAACAAAGGCCAGGCATCAGCCTAATAAAGGCCAGACATCAGCCTAACAAGGCCAGGCATCAGCCTAATAAAGACCAGGCATCAGCCTAACAAAGGCCAGGCATCAGCCTAATAAAGGCCAGGCATCAGCCTAACAAGGCCAGGCATCAGCCTAACAAGGCCAGGCATCAGCCTAACAAAGGCCAGGCATCAGCCTAACAAAGACAAGGCATCAGCCTAACAAGGCCAGGCATCAGCCTTACAAAGGCCAGGAATCAGTCTAATAAAGGCCAGGCATCAGCCTAACAAAGGCCACGCATCAGCCTAATAATCGCTCTGTTTTTTCCAGCTAAACCAATTAGATAGCTAACCCAGGTGCCTTGAATTTCGGCACAACATATTCAAGAGATGCAGATACTTTGGCGAGAGTAACCCTTCAAATTTTGAGGAAACTCCAGGGCCATTTGTAAAGTTAACAATTTGTCACTAGCATGACACATCAACAAAGACATTAATTTGACAACACAAAAACAAAGGAACATATCATTCAAAAGATCCCTGAATGCAAAGTAAGATGAGAAAAGAAATACTTATTTACAGTTAGAATAGTGTTCAGGATCCCAACGTAATTTTTTTCTGTCTGTAAAAACTCCATCACAACCTGTTGTCTGGGTGTAATCTTCATCGATATATTGGAGACTTTCTCTTTTTGATCTTCTGTAAAGCAAAGGCCAGTTAAAATAAATAAATGTTAAACAATATTTATACAATGTGTTTAGGTTTTCAAATTAACAGAGGTCATTATCTTTCCAGAACCTTGCTCATCTGGAGATGGCTGTCTAGGAGAAACCGTTCTTTTTTTCAATGAAACTAGATCTTTCACATGTAGAGCTCTATTAGACACAATTAGTAATAACAGAAAAATCAACTTTGGTGTCATGAATATTTACTGGGTCACCCCTATATCATACAGCTTGTTGAAGGGGAACACAAAGCTAGATCCCCTCCACTGAATGTTTAAAGATACAATAGTCACTGTTTACAGATTTTGAGTGTGCACTCAGATGAGTAAATTCAGCTTGACAGTGGTTTATTGCTTTAAACTAAATTTGGATTCAAATATTTTAACATGTCAAACAGATTTCAAACCAAAGTTTGTTGTAAATTTTCCTATTTGTTACTGTATTTCACACCTATGATGTGTGTAATTAGTTTTTTACCTGTAACATAATCTGACTGGTCGGGTGTGTTGGAGGCATCTAAGAAGGAACTAGGGCTCATTGAAGTACGTCCCATCTCGCTGGAACGTCGCTTGTAGAGTGGAGAGTCGTAGTCACCCTCACCGGCCAGCTGTGCAATATTTTCCCTTAATCGTTTCCTCTTCCGTGACTTGGACCCTGACATACAGCGCCCAGGAGTGAATATTGAGTTGGCAGAAGGGTTCATCTGTATACAACAGAAATTATAGACATGAATCTTACATTTCTTTTTTTTAGAAAATGTGAAGTTTGCACTTCTTTTCAATACAAGCCATTCAGATTAATATGTCTCGCCTGTGCCCTGCTTTGACCATCAATGCACATGTCAAGTTTGGTTGGCCCAGCACTTATAGTTTCAGAGAAACTTATTTAAACGCAAAAAATTATGTTGATGGAGATGCTTATAAAGTCAATGGACCATGAAAGGGAGGCCGCATCCAGCATTTGATGCATGGGTTGAGATACACTACCTAAGATGCATCTATGGCCCAAGATTTGTTGGTCTAGCACTTATACTTTCAGTGACCCTTACTTAAACGCAAATACTTGATGTTGACACCGCTGCCATCACCGGAAAAGCAACACCTTAGTCTTGCTTCCACTACTTCATAGCAGCGAGACAATAAAGTTGATATCCTTATGTCAGTTTGCATAACACTTAATTGTACGAGTAATGTTGAGCTTACCTTCTGATATTCTAGCAGGTTCTCATCAGCACACGCCTCCATCTGTATACTCCCCCAGAACCACTGAAACCATCAATCATTTCAGAATATATTATTGTAAAGATCTTAAATGCAATAGGAATTAGGGAACAGGCACTATGGTTGTATGAAAGCCCTTTCCTTACTCTTCAATTTTAAAATGCAAAGTGGTAATTAATTTGGGCCTTACCTCACTACATACAAGAATTGTATATAGTATAATGAAACATAGTTACACCTTTATATTTGGAGGTCTCTGGGAACACAGGAATTAACAATTTAATATTGGAATAACTATTTAAGATTTCCAACATAGAATCTTTTTATATAGATGTGACAAAGCCCTCAGAAAATTTCAATTTCTATTTAAAAGCAATTTTTTAGTAGATAACAATTTCCATTGTGATGAGAACTGTAAATAAGTGGCCATTGTTCAGCTGTAGGAATCATTGCTCAAAGGTCCGATCTGTTGTTTCAATTTTTTTTAATACAAATGACCATAGTACTACAATATTCATAATGTAAAAGAAACTGAGATTCTTGTGACCTGGACCAAGGTCAGAAAACATTGTCCTGATATAGTGACTTTCCTACCACACATGCTTGCGATATATACTATAGTTGTCTCCCCTATGTCAATATCTATTAAATGATGGACTGACTATTCATTTATTTCAACAAGAATTCTACAGGAGTGGATGTTTGAGCTCAGCACTTTTAGTGAGAAAAGTGTTCTGGCTTGATTCATCGCGTAAACAAGCAAAAATTAACGGCAAAAAAGTTAGTATCAAGTGTGACATTCCAAAAAGCGGAAAGTTGAAACCCGTAATATGTGTTGAACATCATTGCTTCTAGCATTACCATACAAAATTTGAAAGGAATTGATTAAAAAACAATGCCCTTATTTGGCAATAAAAGGGGCAAAACTCCACCAAAAATGCATGTAGACTTCTGAAATGCGAACTGTGTACGAGTTATATTGGTATGCAATATGTGTACCAAGTTTGAGTTCAATCAACCCAATGGAACTCAAGTTATTGCACCGAAACCTTGTTTCGGATGACACAAACGACACCAACAAAGTAGTACCTATATGTCTCCTCGCGTTGCAGGCAACACAAAAACTGGCAATGTCAAGTTTTACAAAATGGATAATATCCATTGAGATATGCAGTTTCTATGAATGTCTAATAAGGCAAAATAAAAATAAATGTGTTTCCACTAACCCTACCTATCCTAAATTTTTGTGCCTGCCCTGAAGTTTTTATTGACGTTTAGTGATATGCAATGTTAAAGTCAGTCATCCTGCTCTATAAAAGCAAAGTCCAAATATTTTCAAAAATAAAAAAAAATGCCTACCTACCCTATTATTCTGAGGATGATAGCAGAAGCCAAGTAACTATTTAGGCCTAATTCAGGATACATTTCAACACAATACTCAGCACATGATTAAATCAGGTTAACCAGAACCCCGATTCGTCAGGCATGTAGTGAGGCTGAGCTGGTGGCCACTTACCTCTCCCTTGACAACGTAGTGTGGCAGCATGGAGGTTGGCGGCAGCTCCTTTGTTCCCTGATCGTCCACGACCAAATGGGTGCACTCGTCATCGTCCACGGCCCCAAACATTCCGCCTGTCAAACAGTACCACCACATTTTTAATGTCCTACAGTAATTTATAATCTCTACACTAAATAACAGAACTTCCTGTAAAGCAATTTGGCCCATTTTCAACATGTACTGGCAGGAAGCACGCTTTTTCTGTATCAACTATAACACTTATAAACAAACCCAAGATGATGTATTTTGCATCCTGTTTCATAAACATACAAAAGATTAAGAATTCTACCCTATAAAGGTATTTCAGAATTCTACCCTATAAAGGTATTTCAGAATTCTACCCTATAAAGGTATTTCTTATCCCAATTTATAGCCTTTTTCAGGAAGCATTTTTCTGACAATCGTTCCTTAAATGTATCCATTTTCAAAACCTCTTACCATTTTCTATGGTCAATTCTTCCATGTGTTTTTGTTCTTCTTTAGAAAATCCAAGGAAACTGAGACAGCACTTGAAAAATGGAGGCACCCTGTGAACCATCTGTAGAAAAAAACAGAGGCCGATAGCCTTTTCTATAGTACACTAATGTAAGTGTTCCATATTACGGATAATAACAGTAGTTTCTTGGCTTTTTTCAGAAACAATCCTGTGACTTTACAAATACCTAACTTTTCAACAAAGGACTTATATCAAATAACTGGATCTAGTACATTTACTATGCTTAACGCAAGAGAACAGATATATAAATTGTTGGTAAATAATAGACATTATTGACAGTTTGTATACCACTTGTTTTATAGTTAACAATACAATTAGAAATTAAACTGACCATTGAAAGAAAGTGATACCATAGGCATGTACTTATTATAAAACTTTAAGAGCTTAAACCTTATTAGCTCTAGAATTTTTTTTGAATATAATATTCCTTTTTTCTAAGAATGTGTGTGTACATAACAGACATCAAAACTTACAATAAGAGCGAATATTGGGGGAAAACCAAACTTAAGGAACAAGGCTGACAGCAAATAATAGGGAACAACAAAATTGTGATGTCAAGAGCAAATAATAGGGAAAGTAGTAAATTGATCCTGTTACAGGAAAACCGAAGCACACATTATGTCTTTGCATATTGCAGAGTTATCTTCTCTTGTCAGCAGGTATTGATTGTTACGTCATTGGTTTGTGTGAGGAAATCACATCGTTTTCTCAAAAATTGATGCTGTTACTCTCACAAACCAATGACGTAACAATCAATACCTGCTCACAAGAGCAGATAACTCTGCAATACGAAAAGACGGAATAGTTGATCATTGAGACAGATTTCAGTATGCACTGTTACTATAAACAAGTTTATTGTATAAAATACAAAATGAGATGTCTACAGTCCAAATATCTGAAATTCTTCTTGTCTTTTAGACCATCTGAACAGAAATAGAATGAATGCAAATATAAACAGTTTGACCATATAAGGAGAGTTTACCAGCTTAGGGTTTGTGCCCTTGACCTCTAGGTTGTCCCGCTCCTCCCATACACGATACAGCCAGTCAGAACTCATGATAGGGGTGCCAAAACTGACTGCAAACTGAAAGAAACGTAAAACAGGGTCTAAGTACATCTGTAGACATCGCCTCTCAATGCCCAAAACAAGATTTGTGAAACTATATCGTAAAATGAATGGTTTATCAATGCAACTCACCTTGATTTGAGTCTATTGTTAAAGAAACAACTATGAAATGTTTGAATTTTTTAAAGCATTATCTTTTTTAAAACATTGGTTTAAAATGAACTTCATGCACTCTTATAAAAAGAATGTTTGAGCTTTAAAAAACCCCACACAAACTGTTCAGAGGTCAAAAGATTGGGACGGAGGTAGCCCAAACAAAACCCCTTAAAGCGAGCAATAGGAAGTCTTCAAAAAATATGTACATCTATATCAAATTTGTCCTTTATTCACACCGATCAAATGTTTGCAGAAAGGACTGGCATGGAGAGTAACAGCACATACAGCACAATTCATTCATTCACAATGATGAAATGTTTCTGGGAAGACTTCACTCCTACCCTGTATTTCTCGCCCTCTGTACTGTTGGCCACCAGGTGAGTGACCTTTGGGGTGATCTCCTTGCGTACACTGCCGCCCATGTGGTGGAGGAGGTCTGCTAGGGGCGCCTGGGGAGCACAAGAGGATACAGTCATAAAGATATATAGTACCTAGTTCTAGGGACAAACAGGATCACTAGGTTCATAATATCAATTGTACACATTATCATAATTTATAGACAAAAATCAAGTCTTTACATAAAGGGGCATAAAATAGATACAAGGGAACCTACATCAAAATCAAAAGTAAAGATAGCAGCCTGTCGGACATTTTGTTTATCCAATCAGTCTCAAAAGTAAAGATGCACAGCAAGGGACCAATGTGAACCTAAATATCAAATTTGAGAAAGATCCCTCCAGCACTTTCTGGGAAAAAGCGATAACAAGAATTGATTAAGGGCGGACGACTGACATCAGACAAAGGATGGACTGAACGACCGACCACGGACGATTATTATTTTTTATACGATGCTATAAATAGATAAAGTTCTGTAGAGGTATGAAGAAATACACAGGGAGACCAAGATTCATATCGACATCAAACACAATGTTTTCAAGCAGTTTTCTAGATGGAAAAATGGAAAATTTATAGGAAATAGTAAGAGATGATCTAAAACAATTTACATTTCACATTTCTCATACGTCTCACCCTGTTAATTGTTTTAAAGCATTAAACTTTGTGAACTGGTCTACAAACAATTATTGACAACTTGTCAGTTTCTCCAATGCAACTGCAAGAATCTTTAAGTGGTCTGCCTGCCATTATTGACAACTTATCAGTTCTTCCCTGTAGTCGAAATTTGAACTGGCCCAATTCCATTATTAATAACTTCCCAGTTCTTCCCTGTAGTAGAACCGTGAACTGGCCCACCTTCCATTATTGATAACTTCCCAGTTCTTCCCTGTAGTAGAACTGTGAACTGGCCCACCTTCCATTATTGATAATTTCCCAGTTCTTCCCTGTAGTAGAACTGTGAACCGGCCAACCTTCCATTATTGATAATTTCCCAGTTCTTCCCTGTAGTAGAACTGTGAACCGGCCCACCTTCCATTATTGATAATTTCCCAGTTCTTCCCTGTAGTAGAACTGTGAACTGGCCCACCTTTGTTTATTGATAACTTCCCATTCTTCCCTGTAGTAGAACTGTAAACCGGCCCACCTTCCATTATTGATAACTTCCCAGTTCTTCCCTGTAGTAGAGCTGTGAACTGGCCCACCTTTGTTTATTGATAACTTCCCAGTTCTTCCCTGTAGTAGAACTGGAAACTGGCCCACCTTTGTTTATTGATAACTTCCCAGTTCTTCCCTGTAGTAGAGCTGTGAACTGGCCCACCTTTGTTTATTGATAACTTCCCAGTTCTTCCCTGTAGTAGAACTGTAAACTGGTCCACCTTTGTTTATTGATAACTTCCCATTCTTTCCTGTAGTAGAACTGTGAACTGGCCCACCTTCCATTATTGATAACTTCCCAGTTCTTCCCTGTAGTAGAACTGGAAACTGGCCCACCTTTGTTTATTGATAACTTCCCCGTTCTTCCCTGTAGTAGAACTGTGAACTGGCCCACCTTCCATTATTGATAATTTCCCAGTTCTTCCCTGTAGTAGAACTGTAAACTGGCCCACCTTTGTTTAGTGATAACTTCCCAGTTCTTCCCTGTAGTAGAACTGTAAACTGGCCCACCTTTGTTTATGGAGAACTTCCCAGTTCTTCCCTGTAGTAGAACTGTGAACTGGCCTACCTTCTGCCTTCCATTATTGACAACTTACCAGTTCCTCTCGTCTGTTGAAGCCTGTGAAACAAGTAATGACGCCCTGCATGGCGGTGCAGTAGAGAGGACGACTGTGGAAGGGGATCGGCTGTAACATTGAATTTATATAAATTTACAATATGTTAAAGCAGTTTACCTACAGTGAATATTTGACAAATCAATAGCAATATGAAAATGTTATCGAGGTATCTGCAGTTTTGAAAAGAAAGGTTTGCACATTGGAATACTGAAAGGTCACCTTAAATATTGACCTTGGTTGAAAGCACAAGTTTCTAGGATGATTGGATTGTGTCTGAAGTTTCATGAAGGACTACAAGTAGGTATCTAATTATAAAGTAATTTGAAAACTAAAGCTTACATACAATAAATGTTAACATGTGGATGGACATACGTACAGAACTGACACAGAAGATGCCATAAAAATTAATAAAGAAAATAGCATATATATATATACTTGTATACTAGAAAAGACTTTGAAACAAATTTTAATATTAATTTATCTTCCAAAAAGCAAATTTAAAGTCATTTTCCAGGTTTTAATCCTCCCCAGAAACAGGGATGTTATATATGCACTTACACATTTGTTTTTGGCACATTGATGTACAATTGGAGGCCCAATGATCCTGGCCTCGGCCTTTAGGAGTTTGTGGTAGACCTCGCCCTCAAACACACCCAGGACAAAAACGCTCTCTATCTCCGAGGCCCTACGAATCAACTCCAGTCCTGTGTCAGATTCTTCCTGATCCAGTTCCAGTGCCTAAAAATAGTATCATGAAGAACAGGAGATGAAGACTCGGGTTCTAAAATGTGGAGATAATTGGGATGCAGAGAAGAAGGATTTATAGTAACAGGATGTCTTGTGTCTGTAACCCAGGGTTGTTACTTAATATTGTATGTAGGGTTGTGTGACATAAAATATAATGTGTTTGTCCGTATGTACCTATGTGAACTGTACTCGTGTCGTATTGCTACGTAGTATTAACTCGGGCCTTGGACATACATGCTTGAATCTTCAAATACTTGGACGAACAGCACACAATATCCTTCTTACTTTCACTGAACTTGGTCATTGAGTTTTCTGAGTAGATCCTGCACTCTAGGTAAATCAGCCTCAACTGTGAGTCGCAAGTTGAAATACATGTGGTCTTTATGTTTGTGTCCCCAGGTCCGCCTTTTGTTGCCAAATATAAAACTGATTCAAGGGAAGAATGCAGAGTGGATTATGAAAAGTTCTTTTTTACATAACCAATAAAATTGTATTGGTTGTGTAAAAAAGAACCAATCATAAGCTATACTAACCAACATGAAGAAAATGTTTAGAAAAAACCCAGAAAAGACTGCAGAGTGTTTCTTTTTATTCACACTGATGAATCCCCGGTTGACATATCAAATAAAATAATGTTATATATACATAATTTATAAACAGCGAAATTTAAAACGAAACAAGACATGAGCGTAAACAGACACAGGTCAAAGCTGACAAGTTGTCAAATCTCCGTTGGAAGTCATGACCCTACCCCAATTCTGTGGATTTAGGGGATCCGTGAGGAACCAAGATACCATACATGTATGTCTTCAATTCAACCACTGGCCAATCAAGGAAGAAATTCATTCCCATGTAAATCAATGTCCCATACCTTTACAGCAGCCTTGAGTTCTTCATTTTCTCTGCAGTCTTTTCCGACCAAAATCACCAGCGGTTCCTTCACATCTGAAAATTAGTTTATATCATATATATATATCAGCTCTGTATCAAGGATTTTTTAAAAAGAAATGTGCAATGTATATAAATCTAAATTGCAAATTTTAATCATCCTTTAGCTATCTAAACATTGTTTGGTCAAAACTAATACCATAACTAGAATAGATATCCTGATTAACAGGGCTTGCAGTAGACCATAAATCAAGAGAATATTTTGACTCCCCAAAATGAGTTTTGACCCTTAGGTTTAAAGGACAGGTCTATTATATTTGCATTTTTTTTTTGTTAGTTTGGGATAGGGCCTTTTTGTCTCTCATTTTGGGAAGAAAAGACACCAATTAGGAAGGCAAATTTCAGTCAATTAATACCCCGCCCCCAAGTACACCGATTCAACATAAGTTTTTAGTTTTTACTCAACAAAAATTCAGGAAAAATCATATTTGACTTCTCAAATTGCTAGAAGTGAAGGTTAGGGTCAACTCCAATGAGGGTAACAAACCAGGTTAGCTGGTCTAGCCCAATTTCATTTTTACACTGTTGTTGATATTTTAAAAACAATCTTCATAGCTTTTTCCCCGTAAAAGTTCTGCAAGGTATATATGGTTTTCTTTTCAGAAATGACTTATCAAAGCCTATCAGTCAGAAAAAATACATAATTTCCAATTAATAGTTTGGTTTTGGCAGTGGTACAGGGATCTTAGTGCATACATGTACACACTGTGTCCTCCAATTAGATTAAAAGGTGATTGTAGAAAAGTCCGAAAGTAATTCAGCACCTTAGCTTGAACATGCATGTCTACACCAAATACACAATAATTACCATTTGAAAATTCAATCATTAGTTTTTTAAAATCAACCACCTGTTTTAAAACTTGCCAGCACGAACACTTAAATCTCAATGATACAGTATACGTACATGTATAAGTCAACTGTCCTTAAATCTATATTTATACAAAAATGAACATAATAATGTAACAATATACACAAGCTATAGTGCCCAAATTGTTTTGAAGGTTCATTGAATTGTCATCTAAACATTAAGCACTTATAAATCATATACAGAGCTTTTTTAAAGGACTCTCTTAAAAGCTTATGGAACCATTTATATGTGATTTATAATATTTGGTAACAATTATATACACATGAACAGAATATTAATATCTGTATGTAATTACATGTAATCATTTTCACAATAAGTTTTAAACGTTTTTAACAAAAACAAAGCAAGACTGTGTTATTGGAATATGAAATATTATTTTGAGAAAATTTTTGTACATGTACATATATAAAGTATAATGAAGATGCAGCTACACTTTCAACAGATAAACCACAGAGGAAACACATGCACGTACATGTACAGGTAAGGGAGTCAGAAGTTATATACATTAAATACATATCAAAGCAAAAGCATGCCTGTACCGACACATCATTATATCTTTATTAATTTCTATCAAAAAACTTCATTACCCTTTTACCACTGTGGACCACAATGGACTCAACCAGATACACATGGATGGTAGTTGTAGAGTCTACTAAAGTGACCTAGGGGTGAAAGGGTTAATAGACTGTCTTGTGTATTCCTATGAACTGACAACATATCTTGTTTACTGGTAAGTTTTTTTAACAGATTTGGAAATTGCATTAATATATATATATATTGTAATAACAACTTTTTAGTTGGTGATGATCATGAAAGCCCTGCTGTCAAATTGAATGAAAAACCTGGATAGTCACAATAATTTCAAGAAACAAAACATATCATTGTATTTAGTTAATAAGTAATATATCATTACTACAAACAGTTTATCTAAGAAACAGATTATGCTAAAGCTAAATCTACTACCTAATGAGTATATTGGGTTTAGCAACTTCTGCTATGAAGGAAATATTAATCAAAATATTTCTAAAAAGCCCACTACTGAGTGACTTTTTTACAGACAGCAGGCGGCTGTGATAGCAGCTGCAGTTAAGCTTTTGATGACAGTGCGATTAAGGTGAGGAGTACAAGCACTGTGTTGTTTTTGTTTTTAACTCAAACAAAGAAGAGTTCCAGTGAACAGAGAGGAGATATAAGATCAATTTTACAGGTAAATATAACTTTAATTTCCAAAAGAAAGGTATTAGGACTCTCCACCATAGACAAAATATAAGTCCTTTATTTAGATCTTCATTAACCATATACCTTTACAGATAGGTATTTATCTAGACCTCCATTTAATTTACATCAATGTGATCATGAACTAAAACACAAATGTCTGTTTTGACATTTGCAGATTACTATTGATGTCTATATGCATCTTAATTAGGTTCAAATTTTGGTAACAAGTTCAGATAAATTTACGGAAAGTAAGCTTTGAACTTGTCAGAATTTTTGAAAATAAATAAATATGTGCATGAATCTTTTACATGTACATAGGTGCCACCTATGCTGCCTTTTCTTGCATACATGAAAGCTAAGGACCACCATGGCTATCATCTGTCAATCTAAACAAGAGATCCCAGAGGAATCTTGGCGCCCACCTTTTCTTTGTCAGTTCAATCTTTTCCCTTCTTTCCTCTAATCTGTTTGATCGAGTCATGTTAACAGTAAATGCACCTTGAGGTAACTTTTGATCTGATGTGTATGAAAGCCAACCTTCAAAGTGAGTTTGTCATTTCACATATTTACTAGTACAGTACTTAATGTGAAAGAAATAGAATCAATCATTGCAATATGAGAAAGATCTGTTTAGTTCTTCTTTTAATCCATTTTGTTTTTATAATCAGTCTCAAAATATAACATGCAAAACGAGTGATCAAGGGGAACCTACATTTAAAATTTGAGAACGATCCCTCCCGCACTTCCCAAGAAATAGCGATAACAAACTTTCACTATCAAAATCCAAGATGGCTGCCTGTCGGCTATGTTGTTTATCCGATCAGTCTCTAAAGTTGCCCTGCACAGCTAAGGACCAAGGGGAACCTACATATAAAATTTGAGATAGATCCCTCTAGTACTTCCTGAGAAATAGCGATAACAAACTTTCACTATCAAAATCCAAGATGGCTGCCTGTCGGCCATGTTGTTTATNGATCCCTCTGGTGCTTCTTGAGAAATAGCGATAACAAACTTTCAATATCAAAATCCAAGATGGCTGCCTGTCGGCCATGCAGTTTATCCGATTGGTCTCAAAAGTTGACCTGCACAGATTAGGACCAAGGGGAACCTGCATATAAAATTTGAGAAAGATTCCTCTGGTACTTCTTGAGAAATACCGATAACAAGAATTGTTTATGGAACGAAGGACCACGGACGCAGGGTGATTTGAATAGCCCACCATCAGATGATGGTCGGCTAAAATACTGGAAAGGTTGTCATACACTTTACAAATTGAGAATTTGAAATCATTTCTGTAGATGACAGCCGAAATGAATAATATTTGTAGCTTCAGATATTAGTACCAATTAAATACCAAATGATACAAAGATTTATAATTATGTATGATGAGATAAATAATACAAGCCAAATGCAAGCCTACATCAGCAGTCCACTCCCTCATTGGTTATATATATATATATATATCAACAATGTCTTGGTTAAATACAATTATTGTGAGTGTTTCTGGAGTACACAAGATCAATTATATATATGACATACCACTTCCCCAGTTACGATAAATACTAGATTTGGAGGAAGACCTGACAAGGGAACATGTCGACCTCAATATGACCTTGGATCTTGATGCCCTGATCATGACTCAATGGCTGATCACTAGATAACAAATCAGAAGATACAAAATAAATTTCATCCAAACCATATAATAATTATATCAGCAATTTTTAGGATGCAAAACTTTGTGTCCAGAGCCTGTATTCGTGAAACTGTTCCCATGCTAAAACTCAAATTCTTTTTTCAAGTCCTGATTCTTGTCTTGTCAATAAATTAATAATAAAAAAAAATCAAATTTTGTCAATGATATGACCGAATTCTGGAAAGACTGAAAGCCGAAACAGCATTTTCAAATTATTTATTGAACTTTTTGACCATATCACCTGATTTAAAAAAGTTACAATGAAGTTAGTTTGAGCGAAGAATCCATGCTTGAGCATGGGAATGGTTTCCTGAATATAGACTCGGCCATTCATCCTCGAATGGGATTTGGCGACATTAAGTACTGCCAGTCACGCAATAATCAATTACAGTAATATGTCAGCCATAATCTATTACAGCCCTTTGTTGGGGGGGGGGGGGGGGGTACTTTGTGCACTACACTGCAGTATTTTGTTGATAATGAGATGAGATTGAATATTTGCATGTGCTATCATAAACATGTATGCGAGAGAAAAACTGGTTTGAATTTATTGACATGTAGCTATATATATATAGCTCAGGCATATATATCAAATAAATAACCTGAAGAGTTTCCAACTCACTTGCCAGATTTGGGTGCCAGGTTTTGGTGGTGGAGGAAAGCCGGAGTTCCCGGTGAAAAACCAGACCTACGGCCAGTACCTGGCAACTGCCCTACATACAAAGTCTCGAACCCACGACCCAGAGGATGAGGGCTAGTGGTAGCAGAATGTCAGACACTTTAACCACTTGGCCCCCTTTGTTGGGGGGGGGGGGGGGGGGGAAGAGCTATTTATATAGCTGATCACATTCACATTACAATCAGGTTTTGAAGCCAGTAATATTGATCAGTTCTAGCAGACAATGCAATTAATATCTGATGTGAAATAGACAATGGCCTAGGAGGAGATCCCTCACATGACTGAGGTTAAAAAAATCTGAATTTTAACCAAGCATGTCCAAAAGGAGTATTGACAATGAATTTATATTGAATAACATATGTGGCGTACATGTGGAATGATGCAGCAACAATTATAAATCGCTTAAACAACACCACAGGGTATAATGAAAGGGCAACTCCAGACGTGCCCATAGCTGTCAGATATTGAACATGTAACATTCATTGTATGTGGTCATCATGCATCACTTAGGAAGCATGCATTATAATAGACCACATAGTTATATGGGACACACACATTAACATACAATGTACTAACCGAAATATTTCAATAATTTTGGACAATACTTAGTAGTCTAAGCCCATTGACACTAAATAGTCATTATGCCTTTATGGCACAGGTGTGTGAGGTTCTGACAGTAAATTGAGATATATATCATAAATTAAAATAATTGTATACGCCGATTTTTTTAATATATATTATATATCAATTTACACTCAGAATTTCAGACACATGTGTTTATGGCCACTAGTTTCTGTGCTAAAAATGGGTCACAGGTACCAAAAATGTCTTCTTTCATGTCAATAAAGGTACATTGACTGACTGTCAATGTAAAGACAGTTGATAAACAAACCATCAAGGTAAACATTGTTAGTCAACAATGTGAAGCATTGTCACTAACCTAGTTACTCAGCAATTTCTGCATCAAGGACACCACACTAGCAATTCGCTATAATTTAACCTACAAACTTGCACTCTGGAGTGGGGTTTCGTCTGCTGGATAACCGAGCTACTCCGTAGTGAAGCGGACGTTAAACCAATCAATCAATTCTTGGGGGCTCGAGTCTTAGTTCAGAGGTTTTCACACCAACATGAAAGGCTACCCCCACCAGCACCCTCACCCAGCAAACTGCCTAGGTTAACCAACCCCCATTCAACGACACTCCTATCTTAGTCTTATCAGTTTTCACGCTTAGCAAAGGTTAACAGTATGCTTAATGCATTGTAAAACTAATTTTTGATAATGTGGATGGTCCATTTTAAGAATAGGCCATCAAAACCACAAGCCTGCAGGACCTGACAGCGAATGCAGTAGAAATCGAGTCAGGCTGGGGTCTTTACGAGTTTGATGGTAAAACAGATTTTAAATATTAAACACAATTTCTCATATTGCTATTCATTGATCAAGGAGGGAAATCCGAATAAAAGCTTGACGCATCTTAAACACAATATTTACCTTCCGCCATGCTTGTCGGCATATCTTTCTTTGAAAATGGCGCTGTTTGAATCAAACGCGGCGTATGATTGGTTGAACACCAGTAACACATCCCAGAGTTCCGTATCAAAACAGGAAATTGCACGCGGTGAGAAATGTCAAGGCCGTACAACAACTTACAGCAGAGCGTTGATTTGAGTCACGTAGTCAAAACTGTGCGGGAATAAATTATAGTCATTGTCAGCGTATGTGGGAATGCACTTTGTTTCCTTGCAACAGTATATTTTGTATTTGTTCAGCTCACGTGTGCATTTCACCGGACAGGTTAGGGCACGCAAACAAAAAACAGCTGACGGATGACAGACATTGTTAATTCAGACGCCTGTCCCAGTTTGCAATTTCATAACAAAGTTGACACCAGTGAAAGCAAGACGTGGTGTAATTAATACAGGCATAGCATTAGGTAAGTAATACTCTCATTACTTGTAGTATTTAAGACAATGAACCATTTTGCTTTATTAACCTTGAAACGCTTCCAAACTAATTGAAGGTTGCAGACTGATGCTCCTCGTGCTTCTCCACCTCCTCCGCCCACCACCTTTTCATGTTCTCCCTGGTTTTTTTTTTAGGTTGGGTGGTGGTAAGACGTATGCAAGTTTTCTGTAATGGTAACTATAGTTTTAGAATTTACACACTTGCAGTTCTATTGATTATTGAATTATTTAGGCCTACTGGGAAAATTATACTGTATCTTTTGTGTTTGATAACATGAAATTAGGAAAATACAAGTCAGGTCCGGTACACTCTGCGTATCGACCTATAGGTCAATACACCTATAATAGCTATATACACCTATCGCCGATAGCTATATACACCTATCGCGACAAACATGTGCATTTTACGCCGACCCGCGGAATAGTCGCAATATGGTGAGTACAAGGATTTTTTACTCTTTCTTCACGTAGCACATTGACAGTAACATTTTATTTGTCACTTGCTGCAATCAAAATATACTGAGCAAACAAACGATAATTTGCATGATAATGGCTGACATAAGAAGAGGGTCAAGTGGTAAACACGTTCCAAATACAAAATATAGACAATTTATATCCAACAACCAACCTCGTGTTTTCTTCGTTGATGTATGAAATGTCACAGACTTCAACCGGATACCGTTTATGTGACGTAGTTACCAGGTACAGAGGCGGACAACACCTAGTCCGCATCGGCCAGGTGTAAATCTACGGCAACACAGAACGGACAACCATTTAATTATTGACACAGTTAACACAATATGCAGTGTTGATTTAGTACAAATTTATTTGTTTTAATTGTTTTAAATGTATACAATCAACAGGTCGACTTAAAAAAAATCCAATGCTGCTTCTGTCCAGGTTAAGAAGATGGTTGAGGTCACTTACCAAGTAACTACTTGTCCTACAACAACTAAACTTGCATGGGTTATGTATTTAAGGTTGCTAATTATCACTTGCAAAGATTCTGATGCCGGTTGTGACCTAAATTTTCCGCTTCAGAGACCAGGTTAAGAAGATTGGTTAAGGTCAGTTACTAAGCATCGATTTTGTGGATAACTCGTACACATTTTACACCTGTGTGCATACGCTTCTTTGGTTATTTGTCTGATGAAGTTGACGGTGTACATATACCGTACCAGTCATCGAAACATCACATAGAAACTCTTATTGGTTGTGTAAAAAGAACTTTTCATAATCCATACTTACATACCTGAAGAAAATGTTTAGAAACTATTGTAATACTATTGTGATAGTATACCACAATTTAACTATCGAAATATTGTTTTCCCAATAGTAATAGTATTGCTATAGTAAAAAATACACGCAATAGTCACTCCTACTGGTGTCTTGACAAATTTAAGGCATAAAGCCCTACTGAGGATTAAAGGTCCATTCTCTGGAAAAAGATTTCAAAATCTATTATTAAAAATAATTGTCCTATTAATTGTTAAGCAGTCAAAATTTCATGATTTTCAAATGACACCTCACCATATACAGTTAATGGGATAAACATTTTAAAATAAATAAAAGATTGAGAAGATGACCCGTACATGCTGTTAACTGCTGTGTGATTTCTAAGATGTGATTTGGGGATTTACTTTTGTGCCTCCCAATTTTGGAAAACCAAAGCACCCAAAATAAATCTGCTGCAATCCATTGGATCTTTTGTGACCGTTTTATTTCTTCTCTTTTAAGCTACCTTTAAGTCCTTAGTCAAGCCAGTGCCATACGTGGAGAAACCTTTTCAGGGTTCTTGCCAGGTGTTTATAGGGTCCGGTACAGGGACCCATTCCCAATTTGAAAAATGACCCTGCATTTTCCCAATTTCAGTCTTTATTTTCCTAATTGGATTAAAAAGTATGTTTATACATGTTTTCAGTCGTAATATGTGCAACGTTCAAAGTATTACCGTCCATGGAAGAGCATTCAAAATACACAAATATTGAACATTTGAAATTGGATAAACAAAACACAGAAAATTGATTTGTTTATTTATTGCTATACATTTTACTGAAAGAGCTAGAGGAAACAGTTTGCTAATCAAATTGCAGGTTATGTTTTTTTCCAAATTTGTGATATTTTTCCGAAACCTGTACATGAACATGTGGGGGGAACACTGATGAAATTTTCCAACTTTTGCCAAATGCCAATGAAGTTTTCCCAATTCATGCTCAGAGACCCTTTCCTAAAATAGCTGGCAAAAACCCTGCTTATATTTTGCCTTGGTGTTGTCTTGAGCATTTGCCCAGATGAGATCAGAAAAGTTATAAGTTCTATTCCCTTTTAAAACTTGAAAAAAATCTAAAGTTTTAAAACTTGTACTTACTGCTCCCTCCATTTCATATGAGATTTATGAAACAAGTCTTCAACAAATTTCAATTTAGCGAGCCTCTGGTGAGTTTATGTGACGAGTTTCATAAATTTCATATTGATTGAAAATTAGTATATGATCCTTTTTATTACATAATCAAGATTCGTGCATTTATTCGTGTAAAACGACAATTTTCATGCAACCTTGAAATGTAAAAAGATCCCATTTTGACTCCAGTGCTTAAGTCTGTGACGTCATGTACTTGTCCTTGGAGTAACGTCACAATTGAAACAATCGAAACTTACAACCAATCACAGGGCTGATAGGTCATATTACATGGGTTAATACGCAACGAAATATGACATGGGTATATTCACTGGATAACACAGTACCGAAAGTGATAAAATAATATATATAGCTGAACTGGACTAGGTCGATTGCCAGCGACCAGTTAGCTGGGTTGGTCAGCGTCCATCTAGAGTTTGGAGGGTCTTCAGTAGGAATGCAGGTCTGGTGATTGGACTATCTTTAATCCTTAGGACTTTTTGGGTCGATTATGGATTGGGCCCATTCTCAAATGAAACTATTTCATATTTATGCATAATTCTGAAAATTTGCAGTTTACTCCTGAGAGTTGTCTTCCCAATTGGTAATTTTTAGCTCACCTGGCCCCTTTGGGCCAAGTGAGCTTATGACATGGTGCGGCGTCCGGCCATCGTCCGGCCGTCGTCAACATTTCACTTTAAATAACTTCTTCTCAGTAACCAATAGGCCTAGGGTGATGATATTTGGCCAGACGCATGCTGGGATGAAGGGCTACCATGTTTGTTCAAATAAATGACCTTGACTTATATTCAAGATCACAGGGGTCAAATATGTTTAAAACCTTTCAACAACTTCTTCTGAATAACCGATAGGCCTAGGGTGATGATATTTGGCCAGAAGCATGCTGGGATGAAGGGCTACCAAGTTTGTTCAAATAAATGACCTTNCGACTGAGCAGATTTTGACCACATTTGGTCAGAAGCATCCTTATGGGAAGGGGAACAAATTTTGTATAAATGATGGGTGTGGCCCCCCTTGGGGCTTAGGGGCTGGGCCCAATTGGGGTAATATAGCAAATTCTTTAAAATCCTTTTTCTTCTGTAGTAATGAAAGGATTTGTTCCATATTTGGTCTGAATCATCCTTGGTTAAAGGGGGAACAATTTTGTATAAACCGTGGGTCTGGCCTCCCAAGGGCCTGAGGGGCGGGGCCAAATAGGGGAAACATAGCAAATTCTTTAAAATCCTTCTTCTTCTGTAGGAATAAAAGGATTTGTACCATATTTGGTTTGAAGCATCCTTGGGTGAAGGGGAACCAATTTTGTATAAACAGTGGGTCTGGCCTCCCAGGGGCGGGCCAAATAGGGGAAACATCACAAATTCTTTAAAATCCTTCTTATTCTGTAGGAATGAAATATTTGGTCTGAAGCATTCTTGGGTGAAGGGGAACCAATATTGTATAAACCGTGGGTCTGGCCCCCTAGGTGCCTGAGGAGCGGGGCCCAATAGGGGAAACATAGCAAAATATTCTTAAAAATCCTTCTTCTTTTGTAGGAATGAAAGGATTTGTTCCATATTTGGTCAGAAGCATCCTTGGGTAAGGGGGAATAATTTTGTATAAACCGTGGGTGTGGCCCCCCTGGGACCTGAGGGGCGGGGCCAAATAGGGGAAAATAGGTTAAACCTTTATAACCCTTCTCCTACCATAGGGATTAAGGGATATTATCCTAATTTAGTCTGGAGCATCCTTTGGCAAAAGGGACTCAATTTCGTTTAAACAGTGAGTGTGACCCCCCTGGGGGCAGAAGGGAGGGGCCCAATAAGGGAAACAGCAAATTCTTTAAAATCCTTCTCATTCTGTAGGAATGACAGGATTTTTTTCAAAATTTGGTATGAAGCACTCTTGGGTGAAGGGGAACACATTTTGTATAAACTGTGTGTCTGACCCCCCTGGAGGCAGAGAGGTGGGGCCCAAAAGGGGAAATAGAGGTAAAACCTTTAAAATCCTTCTTTTACCATAGGGATTAAGGGATTTTATCCTAATTTAGTCTGGAGCATCCTTGGGCCAAGGGAACTCAATTTTGTATAAGCAGTGGGTGTGGCCTCCCAGGGGGCAGAAGGGCGGGGCACAATGGGAGAAATAGAGGTAAAACCTTTAAAATCCTTCTCCGACCATCATGATTAAAGGGTTTTATCCTTATTTAGTCTGGAGCATCCTTGGGTAAAGGGGACTCCATTTTGTATCATTGGTGGGTATGACCCCCCTTGGGGCAGAGGGATGGGGCTCTGTTTGAAGTTTGTTCTCGCTCTATCTCAAGTGCTGGATGGATCTTTCTGAAATTTCATATGTACTTACAGCACCTACCATGGAGTGCTATATTTAGCTCACCTGGCACAAAGTGCCAAGTGAGCTTATGCCGTGGCGCAGCGTCGGTCGTCCGGCGTCAATATTTTACTTTTAACGACTTCTTCTTAATAACCGAAAGGCCTAGGGTGTCGATATTTGGCCAGAAGCAAACTTGGATGAAGGGCTACAAAGTTTGTTAACATTAATGACCTTCACCTATTTTCA